TCGCCGCGTTTTGCGTTCTATTAGATATGTGCTTCGGAGTTGAGATGGAGGAGGAATCAATCGAGAAGATGGATCAGATGATGACGGCGATATTATACGCCGTCGATCCAAAGCTCCACGATTACCTCCCGATTCTAACGCCGTTTAACGCCGGAGGGAGAAATCGCGCTCTGGAGCTTCGCCGGGAACTTGTGGAATTCGTCGTCAGATTCATCGAGAAACGGAAGAAGGCGATCTGGAATCCAGAAGGATCCGACGAAACGGCGTCGTCTTTCTCGTATCTCGACACTCTCTTTGATCTCAGAGTCGTCGAAGGAAGCGAAACGACACCGTCAGACGAAGATCTCGTGACGCTTTGCTCTGAGTTTCTCAACGCCGGTACGGATACGACGGGAGCGGCAATCGAGTGGGGGATCGCGGAACTGATCGCGAATCCCGAGATTCAATCTCGACTGTACGATGAGATTAAATCGACGGTGGGAGATCGCGCGGTGGAAGAAAAGGACGTGGACAAAATGGTCTTCTTACAAGCCGTCGTCAAAGAGCTTCTCCGGCGACACCCACCGACTTACTTTACGTTAAGCCACGGCGTAACGGAACCGACGACTCTCTCCGGGTATAATATACCTGTCGGAGTCAACATCGAGTTCTATCTTCCTGGAATCAGTGAAGACCCGAAGATATGGTCCGACCCGAAAAAGTTCGACCCGGACCGGTTCGTATCGGGGCGGGAAGACGCCGATATAACTGGAGTAGCCGGAGTGAAGATGATGCCTTTCGGTGTTGGCCGTCGGATCTGTCCGGGGATGGGAATGGCGACGGTTCACGTGAATTTGATGATAGCGAGAATGGTTCAGGAGTTCGAGTGGAGCGAGTATCCACCGGGAAGCGACGTAGATTTCTCCGGGAAGTTGGTGTTTGCGGTGGTGATGAAGAAGCCGTTGAGAGCCATGGTGAAGCCTAGAGCTCGAATTTGAAAATCCGCTGAATCATAAGCATATGAATTGGGAAACCTTTTTTTTTTCTTCTTTTGGCGGCAGAATTGGGAAACCCATTTTATATTTGAATATGCATAGACAATATAAAAACAAAGAAAATTTAATACCGCATTTACATTATATAATCCTGAGTGTTGAAAACACTTAGGTATGATTTGTACTCAAATGCCAAATGTTATATTGGTGGTGTCATCGACATTAATAAAAGAATTGGTTGACCATATAAACAACTCGTGAGATGAGAACTGGGAGAAAAAAACAAAGTCAAAATGAGATTAGTTCTTAAGATTCATTATTTGTAGACATTCGATTCAAAGTTTTCTTGGTAAAACTCTAGTGCAAATTCACCATAATTATGAAATCAAAAACAACATCGATTGACATTTGCTCAATTGGATTTGAATGGTAAAAATAGGAATATGCAAACGGTCACATTATAGTTATCTAAATTTACCAAAAATACACTCCATTAGTAGATTAAAAACGTAGTTGAGGAGAAAAGTAATACCGTGTTACAAATGTTAGCAATCGACCTCAGTGATAATAAAACCTGAAACAAATATGTTATCATTCGACCCCACGAAAATCACCTATCTAATCAGGTTTACAACTACTACTCAGATGAAAGACAAAAAAAAAAGCTTTACTAAATTTCATCGTACTAATCGTACCAAACCCAGCCTTATAAAATTAAATGGCTTGAGTCACAATACCAAAAAGATTCTGATTACTTTAAATTCTTCTCACCTAAATTCTCATGCACTACTCTGTTTTTATAGCTTCTCTTCCTCTTCTTCTTCTATCCCACTCATTCTAAATCCTCATAGCAGAAGAAATAAGAAAAAGAGAGCTCAAAATGTCTCTCTTCTCGTTTCCTCTCACTTCCTTCAACATCTCTCCTTCACTCTTCTTCACTATCCTACTGTCCTGTTTCGTTCTATTGATCCTCTCGCGCCAGAGTTCTAAATCGAAGCGCGTGAACCTCCCTCCTGGTCCTCCGGGTTGGCCGGTGGTCGGAAACCTCTTCCAATTCGCGCGCTCCGGGAAGCAGTTTTACGAGTACGCCGATGATCTCAGGAAAAAATACGGTCCCATTTACACGTTGAGGATGGGGAGCCGCACGATGATCATCATCTCTGATTCGACTCTCGCTCACGACGCTCTGATTCAACGTGGGCCCATGTTCGCGACCCGACCCAAAGAAAACCCGACCCGGACCATCTTCAGCTCCAACACTTTCACCGTCAACGCTTCCGTGTACGGTCCCGTGTGGCGGTCACTGAGACGGAACATGGTACAGAACATGCTGAGCTCGACCCGGTTCAAGGAGTTCGGGCCTGTGAGACAATCCGCCATGGATAAGCTCGCGGAGAGGATCAAATCAGAGGCTAGTGATAACAACGGCCTTGTTTGGGTCCTGAGAAACGCTCGATTCGCTGCGTTTTGCATTCTACTGGAAATGTGTTTCGGAATCGAGATGGATGAAGAATCGATTTTGAAAATGGATCAGATGATGAAGAAGGTGTTGATCACAATCGATCCAAGACTCGACGATTATCTCCCGATCCTTGCTCCGTTTTACTCCAAGCAGAGAAAACGCGCGCTCGAGGTTCGCCGTGAACAGGTCGATCTCGTCGTTGGGTTCATCGAGAGACGACGGAGAGCGATTCAGAACCCGGGATCCGATAAAACGGCGTCGTCTTTCTCTTACCTCGATACACTCTTCGACCTAAAAATCGAAGGCCGTAAAACGACGCCGTCTAACGAAGAGCTCGTCACGCTCTGCTCTGAGTTTCTCAACGGAGGTACGGACACGACGGGGACGGCGATCGAGTGGGGCATCGCGCAGCTGATCGCGAATCCTGAGATCCAATGTCGGCTCTACGATGAGATCAAATCGACGGTGGGAGATCGTTCAGTCGAGGAAAAAGACGTGGACAAAATGGTCCATTTACAAGCTTTCGTCAAGGAGATTCTCCGGAAACATCCACCGACTTACTTCACGTTGACTCACTCCGTGACGGAGCCGACGACGGTCGCCGGCTACGATGTTCCCGTCGGGATCAATGTCGAGTTTTATCTTCCGGGTATAAACGAGGATCCGAAAATCTGGTCTAACCCGCAGAAATTCGACCCGGATCGGTTTATTTCGGGTAAGGAGGATGCGGACATAACCGGTGTAACCGGAGTGAAGATGATGACGTTCGGCGTCGGCCGTCGGATCTGTCCAGGGCTATCGATGGCGACCGTACATGTGCACTTGATGCTTGCGAAGATGGTTCAAGAGTTTGAGTGGAGCGCTTATCCGGCGGGAAGCGAGATTGATTTAGCGGGGAAATTGGAGTTTACCGTGGTGATGAAGAAACCCTTGAGGGCTATGGTTAAACCAAGATTTTAATTTTTATTTTATTTTTAATTATGAAAACGATGTGTGCTTATGTTAAGGGAACCTATACTTTAAAAATTTGTCGAGGGGTTTTGTGAATTCAAGTAAAAGTTTACATTTATTGCCAAGCATATCAATAAATGATTTCTTTTTTGTTGTTTCTTTAATAAACTTTGAGCTATATCTCGATATTGTGCTTGGGCACATACTGACATAAGTAATGCGTAACGATCCAGTTGAAACAAGAACGCATCTTTTTCAGTGTACGGCTATGCTAATAATATGATTTTTCACTTGCCACCTGAATCGATCGATTAGCGGTAGAATGTCACATGAAATAAAAGACGATATCAATAATAATTATGAATGATGACGTCCAACAAACAAAAAAGTTATGAATGATAAACCATTGATACCTAGAAAATCAAGATTTTATTAATATAGCCAACAAAGTAGATGTGTGAAGACATACATGTGGGAGATTTTATTTTGTTTTAGTTAAGAGGACATGCATGTGGGAGTTGGGACGTGGTTGAGTCGAACGTTTAAAGAGCCGCCAAATTTAGCTCAGATTGTGATCGTGAATCATTTGGTTTATTAATGTTTGAAATACAGCAGTTCACAATTTAACAACAATTACTTTATCTGCTAAGCTTACTTTTGTAGCTGAACTCATCTAATTAATATGGAGTGAACTAAGATTCAGCTGGCAAGTGGTTTAACAAAAGAAAATTGGAACCTTTGTTCCTACGAACTTGGAAGCACTAAACAAAACGTTACTTACTCTTGCTCCCTTAATTATAGAAATCAGAGTAGTGCTAGTGACGCCATAATTTACAATTAACGAACAAAAAAGAGGAAAAAAAAGGCTTAGTCCCTTTGACTTAGTCTGATGATACTTTTGGATTAACTTTCTTCACTCTTGTTGCCCGCCGAGCTTGATTAGAGTCTCATGCTAACAGTTTTATTTCGTCGATAAAACGCTCAACAGTGCCAATCTTTCTTTTAATCTAAAACTTTTTGTTTTTTTTTTTAAATAACCATTTTTAAATTTCCTCTGTTTTCTTCTATTTCTTTTTTCCTAAGCAAGCCGCAAAGAAAACATTGCCAAATCTGGAGTTGCTGAAGCAAGTGGATGCCTATGGGCGTAATTGACTGATCTGCGTGTTCATATGCTGCTCACGTCCATTGAAACTAAAATGCGATTTCCCTTATAGTGCTGTGCTTAATGATCGTGGTTATTATAAGTATTCAACAATATGCAATTTCCCTTATATTTTAGATTTCTTATTTTCCTCTAATTGATTTAGTTGACCTAGGCCTCTTCGGTTAGTTGAGAATACTGGGGTTAACGGAAAGATGTTTGGAAAGGAACAACAAAAATATTTTTCTTAGTAATTTAATTTTATAGGATATTGAATTTATATTAGTAATAATAATTTTCATTCCATTAATAAAATAGATTTTATGTTTGGACTACATTTGTTCCAATTGTGAAGGAGAAGCCCATTTCCTTGGCCCATTACCAAATACCATAATTAAATTAATTTATCTCTTGCTCGCTTTTCCTTCCTCTTCTTCATCTTCTTCTTCTTCTTCATTATTTTTGGTTATTTGTTGTTGTTAAATCATCATCTTCTCTTTTACGAGCATAACTGATCTCCTCGCTTACGAGTTTTCATTTTGAAATTTATTTCTTAGCTTTGTATGATCATCTTCTTCCAACACTTCTGACATGGAGGCAACTGGTATTTGGGGAGAAATTGAACGTTCTGAGAGGTGCGTCTGATAATTTGATTTGCATATAATTTCCATGCTTGCTTATTTTTTTTGGTCCTGTACTAAAACTGGCGATGCATAGAGTTAATGATAGAAGGGAATTGATTTAGTTAATGATAGAAGGGAATTTTTCTCCAGAATCTTCCGTGAATCGAGAGATCCATTGTTTTCTTCAGTAACTTTCCAGTGGGATTATCTATCGGATTTTGATTCATTTATACATAGAAGCCGGAGAAAGAAAATAAATCTTATACTTGGAGCAACATCATACTTCTTAGAAAAAATTTCCTCTCAACTTGAAATGTCTCTGATGACTCAAATTTATATCATACTTGTAAATCATTTTCGTTTTCTGGGTTTTTACAAATTGTAGAAAGAAATTTGCAAAGTACATTTTTTTATTGCTTCTTGTGGTTTTGTTTCCTTGTGCAGTTACCTCGTCTGCTCTATGTACGAAGACGCCGAGTCATTATCTTCCTCCATACTGAAAAGAATGTTTGGCAACATTGATGTTTTATCTGAGGAAGCTCTTGGTGATCATCAGTTTAATGACATGTTGGAATCTCTTGGCATGGTTTTAGTCCAATCCTTGCATGGACTCGGCAGGTATATTTCATGACTATTCAGATGATGATCTAGTTCGAGCATTTCTTTCCCTCTTACTTCCGTCTGGAATTGGATGCTGTAAGAAGAAACGTTAGAGTTTAGTACATTTGTTGTAGTTTTGGCTCTGTGATAGTTCTTCCAACAAAATGGGTTTTTTTTTTTCATGCAGAGCAGCTGAGATTGTAAAGGAATTAAGACAAGTGTTTGGCGAAATTGTGGCTATTCCTGTTCAAGTTCTTCTCACTGGGTTTAGTTCTTGTTCTGTTTTCTTTTTCCGACATTATTACAGCTTGATAATGCTTGATAAGGAGGATCTTTGGTTCTTTCTACCATAGATTTCAGAACTAGGAGTACATGACACTCATTAACAAAATACTTAACATGTCGCAGTATTTGCTAACTTTTGCTTATTAGGGGCTGTACGATATTGGTCTATGACTGCATTAGCATATACAGAAATTCATAGAACAAGATCGTGGATATTTAGTTTTGCTGATCTTGTATTTTTTTTGTTTTTGTTTTCCCTTTAAGAATTTGCCTTCAAATATCAAACGGTTCCTACTCGGGTGTACGTGAGATTCTGGAAGAGTTCTTTAGCATATGGGTTTACAAGGACACCCACTACATTCTTAATGATGCTGGATTAAGTGCAAAGGGATTCCATGGGAAAACGCATTTGGATATTGATGAGTACATGGAAGTTGTGGAGCTGTATACCTTTGGAATTCTTGGAAATGTTTCAGACGACATGGGCCTAGCTATTTCATGGGTTGAGAAGGCTGCACTACCCGAGGAAAGACGACAGGTACTGTTGAATCATTTATGTGTTGTGTGTGAGAACTCGTGAATCTGTTCCAAGTTTCAACTAAGATGCTAGATTAAACTCTCGGTTTTCAGGGGCTTTTGAGAAGATTGGATTCTTTACTTTCTCTCAAAACAGCAAATGTTCCAGAGTCGAATTCTTTTGAGGAAGATTCCAAGGATTCTTCTTATTCTGTAGTGAACAACTGGTCTTTGGCTAATGAAAAGAAGGATGACATTGAATCCGTCCTGAAACTCTCTAAACAACATGAACGATCGTCGCTTTGGTCATCCCACTCTTTAAGCCTCAAGCTTGGTAATACCCAGTATAGCCTATCCAAGCGAAAGGTTGCCATAAGCCTTGCTGGAGTAATCATCTTTTATGCTTTGAAGAGAAAACGGGCTGCTTTCATACGGTAAGAATTCTTCTAAGCCTGTTTCTGAACATCGGTATTCTTGAATGATCCGAACTTTAGTTGATACGTTGTGTTTTTTTTAATATATAAAAAAAATAAATAAGCTGTGTGAGTTTGTTTACTTGTTTCAGGATCATTCGCAGACAAATGGAGTCCACGAAAAAAGCATTTGTGGATTTTTGGAAGCTTGCATTTTCATACCAAGTGAACCCTCTCGCAGCTATTCAATCCATACCAAGCACCGCAACATGAGGCAATAGGTGCACAATTCCACAGTCTAGAATTTGGATCAAATACCTGATTTTGCATTGAAAATTTAGCTGCATCCCTTTTTAGTTTCTAGCTCGGGCTTTATCACACCATATACTTGGTTACTCAAAAGTGTGTTGTATAATCAGATCCATTCTCAGTTTTGTGTGAAAATGTTAAAGCAACAGTAGCCTATGTGTTGGCGCTCATTTGAATAAAACTGAAGATTATACTAATGGAATAGTCTCGAATATCTTCAATACATTGGCTCAAACTTAGTAAACCCAACTCATCTTGAAAAACCAAACTGTTGTCAATTGAAGATAACTAAAGAACCTTTTGCATTTGATGGAGGATATTATATCTTGGGATACAACGTTTCTAAGGAAAGCATTTCAATAACTAATAGAAGGCAGCAATGCTCAGCCACAAGTCATAGTAAATAGTAGAAAAAAAAAGAAAAAGATTCCATAGAGATATTAGAAAAACAGAGTCGCATGAAATGCTCTGCTTCTCCTTAGGCCTTGGCGGACTCAGCCTCGGCGTCCCAAAAAGCCGATTTCTTTCCTGTTTTTGATACTGTCTGCAAAACCGCGTCTGGCTGCACGTTGCCTTTCACTGTCACTTTTTGCTCCTTTATATCCACGTCAAATGACTCCACGCCTGCAAAAAAAACCGAGTCAAGTGATGTTCCATACTCATGACTCTCTTAAGGTTTCTTTCTATCGAAAGGTGGTAGATTAAGCGAGACAGAATCATTTTGTAAAAGCATTGCATTTTGGAGACGGAACATAACGTCAGTACTTATGCTAGTCATAGAAAAACTAACCTTCCATCTTTCCGAGGACTCTTTTCACAGCTCCAACACATCCCTCGCATGACATAGCCACTCTGAGAACAACGGTCTACATCGGAAAACACCTTAACTTCGGTCAAGACTGAGATTAAACAGAAAACGGCTTGTTCCAATTGAAAATGCAAAATCTTATTGTAGAATGAGGTTTAGCTAACAAAATGACCTATAAACCCGTTGAAACAGTTATCACATTTATCGAAAAACCATCTGAGAACCAAACAAAACACATCTCAGACCCTTTCAGCTATCATGATACAGATTCGGGGATCTCTGTTCATGATTCTGTCCGGTCCTCACGAGTAATTTCTCAATCATTATCAACATCTCAAGCCTACTAATTCCAATGGTTGTCCATATATACGACTGCAACTAGAGCCAATAGATCGATGCAACCAGAGAGATCATTGTTAGAGCAGATACATGAAATGACAGCGAATTATCACACACATCATAACTAGATCGAGAAACTGGAGAAGGAATCCAATAAGATCAGACCTTGGATTGAAAAGTTTCAAACTTTTATCTCTAACAAACGGGGAGAATTGCGATAAAGTAGACTAATTTACGATGAACCCAGATCTCGAAAATGGAATTCAAAGAAGAGAGTCAAAACCCGATTGATAATACCTGAGACATAGCTTCGATCTCTCACCGAAATTTAAACCACAGCGAAGGCGAGAGAGAGAGAGAAAGAGAAAGAGAGAGAGGAGAGATTGCAATGATAAAGTTGATGCGATTTATGTTTTGAAAGGATATGGCTGTGTTCAAGTCAAGGCAATCTAATGATTGCGATATGACTGAAAACAAAAAATACGTAGATAAAAGGTATAATTGGTTGTATATTTTTTTCATACTTATTTTAAGCCAATCATGGACCGCCTCTTTTTATCCTTAAGTGCCTTGTTTGTCCTTGGCGCCAATCGCCAATTAAAGGCTACGCAGATATACTAGTGAAATTTTATGAAGTAATCTTAAGTCGGATTATACTGTACATACATTGTAAAGTGATATATGCGCGTGCAATATATGAATTTATAAATTATGTAGCTAAGTTAGAGAACATGTTTGCGTCTAAGTCTATACAAGATGTAGTTTGTTTTATATATGTAGTAGTCGAATTTATACATGTTGTACCTGAATTTTTATCTTGTAACCAGATTTATACATATAGTTGCTCGATTTCTAATTTATTTATGCTATAGTAAAACACCTAATATATATATATATACATGTTGTGTCAGGATTCATACATTATATATATATATATATATATTCATTCAACAATAACTGACCTTTGAATTCTAAAAATGGGAGAAACCACTAGAATGCAAAAATGTGGTTAGTTAATCCAAAATATATGTTAAAAGTAGGACTATTTATCTTAATTTCTAGATTGTGGTTGTTGCGCCAAGCAAATCTCGTAATTCGGTTGAAATTGGCACGTAGGACAGAGTTTTCGTTGTTGTCGTAAATTCACGTTATATATCTTAGCTTTGATGGTTGCAAAAAGTGTGCTGTTTAAAAGTTAAAACCGCGTTTTATTATTAACAATCTTTTAAAAAATTATAGCAAATAAACAAAACGAATTACTTCTTTTGGGAATCCATTATCTTTATAAATAATGTTTTCTTGTTTATTCCTAATTTTCATTACCCTATAAGTTCTCGGGAACAAAAAGTTTCCAGAGTAGTTGAAAAACGAAAACCTCCTCACAAATCTTAGATTACTTATATTGGGATCAAAAAGAAAAGGTGAAAAATGAAGAAAATAACCAAAAAGCTATCGACGAAATACGTGAAACTCCACAAGTGCAGGCTCCGGCAAGACGGGTCCATGAAGTCAGAGGAAAATGATGGAGAGCTTTTCCGGGAAAAAAACCATTTGCCGGAAATTAATGAGGAAAGTAATGAAACGACGAAGGAGACACCTAAGGTTACAAAGATTATGGAGTCCATGCATCGTAAGCTGATGCTAAAAGAGAAGGTTCCAAAAAAGGATATCCACGTGGACGGTTACGATCAATCCCAAATGGCTGAACGTTCGGTTAGGAATGGTGTCCGTGATCGCAAGGACATGCACCAACATGAAGGCTCGGTTAGAAATCACATGAATCGTGATGGTATGGATCAGCTCGTAGGCTCAGTTAGAAACGGTCATATGGATCATCTTGAAGATTTGATTAGGGGACGTGATCGTACGGACCATCTTGAAGGGTCCATTAGGAACGGTACTCGTGACCACCGTGCGGACCAGCTCGAAGGATCTAGCAAAAACGGTCAGAAATCTCAGCGTGAAGACATGACTCCTAAAACAAACGGTCAGGTAGATAAACCAGAAGGACCAACAAAAAGTCCTTCTGATTTTGCTTCGAAAAAAGATTATCTTGATTGGATTGAGTACGTGGAAGGATCTAGTCATCATTGTTTCGACCGGTCTGAAAATTCTGAAAAGCCTTATAGAAAGGACGACATCGAGCACGATCAGATTAGTGTTGGGATATCAGAAGGATCGATAGAGGGGAGTAACGACGAGATCTTATTGCTCAAGAGCTCTAAGTATAGAAAAAATGAGAAAATTGAAGATTCAAAAGGTTATAAGAAAGGCAAAGCCAGCAAGGTCAAAGATTCATTGAAAAATCATATGGTTGACTAAAAGTTGAATGGCCAATTTGGTCCCCCAACGAAAAAAAGGGGTCTTTCACATTGTATAATATGATATCATTGATCAGTTAGTTAGTGTGAACTACTACTACTACTACTACTACTCTGTATGACCGTTATTTTCAATAAATCCTTACTTTTTACTAATTGTATAGGACCGGTGTATAATAAACAACGAATTAAAAAAATCAACAACCGGCTTTTTTTTGGATTATTACGTTAGTTGGTTAGATATGTCACCGGCTGTATATCAATCCCTTGTAACATGATGAGTTATCAGAAGAGAAATATATTTCTTCTTTCATTGCTTGAAAGATATATTGCATCCATTCGAAAGAGGTCTTGATCCTATATATCCTGCGACATCCATATTTTGCAACAGACATTCAAGAATATTGAACAACCATTAGTTCAAAAGTCTGGATTAGACAAAGTAAGCAAAAGCTAAACAAATACTAAGTCTATTTTTTTCTGAAAAACCAAAAACTTGAATCTACAAAAAAAATCCTAAAGACCAAAAATCAAAATTTTTGGAAAATGTAATGTCGTTAGAGATATTCGTTTTCGTCATTAACAGGAACCGGAGAAGTAGCTGTGGGAATAGAAATATTCCAGAGGCATCTGCTAACCAATATGTGGCTTGCCCATCATAGAGTCTAAATCACTAATTTGTGGCTGGCCCATCATTGAGTTTAAGTAACCAATATGTGGCTGGTTCATCATAGAATCCAAGTCACCACTAAGTGGCTGCCTCATCATAGAGTCTAAGTCACCAAAATATGGCTGGTTCATCAAAGAGTCCAAATCACCAATATGTGGCTGACCCATCATAGAGTCAAAGTCACCAATATGTGGCATCATAGAGTCCAAGTCACCAATATGTGGCATCATAGAGTCTAAGTCACCAGTATGTGGCATGTCCAAGTCACCAATATGTGGCTGGTTTTTAGTAGAGTCCAAATCACCAATATGTTGCTGGTCTTTAGTAGAGTCTAAGTCACCAATATGTGGCATCACAGAGTCCAAGTCAGCAGTGTGTGGCTGGTCTTTAGTAGAGTCCAAGTCACCAGTATGTGGCTGATCTTTAGTAGAGTCCAAGTCAGCAGTAAGTGGCTGGTCTTTAGAAGAGTCCAAGTCGGATCCAGCAGGGACTGTTTCATCTTTAGCAGGCACCGAAGTTATGTCATGGATACTTGAGCGTTTCTTTGCCTTACTCTCCAAGTTTTGCCTCAAGAAATACTTCTGTGCATGGCTTGCGACTTGCGTTGCGGTCCTTGTCTTCACATACACCCTCGATATTTCCTTCCAATCTCCTTTCTTGAAATGTTGTAATCCTTTTAGAAAATTTCTGAAATATCATTTAAAATCAATCAGCCAAATTAGCCGGCACATAACCAAGATCGACATCATGACAATAAAATATGATGCGTTTATACGATTCAATAACCAACAAAAACCCCTGATATTTAGGAAGCCCCTAACAATGGTTCATCCTTAGCAAGATTCAATAAACAGTAGTCGATACTTTCCTCTAACTAACCAAAAAAAATCCCTAAATCATCAAGTGTTAATCCAGATACTTTCTCCCCAATCAACAGAATCCCTAAATCCAGAGTACTTTGCAAAATCAACAGAAACCTTAATTAATTCTCATAATTAGAAGTCGTAAGAGTAACGTACCCGTGTTCCTCTTCTGACCAAGGAAGTCCTCTCTTTCTATCTTTCTCGACGTTTGACTGTGACGAGATTCCACCTGAGTTATCCGGGTAAACGGGTACAGAAACCCGACCCGATTCGATAAGGTCTATATCGTGGACCAACGCGTCGTAGTAGTACATCACATCCTTAAGCGGAAACTGCAGATAGTCGGCGATAACCTCTAACCGATGCGGAGTATGGTCCGGGAATCGCAACAGAGCTTCCTCAACCTTCTTGTCATCAACCCTCGTCCATTGCCTCGAAGCCATAACAATCAATATCCTTAGTCTAGTCTTAGTCTCGTGATCCCAGCACCAAGAAATCTCGTTCGGGGAAATCTTTTATCTCCTAATCTAAAAAAACAAATTTGCTATCGAGGGTTTTCTCGTTTTATTTCTTTTTGAGATATATAGAGTGAATAGAAAAATTAACAACAGAAAAATCGCCCAAGAAATATTCTCCCTAACAAACAAATATACTCCCTAACGTCTTTTTAATTTGTTTTCCGTTAAATTGTCAAAAAGGATGTCGGTGATTTTTTTTGTTCTCTTCATTATTCATCAAAGATAAAATATTCAAGGAAGAAAAAAAATTTGCCCCTTTTTGCAAACATGAGATTTTTATTTTATTAATAGAGATTTTAATTATTATTATGAAAACTGAAACAAAATAGATATGGTTTTGCATGAACGCAAAATCCTTTTACACGCACAATAGAACCCAAAAGGACAGTAATATCCTGAGGCTTGAATAAGTTTTGCAACACATTTTATTATTTTGGGGAGGGGGGGTAATACGGTCATGGACGACGATGTGGTTCGGAGTAAGAAGACCAAGCATGATGACCAATTGCCAGAGCAATCTGCCTTTGTTGTGGCTGCGACTGCGGAAGAACATGGTGGTTCTCTTGTTGTTCCGGCGGCGGTGAGTCCACATCGATGATTTCCACCATTCTGTTGTCAATATTGACTCTCCTTCGTTTCAACACATTTTTCTTTGCACTTTGCCAATAGAAATAGTTGTGTGCATAGATCAACACTTGCTTCGCGTTCTTGGTATCCAATAAATCCGCTATTTTGTCCCATTTGTCCCCAAACCTCTTCAATCCGATCAGAAACCATCTGCATTAGAATTATCACAGATTCATATTCGTGTTATGATTGTGAGATACTTAGATCCACAAAATAATACCACTATAGCTATATATATACCACCATGTCCATATCGATGTTATAGTTATGATATAGACTTATACGTGTATATTCCACGCACTAACTATATATATATATATAAAAAAAAAAAAAAACTGAACTCGTACGTGATATTGTATACTTACTCATGATCTTCTTTGCTCCATATGGTTTCATCGACTGGGTACAAACGCTGCGCAGCTGCATCAGTCAGCCCCTCTGCAAAGGCTATTCGACTCGATCCGATCTCTAAGAGGTCCTTGACCATTTCTTTGTAACGTTCCTTAACATCGACCTTCGATTTCTGCAGATACTGGGCGACACTCTGAAACCTTGTGGGGCAAAACGCTGAGAACTTCACCAATGCATTCTTGAACTGCACGTTCTCCTCTCTCGTCCATGACTTCGCAGCCATAGTACCCCCAAAAACAAATTGAGAAGTTGAGGAGAAAATGCTGTGAACTTTGGATAAGTAGATATAATTTATAGATAAAAACTATTGTAAGGGAGAGATGTAACAACTCATACACCAAATCAACTTACAGATAATATGTGGCCCTCTTCTCTCTCTAATTGGATTGTTTTATGGTCTTCTTCCATTTTTTTTTATATTCAAAGGGTAACTTCTTTATTTTGCTATGTTCTGTTCAATGTTTTTGTTGGATTTCTTTCTCTTGAATCTTTTTTTCCATTCCTTTACTTATATCTTAATATTACAAAGGTGTTTGTATTTCTTTTAGAGCTAAGATGACGATTTTTAACCAATAAATTCGTGATACGTGTAAAAATAAATTTGTGTTTCGACACGTATTAGATATTTAAATTTAAATACACATATAATATAAATCTATTAGAAACAAGTTATAGAAGGGAACCAATCTTTTCCAACTAAACAAAGTTATGATACCAAAATGCCAGTTAAATTTTCATTTTATGAGTGAAAATTCTAATACAACACTTTCTCTTTAAATTAAAATAAATTAGTATTCATAAACAAAAATTAGTTGATAAAATTGTTAATTGAAGGTATGATATCATCACATGTTTAATTGAGCTTAAGCCAGTCAGTTTTTAAGTTCAGTTGGTTCAGGAGTTAATTGAAGATGACCAAAAAGGTTATTGATGTGGTTAACTCAGGTTGAACCGGATTTTCACTACGTATAAGAGAGGGTAAGGATTGTTCTGTTGAAGATTACTAGAAACAGAAAAGAGAGAGATGAGAGAGTATTGTGAGAGATTTGAAAGATGTTCTTGTATCAAACTCTTGTGATCGTGTAGTACTCTGAAGGTTTTTACAGGATTGTTTGCTTGTGCCCTCAAGCTCTAGGGTTCTCACATCGAGAACTGAACTAGATTACCAAATTGCTGAGTGTTGTTTCTTTCTAAATTTCTTTTATGATTAGTCGATTGTAAACTCAAACTTGAGTTAGGATTCGTGTCTAGATCACAACAGTAATCGTAGCAATTTGAAACTTGAAATAAAAATAAAATATGGTGGGCCGAACGGATTACACAACAATCTTTGGGTTAGTATCTTAAACTATATGCTTACGTGATTTATATATAGATATATTTACCGATGCTTATGTGACCATTGTGATTACAAAAAAGAAAAGCTACTTTAATATAAACCAGTGTCCCTAAAGTTAGTCGTATTTACACAAAAAGCCACTGGACGCAATCTCGTTACTTTTATTTCGTTCTCTTTCTCGTTGATCTTCTCACATTATAAAACAACCTCTTTCAAATCACTCTTTTAACTCCGATCCATATTGACCCGACCCGACCCGACCGAACCCGAAATGGAGGCCCAGTACCGAAACCACGGCGGAGAAACCTCCTTCTCCAGCCTCCGTGTCTACCTCAACTCTCTCTCCGACACTCCCTCCCGGTTTTCCCGCCGCGCCGTCTCCGTCTCAACCTCTTACGACGAGATGAGCCGCGTCCGCGCCGTATCCGGCGAGCAGATGCGCCGCACTCTCCGGTGGTACGATCTCGTCGGACTCGGAATCGGAGGAATGATCGGCGCCGGAGTCTTCGTCACCACTGGCCGTGCTAGTCGCCTCTTCGCTGGTCCCTCGATCGTCGTCTCCTACGCAATCGCCGGCCTCTGCGCTCTCCTTTCCGCCTTCTGTTACACCGAGTTCGCCGTCCATCTCCCCGTCGCCGGCGGTGCCTTCAGCTACATCCGTATCACATTCGGTCAGCATTTTACTCTCCCGCCAACAATTCCGTCAATCTAAAAAAATCTCAGAACTCAAAATCTGTAACCGTTTCTCGGAATTTTCCGTTTTTTCAGGCGAGTTTCCAGCGTTTATAACCGGAGCGAATCTGATAATGGACTACGTTATGTCAAACGCCGCCGTTTCGAGAGGATTCACCGCTTATTTCGGATCTGCATTCGGATTATCCACCTCCGAGTGGAGATTCGTCGTCTCCGGTCTCCCAGACGGATTCAACGAAATCGATCCAATCGCCGTTCTCGTCGTCCTCGCCGTCACCTTCATCATCTGCTACAGCACGAGGGAGAGCTCGAAGGTGAACTTGGTGTTGACGGCACTTCACATTGCCTTCATAGTGTTCGTGATCGTGATGGGTTTCTGGAAAGGAGACGCGAAGAACTTAACCCGACCCGATAACCCGGAAAACCCATCCGGGTTCTTCCCATTCGGAGCTTCGGGAGTGTTCAACGGAGCGGCAATGGTTTACTTGAGCTACATAGGATACGACGCCGTGTCGACGATGGCTGAAGAAGTGAGAGACCCGGTCAAAGACATCCCCATGGGAATCTCTGGCTCAGTCGCAATCGTCACTGTACTCTACTGCTTAATGGCTGTCTCCATGTCCATGCTCCTCCCTTACGATCTGGTTCCGTTTTTTAGATAAAAATTGTGACTTTTACTTTTTTTTTTTTTTTTTTTTTTACTTTTGAGTGGTTGATCAGGTGTGTGTGTGTGTGTTTATGCGCAGATAGATGCAGAAGCAGCATATTCGGCGGCGTTTAGTAAATCAGAAGGGTGGGAATGGGTGACGAAAGTGGTTGGGATCGGAGCAAGTTTTGGGATATTGACGTCGTTGTTGGTAGCGATGTTGGGTCAGGCTCGGTACATGTGCGTCATCGGACGGTCAAGAGTGGTCCCGGCTTGGTTCGCTAAGGTCCATCCCAACACATCCACTCCAGTCAACGCTTCCGCTTTTCTTGGTATGTGTTAAAGTTTTGTCTTAACTCTCTCTACATTATATGTTTTCAAATTTTAAACTCCAGGAAAAAGTTAGAAGCTAACATAAATCCCGTAAATTTTATTATACGTTACGTTGGAATTTTCCCTTCGTTAAGATCGGTTACATCTTTTATCTCTGTTTTGTTTTGATCAAGTGATAATGAGACAATTGGCGAGTGGGGACCCATTTTGAAACTTTTTTTTTTGGTTTTCCATGATCTTTTTGGATTTTAGTGTAATGAAGATCATACTTTCCACGTGAATCATTACATATATACGTGATTACGTGTAGAAAAGGCGAAAAAAAAAATCATATCTTTTTATTCACTATTTAAAACAAAAAATAAAACAACTTCCCCAACTAAGCTTGATTGTGATTGTGGTTGTAAGCTTTTAGCTCTGACTGTGTGTCTCTATATTAATGTAGGCCATCTCTTATGTTTTTATGTGATTTGTTGGTGTTTGTCATAAATTTATAACTTAGAATCCGAGAAAATGTCGTGATCATGTTCACCAACGCGTCCAAAAGGTTCGATCTTTTCAACGGTCTTGATTGTGACATATTGTTGGGTCTCTTTGGTCCCTTTATGTCCTTTAATGTTAAGTTATGGAGTATATATATTTAGCCTCTTTCTTTCTTTTTTTTCTTTTTTTTTCTTTTTTTCTTTCTTTCAAGGTCTGGCCAATCATGTATATAGTAGCTTATTATTGGTGTGCAAGATCTTTGTGAATTATTATTTAATTTACAATCTGCCCAAAATGGATGAGTCGTGTCGTGGTAGCGAATCTAGACCCACAATTTTCTTTTATTTGCGTATTCCTTCTTATAAGCATTGTTTTTTCTCTCATATATTGCTGATCTAAAGTTTGGATACTATATCTCACATAATGAAAAGAAAAAAAGTACTGAAACTAGCTAAAAAACACGTTTAGTTTGGCCAATTTTGCATCCACTAACTTTTAGAAGAACTATAACCAATCCTATAAGAAAAAAACATGTGTTTTATTTTTAGATATTCAATGATATTGAGACTTTAATCGATAAGTGTTTTTGGACATAATACGCAATGAGGGATGAGAGATCTTGAACGTGGAATACAACTCAAAAAAAAAAACTCTTATCCACCAAGTGAACTAGACAACTAGTTGAACATATTCCTCCAATATCTACACTTTTATTACGAAATCGACTTTATGCATCTTCGAATATATCTGCGTTATTAAATACTAGTTAATATGATTGATTGAGCTGATATAAGGATATGGATCTTAGCATATCCTTCTCTTTAACTCCTAAAATTTTGTATTGTGTCTCTTCAGGAATCTTCACGGCGGCGCTCGCCCTCTTTACTGACTTAAACGTCCTTTTAAACCTCGTTTCAATTGGAACACTCTTCGTCTTTTACATGGTCGCAAACGCTGTTATATTTCGGCGTTATGTAGCGGTTGGATACACCAAACCCTGGCCCACACTCTCTTTCCTTTGCCTATTCTCCATAACCTCAATTGTCTTCACCTTAGTCTGGAAACTCGCACCGTCAGGCCCATCTAAATGGTCCATGCTCGGAGCCAGCGCGGTGGCGGCTATAGCCATCGTGCAGATATTCCATTGTGTTGTACCTCAAGCTAGAACTCCTGAGTTTTGGGGTGTACCGTTGATGCCGTGGACACCATGCGTTTCAATCTTTTTGAACATATTTTTGTTTGGGTCGTTGGATGCTCCTTCGTATCTTAGATTCGGGTTCTTCTCGGGATTGGCCGTGCTCGTGTATGTGTTTTATAGTGTTCATGCGAGCTATGATGCTGAAGGTGATGGGTCTCTTGATTTCAAAGACTTGGAAAGTCTTGAAAGAATCAACAGAGTTTAGAATTAAAAATGCTTTTTAGTAAACAAAACTTAGTGAAAATTAAGTTGTCTTTTTTTTCCCTTTTCCTAGGTGTTGTTTAGCAAAATTGTCTCTTTGAAGCAAAAAAAAAAAATGTCTCTTTGAAAACAACGTATTTGTCATTTTGTGCTGGAGAAGTAATGGAGATACTAAGGTCTAAGTATGTATATAGCCTGTATAGGAACTTTTACATTGGTCAGTTTGGGATATATCGATGTTCCTTCTTGATATCATGCTTGATTTTAAATATACAGTAACTTAGGTAAATCAAACGTCATTTAGTTCCTGTAAGAGTAAATTCTGAAGATAATAAAGTTCAAAATACTTGTTTTCTTCATCCTAAAAAAAATGTTTTCTTAAGAGGTTATCATGTATAAATGTGGTATATAAATAGACGTCAACCACCCTGACCGAAAAAGACAAAACTGAAGTCAGCCCCTTTGGAAGCATTCAAGGCAAGCTGTGCAGAAAGAAGATAGCGAATGTCCATTGTCATAGGCAGCTAGTCACAGTCACAGACTCACGGGCTTGCCTTCACTTTTCTAGAATCTCAAGATGTTGACACTTGACAGTGTTTGTCTCTTGATTTTCGTTGACTTACCTTTACTTTCTCAAAGAATTGTATTTTGATTTTCCACATTTGTTCTTGACATTTTGCTTTACTAGGAATAGAATATTCTGTAAGTCAATAAAAGACAAACATTCGAAAGCCACTAAAGAAGAGACAAACCCAGATATAAAAGGGGTAGAAAATATATATATATATATGTATATTTTTTTGTTCAGCATAGAATATGTAGAATGATTAGATGATGATGATATCTGTTTTTCCCCAAAAAAGTTTAGATGATATATGTCAAATTTTAATCATAAAATTATCTGATTATCTACTTGTGCTTTGTTCAATGTGTTAGATAATATGTCTTTAATCATAAAAAATAAGAAAATGATATTCCCTGAAATTTAAAAAAACGGATGAGCCTTTTGATGAGATGCTCAAAATAGCAGCAAGTCTTGGCTACTTGTAAGATCAGATATTATTCAACTCTACTCCACCAATAAAAGTAAAAACAAAGTTCATTTTGTTCCATCCGTGGCTGGTAAAGCCTGCACACTTGTTTTCTCCTCATTTTCTGAAGAAGTGGCTGCGTTAACAGATGAGTCATCAAGAGGCAACCTTAAGACATCTTTGCTGTTGCTGTACAAGAGTGCTCCAGGTTCTGTCTTCTCTTTGATATCTGAAGATTTACATATAGAAGCCACTATCTTACTATACTTATCCAGAGGGACAGCCGACGATTTCACTGCTTCAGTGAGAACTGTTTTGAGCTTGCGGGCACAGATAAAGAGAACTTTTTCTGCTAGCCTCCGTGATCTTGGGGGAACCTGAGGATACCTTGAAAGAATTAACAAAGGAGCATTCTGAAACATAATTACCAAACCATCCATGTATCACCGCTTTGAAAGAATGTATCACCTTACTATCCTTTCTAACATAGTGTAGTAATAGTGAAAGCATTTTTGGGGGTATATCATCGCTTTCTTCTAAAACAAGGGTCATAATCTTCATCATAGCGTAAAACACGTGTCCTAGATGAAGGTCGCTGAAAAGGAAAATAAAAATAATCATCAGAATGGATTATATATGTCGTATATATTCTGAACTTTAGATTTCCAAGTTAAAAGAAAAACAAGCATAGCATCACAGAACCGTTGCTAAGTTCGCAATGATTATATCAGAATGGATTTTATTAGCGCTTACTCTATAGTCTTGAGGAAAATCTTGAACATCTCACAAAGAAGTGCATCACACTGAAGATCCAACATCACACAGCATAATTTGACCCTAGCCACCAATTCAAGGGTGTAGGTATTTAAGATATAGGAGCGACCAATATAGGTATTCATCTTATTGGAGAATTTAGAACGCAAATTTGCAAATGATGATACAATCAACTTAAATACTTCCTGCACAAGAATAGAAGAAAAGAATCAGTGACAATTAATCACCTATATATGCCCATTTCCTAAAGAAAATTTACCAAACAATAGCATACTTTCATCTGTTCATCATCATAAGGACGATTTGGAACATTTATTCTTATAATCTCAGTGATGCAGGCAGCGAGTGCTACTTTCACATCGGCATCTGAATGGTTGAAGAGTTTTTCATCGACTAATGCTTTCGTCAATGGAGAGAGTGCATTATGCGTTGACACGAGAGGTTTCTGACGAACACCTGACAGGCAGCAGTAAAGATCCTACAGAAAAATACCAAAAATGAATATCAAACTCATGAATTCCAAAATCACAGCATCCCCACCAAACACTTGAATCCGAAGACAGATGTGTCAGCAATTATGAAAACCAGCCCAGATCCAGAAAACCTTTGAAAAATTGTATCAACATATTGTAAAGAATGATTAACACAAAATCGGATATAGTGGCATTATCGAATGAATGTCATTCTTCAACGCAGATTTAGACTAGTTTCTTTAAACAGTTATCACAGCAAAGGTGTCCCTACAATGTTAGAACTGCAAATCATATATGCATAATACATTGTAAGAAAGTATGCTAGAAAATATCAAAACATCTGCCATTCCTTACCCTTAAGGACTTGTTACCATCTAAGGGATAAACTGTTCTATGTCAACTATCAAAGATCAGAGATCGGAAACGAAAAATAACACGCTAGAAAAACTAGAAATGAAAAATCAGAGATCGCACATAGTTGCAAAGAACAACATTTAGTTGCCAGATGAAGGCAATTCAATAACATATAAAACCCAAAAATCAATTTTGCAAGAGTAGAACAGTTCAGGCAGCCTTTGTAAATCAGAGAATTTAATAACAGCTCCATCCATCCTTTACAGATGCATATGCTTAAACAACACAGAGATACAGAGGATTATCGAGAGGAATCTATTGGAAAGAGAGAAATCAACCAAAGGCAGGTTCGTAGATTGGCATAGCTAGATGAATGTACAACAATAAGAGAAAAAAAGATACAGAGAGCATTGCACTAAGCCGAAGAAGAACACTAAGAGAAAATAAAACACAGATAGGAGGAGATAAAATAGTTCAAAGTCTGAACGAGGCGGATCAATAAGCTTTTTCCCTAATTCCAGCATCTGATTCTCGAGCCTTTTGTAGTAACGAAGCAATTTATCCGATATGACTCCCTCTCCTTCTCTTATCTTCTCTTCTCTTGTCTCCCTCTCCATCTCTCTATCTCTCTATCTCTATCTCTCTATCTCCCTCTCCTCTCTCTCTCTCTCTCTCTCTCTCTCTCTCTCTCTCTCTCTCTCTTCGTGCGTATCTACTACAATTAGATCTCTACAAACCCTAATTCGGATTCTTCTCACAGAAGGAAAAACTAAAAGAAACAACGAGAAATTCCCCCGTAGGTCACTGAACAAAACACGCTAAGAGAGGGTTTGACCTATATACTGTATATATATACATTTTTGTTTTTTTGTTTTTTTTAATCGTGATTAGATCAAGGCCCAGTACAGTCCAGAATTACTTGGTGAACTCAAGCATATACAATTCTAAGCAAAGTCCACCCAAACCCAAAGAACTAATCTGTTTTTAACTCTATATACACAAACTCTGTGTCCAGAACAGAAACTGTGTCTAGACAAGAAGTAAAATCCAATATAACAACAACATACATATATTAATCTACAAAGATTCCTTCTCCTTTCTTTTGAACAGACTCACTGATGCTTTGTTTAAGTGCTCGTTTCAGTGAACTTGAATTTTGCTTCCCTGCTAGTCTGCTATTCCTTTGGCCTAACTCAGCCTTTTCACAAAGATTCCTTCTCCGAAGCCAACATTAGTTAAAAGATCAGAATCTGCTTAATTCTATTTTCTAAGCTTTGCAACTTCACTTCAATCAAGGAATCCATCTTTTTCATTTGTTTTTTTTTTTTTTTTTTGGCTTGAGAGGAATGTGAATATCTTGGGTGAACTAACGTAAGCTTCACCAATACTAGAGGTTCTTGAGTCCTCTTTCTTGGTTTTGGATGACAAGGGAGAAAAGGATAAACAGGGCTCAGGTACATAGCTAGCCTACCAAGTCGTCAACCTTCTCTATTTTCATAAATCTTGAATAGATTACTCCGTAAAAATCCTTTCCCACATTGTTTCAAATTGGTCATAAGCCACTTTGCCAACACCTTCTTAAGCTGCGTGTGATACAATACATAAACAGAGCATTTGTCATAAAAAGAATCCTGTAAAAAAAAAAGTTTCAAGTCTTGAGAGAATATTCAATATCGTGGTAATCAAGAAACATAAAAAGCAACTCATTGTTCCTTTTTAGAAGACATGGGAAAAGCTTCTCGGGATAAAAGAGTATGCCTTCTTCAATGCAATTTATTAGCTTCTCTGATCATAAATTCAAAATTTTCATGTGAGTTTTGGTGGTGGATTAATCAACTGTTTGTTGGATTTTACTATCGTAAAGCCAAAGAAGAAGGATGGCGTGCCAGAAGGAATTCAACATTTTTCCAAGGTCATCTCTTGTGAATCCTTAAATATGCAGCTGAACAATATGATATATCAAAAACGATTGTGTAAACTTTCCTGATTTTTCTTCTTAATATGCAGGAGTGAAGAGGGTTGTAGATTTATGTGCTGCACGGCTGATAGCTGGAGTCAGGTATGGAGGAAATCTTGAGCTGACTTTTTTTTTTTTTCACACAATAATGGGCCTGTGAAAAGTGAAGCGCTACGATCAACACAAATATATTTTTTCTTGATTGGGCCGAGATTTATTGGCCCACGAATAAACAGCGAAAACCCTAAAATGAGAAGAAGGATATAAAATACCTTGGTTCGGCTTCCGGCTGCTCTAACGCCTCCTTGCACCGCTTTGCTCTCGCTCTCCTTCCGTTCATTCTCTTTAAGGTTAGTCCGATTGTTGATGGTTATCTGTATCCGATTTTGCTTAGGTTTAGCTTCTTTGTTTTTTTTTTGGCTCCTTCTGATGTTTAGATGACCAATATCGTTTAAAGTTTTGCTTGTTGATCTGTGTTTATCGTCTTTAGTTATTATACCGATCCCTTGACACTTGTTGTCTTGATGTCTGTTATGTCCCTTAAAGTCTCTTGATTATCAATGGCTTAAATTTTGGTAGTATGTTTTCACATTTCTATTAAGTTCAGTGTTCATATGTTGCTGGATTTATCTTGATTCATCTGCAGTTTATTGAAAACTCTATTTCACATTAGCAATTCATGCGTTTCATGTTTCTAGATTCATACCATAATGTTACATAGTAAGACACAAATCAACTGTGCTGAGTAGTAGTATCTGGATCCTCTAATATTTTTCCTATGTTTATTGATCTATTTACTCCAATTTGAGATCACCATTTCTCTGTGTTTTCACCCGAACTTTATTTGATATTTTGGGGACACAAATCCAAGCTTTAGTAGTGGCAGATACCTAAGTATTGGAATTTTTAATCCCTAATTATAATTTTTCTTACTCTGGTTCTTCTTCTCTTATAGCAGGTAAGTGGCAGGTAAATTGAAAGATGGGGCGTGTCAGAACCAAGACCGTGAAGAAATCTTCTCGTCAAGTCATCGAGAAGTACTACTCTCGCATGACTCTTGATTTCCACACCAACAAGAAGATCTTGGAAGAAGTTGCGATCATCCCTTCAAAGCGACTACGCAACAAGATTGCTGGATTCTCCACCCACTTGATGAAACGTATCCAAAAGGGTCCAGTGCGTGGAATCTCACTCAAGCTACAAGAGGAAGAGCGCGAAAGGCGAATGGACTTTGTCCCCGACGAGTCAGCCATTAAAACCGATGAGATTAAGGTGGACAAAGAGACTCTACAGATGCTTGCTTCGTTGGGAATGTCTGATATTCCCGGGTTTTCTGTAGTGGAGCCACAAGCTATGGCACCAGGCAATGTGTTTGGCCGTCCTGGAAGAAGATTCTAAGTCTTGCGTTTATCTAAATGAGTTAGGAAACAAAGAGTCTTGTTTTTATCCGAGTGTTATGGATTCGACGTTGTTTCCTTCTTCTGTTCGGGATTATTGTCTCGCTTTGTTTTGAATTTTTGTTTATCATCTTTTGTCTATTTGGAACTAAATCTTGGATTTGCAATCATCAGTTGAAAACAACACTTAGTTTATCTCTGTTTCTATCCAAGATCATGTTTTGTTTCTAACGATTAACTCAACGTTTGGTATTACGCACATAAAAATTGGGTTTGAAATTATTTATCAATTTAACGTATCACATTTCAATACAATTATTAACTAATCAAGGGCATAACGGTCCAAGTACATATTATTACCTGAATGCGTGGAAAGTAGGTTTGGCTCGAAAATGAGTCACCACTTCTAATGGCAGTGTACCGATCCCTTCTCTTACATCATCCAGCTCCTCCGCCTATAATTCCTTCTTTCCGAAATTACCCCTTGAAACCGCTCAAATTCTCCAGCCTGCCCTTCATCCACCGCTACCGTCCCTCTCCGATCTCTTCAGCTCGGTGCTCTTCGTCGTCGTCCATGGAATCTCCTCCCGAAGGTTACCGAAGAAATGTCGGTGTTTGTCTCATGAACTCTTCCAAAAAGGTGACGCAATTCTCGGAACCAGCTACAATTTTTGTGATCTTTTCCTTTCTCTTCTCTTTTTCTGATAACTTGGGTCTCTCAATAACTGCAGATTTTCACTGCTTCAAGGTTGGACATTCCCAGTGCTTGGCAAATGCCTCAGGTAATCTCTAGATTCGAATCGCTTTCTCTAACGTATTCTCTGATTTTGTTTTACGATGATCATATCAGTTGTAGTTGCATCATACTGTTTGACTTGAATAATCCCAATTCCCCCAAGTAAAATCGAGTTGAGTAACAGGTCTCTACTTGTACAATCCATTTCTGATTTAGATTCTAAATTTTGGCTTCTGTATTGATGTTGAAAGGGTGGAATCGACGAGGGTGAAGATCCAAGAGTTGCAGTCATGAGAGAGCTTAAAGAAGAGACTGGAGTTCACTCCGCTGAGATTATCGCAGAGGTTTTAGCTTCTTCTTTTACCATATTTCATAGCCTTTACATCCAATCTTAGTAAGAAGTTGTTTTTGAGAAGATAGGCTTCTTCTTTTTGTCTCTAGGCACCTCACTGGGTTACGTATGATTTCCCCCCAGATGTTAGGGAGAAGCTTAAGGTCCGATGGGGAACAGATTGGAAGGGTCAAGCACAGAAATGGTTACTCTTTCAGACACTCACTGAGATATATTATAATCAAGATTCACGTCATTTTGATTTCGAGCTTGCTGAATCAAAAATACTGCTTTCCTGTGGAATTCTCAGGTTCCTCCTGAAGTTTACTGGGAAAGACGAAGAAATCAATCTTCTTGGCGATGGAACTGAGAAACCCGAGTTTGGGGAATGGTCCTGGGTATCTCCTGATCAAGTCATTGAACTTGTGAGTGCTGTTTTCTTCTTCTTTTATACCATTTGTGTTTTGAGTTTCAGCTTTTTCGTTTCCACTACTACTTCACTACTCATATTCCTCTTCTATTTCCGTTATTTCAGGCTGTGGAGTTCAAGAAGACAGTATACAAGGAAGTCTTGTCAGCTTTCGCGTCTCATTTCCAGTAAAAAAGAAACCGAAACCTCTATGTGTTTTACGTTTTTGGTTACAAACTCGAGAATAAGCTGTACTTTACATATTTGCTTTTTTGAATAATCCATGAATGAAATTACAATCTTCGTTCCCTCGTATCCTTATTTGGTCTAAGCAACGTGTGAGATCCTGTCATTTTCTTATTTTGTCTTCAAAGATTCTCTCGATTTGATCCGCCACAACCTTAGCTACAACCTCAGGAGCAAAATTCTTGACCATGTCGTCTCTTCCACGGTTCCCTTTAACTTTAGCCTCATCAGGTTTACTCATTACATGCCTCATTAGAACCCTAAGCTTATCCACTGATGGCTCTGCCCATTGATGTCCTTTAAAAGGACCTTCATTCACTTCACTCATCTCCTCAACCATCAACGGGTAACCATTCTGTTCTGTCAGATACTCCGTTGGTCCTGACCAGTTCGTAGCGATCACAGGCAAAGACATTGCCATGGCTTCCACTATTGGTCGTCCCCATCCTTCTCCCCTTGTAGGCAGCACAAACGCATCGGCCGCTTTGTACAACCGAGGCAAATCAACTTGAGCTATGTGTTTATCAATCACATACACGAAAGGGTAACCATCTCCAGGCTCTTCTAGTTTCAAAGCTTCTACGAAATCTAGAATCTTGTTGCCGAAATCGCTGTCCGAGTGATACGGGTTTGTCAACAAAAACAGAGCAACATTGTCTTTACCAGAGAACTCTCTCAGGTAAGCTTTCAACAACACATCCCAACCTTTTCTCTGCTCCCACTTAAACACACTTAAGAACACAAAGCCTAAGCCTAAATTCCTCATTCCAGAACCCAAAACCAAATCCCCAAACGCTATCAGATCCAAGGGTTCGTACTTGGAAGGATCGAAGAAGTCGACATCTACAGGTTGCACAATCTTGACGACCTTAGATGAATCAACTCCACTTTGTACAAACGAAGAGACATGGAACTCAGTAGGAACCCAAACATGATCCATCTGGTTGCATCGCTTCACGTGCTCTGGATTGACTCTATCAGTCTCAAACATTGTTCTACCAATCACAGACAAGAAATCTCCGTAACCAGTAGGAGGACAAGGAAGTGTCTCGAACAATGGTGGATACCAAGCACCAGGCTCGCTGTGGCAGACGACGATTGTCTCGTTGGGACTACACTGTGTTCTGTACATTTCAATCGCTAGCTCTTTCGTCTCCTTAGATAAACCATTCCAGAACTCCACCGATTCCAGATCACCATGATGCTCTATTGTGATTCGAAATCTATGGTTCCTGAGATTTTGGCCAAGTGATAAAATGTAAGACCAAGCTTCTGAGCTGTAACCACCACTAGAGAGGAAAGGAGCCATCCATAACACGCAATGGGACGTAGACGACGCGAGGTTTCGCGTTTCGGATTTGGATTTGGGAGTTCCATCGTAAAAGCCTAGAAGAAATTGAATATAGCTAGAGATGCGGTTCGCAGTGAAGGTGAATCTCAGACTTTGGGTTTTGTAGAGATCGGTCGTAGTGAAGCTGAGTAAGAATATCGCAAGAAGAAGGAATAAGATCGAAGAAGAGTAGACGAACGTGGAGAATTTCCATGGTCGCTTGCTCTGATCTGGTGGCTGCTCCATCGATGTAGAAAGAGAAGAGCAAAGAGAGACAGAGAAACGAGAGGTGTAGAGGGAGATTCAAAGCGGTGAGAGGCCCAATTAAAATTTGTTGGCCCATTAAGGCTATTGGGAGTTTTTTGGATTACACAGTTCTAGTCTTCTAGATTCTCCCAAATCCACCTGGTTCTGCCAATTTATAAAAATCTCATTTGGTTACTAATGATACAAAGAACATGATGATTATTACACCAATCTTGATGCTGGATTTGCTTGTTCTTGTATATCATATTCTTGTCTTCAGTCACATTCATGAACTTACATTGGATGTGATACACACCATAGGCAGACATTCCCTCTCTTTAAATATTATGAATATTAGTAATGAAAAGCCTAAATAAGATAAAAGACGGAAGCAATAAGCACAAAAGATTTTACAGTATCCTTCAGTCAAGATCAATATGCAATAACTCGATCTTTGCCCTCCTGCTTCCTTTGCATCATCTAACTTTTTAATCACTTTGTCAACTTTGCCAAACCACTGCTTCAGAAAGTTACAATTCTCTTCTATAATAAACTAGTTGGAAGTTGTTTGTCAAAGGTCTTCATTCTTACCGTGTTTCCCAAAAATGCAAAATTTAAGTTATTTTTTCTCTAATAAGCGCAACAACATCACTTAAAATTTTATTAATATTAAATATCTTGAAATTCAAAACTAACTTTTGTCTATTTATCTTTCGTTTGGCAAAGGGTTGTTTGTTCTAGCATGTTTTTTTAAAGACCTAAACAAAATCCAAAATGTTTAACAGCTGATCCTAGGATTTAAAAGGCTAATAGCAAGAAAGTTGTGTACAATTGTTGACCATAAAATTTTGATTATTCATCACCATGAATGTTTTCTTTTCCAATCAGTTTTAAAACATTTAGTTTTAAAATTAAATCAATACGTTATTGATATATAAATAGATCTTACTACTTAATATGAGTTTGAAACTTCATTGTGAAACTTCATTGTGCTCAAGGTAAAGAAGGATCCACGTTTCTGCGTCTTTGACATATCTAAATATATATAGATTTGGGCCTTAGTCTTTGAAAACAGTATCTCTGAATATATGGGTTTGGGCCTTAGTTTTATAAAATAAATATATAAAAATAAAGCAAAATTGACTTTGCGTTTTTTCCATTCACTATCATATTTATTCACATACAGCGGTATATAGTGCTTTTCAATAAAAATGACCCAAAGGCTTAAAAATAGTTCCACTTCAAAAGAGAATCGCCGGAACTTATCCCCGGAGAGAGGCTCGTGGTACCGCCGGTAATCCAAACTCGTCCTCAGCCTGTCAATAACATCGTTAAACCCATTCGTTAAGAGCTAATCATATTTTGAAGCATTTCAATTTCAAAAGTTAAATAAAATTCAGTGTGTAAAGAGAGAGATAGAAAAGGATTTTAGGAAATTAACCTGAACTCGACCCGATGGAGCTCCAGTGCGTCCTCCTGGTGCGTCAGGCAAGTTAAGCTCATCATCGTAATCAGTTTCCTTATCGGGTTGGAGATAAGAAGGCATTCCATCTGCTTCGGTCTCGTTTCCCATGTCAGCTTCAAGAGCTTCAAGCTCTGAAATTAATCAAAAAACTTTTGATACTAAAACAGAGAAAATGTATATTAAAGAGTACGTAATCCCAATTACACGCAACAACAACTTTACCTCCCATGAGATCATCTTCGTCAAGGCCATCAGGAACACTGTAGCTCCTACCAAGAGTTTCTTGTATTTCAGAACTCTCATCCATCAGATCCATCATCTCGTCTTGCAAATTCTGTACCATCAAATTATAGTATCAGGCAGATCAAATACCAGTGAAAAGAGTGTATATTAATAAACTAGATGTGTTGTAAGAAACTAAACGTACATCGATATCTTGAATCTTTACGGTTTTCATCATTCCTTTAAGCTCCTTGTTCGCAGATTTTAGTGCTGTCATCTGCAGATTAAATAGATATCACAAAATATTCAACATAAAAACAACCTCTGAACTTTTTGTTAGATGTGATGTTTTTGTAAGATTCGGGTGAGAGAAGAAAGAGATACATACAGTTTGTTGAGCATCTTTGAGGCCTTCAGCAGCGAATGAAACTTGATCGAGATTGAATGTCTGATTGTAGAGCATGTCGCGTTGTCCTTCATACCTAGTAAGAATAAAGAGAATGTGATTTGGTTTCTGAGATGATTGATTAATTCAGGAAAGCATAAATGACTCACATTTTCTTCTGCCTCAGAACCCTCATAGCACGAGCTTTTAAAGCTTCTTGAGCTGGACCAGGCCTTGTCTTTTTAATCTGCTCTTTGTATTTGCAGAGCTCAACATCAAGCTTCTTTATCTTATCTTCTACTGAATCTCCTCTTTTATTTATCTGTCAAAACATAGAATTTGAACAAAGTTGAGTTTGTTTAGTTTCTTCGTTTGGATCTCACTGGTTCCGAAACGTTTTTAAACAGTCCTACGATTTTCTCTCAAAATTCACCTAAATTTCAGTCAATCCAAAGTGAAATCTCCAAGCCCACTTATCTATAAAAAGAATGATCGATGATCAAACACGATTAAACCCAGAAATCACTAGCTCCCTAAACCCGTAACACAAATCTCTAGTTCTCTACATTACATACGACCGATTTGAAGAGGAAATCTCCAATCGAAACCGGAAAAGAAAAAAAATGGAATAATAGAAACGAGAAGAACAAACCCGATCAGAGGCATCCTGAATAGATGGAGGGGGCTCTGTGTTTTTCTTCGCGCCGAAAACTCTCCTCATCTCTTCTACTCCGTGAAGAAGAAATCTCTGGGAAATTTGGATGAGACACAGACAGAGAGGCTTGGAGAAATCGAGAATTTGGAGAAACAGCTTTTAAAGTTAATTTGCTTCTCAATAAGAAACTAAAATCATAATCCTTTTTGGAATGAGTTTAAAAGAAACTTTCAATTAGTCAACCAAAGAAGTTTCTTAGAAGGTAATCGATATGGGTTTATTAGATTTTTTTTTGTTTGGATAATTTATTAAACCCACTTGAAAGAGGTATACGTAAAACTCAGAAAAACGTAAAGAAAATTGGACAAGTATGTGTGACAAACACTACAATAGAGTTTTTTTCCTTATAAAGAAAACAATACGAGAGAGCCAGAGCTACTCTTACAGACTCCAGTATTTTTCTGAAAAATTACAAAACTTTCCTACAAAATATAACCCTGAACATTTTAACCCCCAAATCCAGACTCCTGACACGAAAATGACAGAGACCGATGAAGATTTTGACTTTGACCTCTTCCATCAAAAGACGAGACGATATCCTCTGAATCCAAGTTGCCGGAGTATTAAAAGGACCAAAACATTCTTCATGAGCAATGTGTTTTGTATAATGATGATGATCCACACTGCTTATTTCTTTCTATTGGTTTTCTTCGCTTTGAAGATTCTGCGGCCTGTCTTATCGCCGCCTCCGGTGCTGCCCAGAGAGAAGCTCCCACCTCCTTGGAACTCTAGACTGTGGGATGCCTGGAAAGGTGATGCGTTCTGGGGTGTGCTTGCAATCGGTTGGCCTCCAAACTGGAACGGGTTAGCGATTGATGGAGGCGGCGTTGTTGGTGCTCCGCCAAAGGCAAAGCCTGGTTGAGGCATTGAGACAGACGGTTGTCCAAACATTGGTTGTTGTACCATGGAAGCTTTATTAGCTTGGTCTGTGTCTTCTGCCATACTGTCTTCCATGCTCATTTGTTGGTTACTGTTGAAACCGTTAGCACTAGATGGTGTAGCACTCGCACCAAACGCAAACCCGGGAGTTGAGTTACCAAACAGAGACTGTGATGGTGTCGCCGGAGGGGCTGAGTTACCAAATACTGGCTGCTGAGGAATGGTAGGAGCGGCTGAGCTGAAACCAAAGATCGATGAAGATGACGCCATGCTGGTAGTTGCACCAAAGATGGGAGCAGAGGCGCTTGAACCAGTAGCAGCACCAAAGATGGGAGCAGAGGCGCTTGAACCAGCAGCAGCACCAAACATGGGAGCAGAAGCGTTTGAACCAGTAGCAGCAGAAGATCCTCCAAATGAAAAAGTAGGAGATGACGAAGTGGTGAATGAGGAACCAAAGACTGGAGCAGAATTGGGAGCTTGCCAGTTTGTACCAAATAGGGAAGAGCTCGTTGTGCCACTAGAGCTTGCAGAAGAGTTTGTCGAACTCAGTTGAGGGGTTGAACCAGAACCAAATACTGCAGGTTCCGACTTTGATAATCCAAACGGAGAACTGTTTGATGAAGTGTTGTTCCCAGACATACCAAATGAAGGAGCTGATGCAGATGACGCAAACTTAAAGGGGACGCTTTGGGTTGAAGTTGCGGTTCCACTCCCAGTATTATTCGTCTGAGCATTTGCAGAACCGAAAAGATTAGAGGCCTGAGATTGGGAGCTAGCAGCAGAAGCTGATGAAACAGCATTGAATCCAAAAACACTGCTTGCAGAACTTGCAGCTACACCTCCGAACATGCTACTACCGGAACTTGTAAGTGCAGGTGAGGAAGTTCCAAAAGTATTACTTCCAGTAGTAGCTGCAGAACTACCGGAAAATTTGCTGGTCTCCGTCCCAGGCGTTGCGGAAGATGTCACACCAAATATTAAATTTCCAGAGCTCCCAGGTGCAGAAGATGCAGCAGTTGAAGGGTTTAATGTGCTGCCACCAACCGCAGAGGATGTCCCACCGAAGATATTTTTACCTGCATCTGCCACAGCAGGAGATGTGCTCCCAAACACAAAACCTGGCGTGCTTTTAATTTCTGAGGACTTAGGAGCAAAAGCATTCTCAGTGCTCGTATCTGCTGACGTCATACCATTAAAACTGTTTATCTTTCCAAATGTTGGTTTTTTTTCTTCAGTCTCCTTTGAGATCTGACCGCTGGATGCAGATACTGTTGACGCAGAAATTGGAGCTTCAGGTTCGCCAAATTTGAAAGGTGATGTAGAAGATAGAGGAGGTGCTGGAGTTGATTGTGAGTTGCTGCCGGAATTGCTGTCATTGATGGTATTAGCAGGCAACTTTCCAAACATACTTGAGGAGGGGCTTGACAACTCTCTCACAGACATATTGGAAGGTACATTCGAAATACTAGGTAAGAAGGAGGGGCTTGAACCAAGAGAGCCGTTAATCTGAGGATGACTGATAGCGTTTGCTCCGACTGAGAATATACTACCATTGGGGGTTGATTCAGCTGCGGTAGTTGACTCAGCTCCAGAAGCACTGTTATCGACAGTTTTCCTTGACTCAGTTGGCTTTGAAAAAGCCTCTGATACTCGAAAAGCAGAGCTGCAACAGCAAGAAAGAGAGTCAGAAGCCAGTAAACCAGGTTAAGACTTTCACTACCAATATGGATGAGGTTCACTAGTGTATTGACACGAGTAATGAAATTAACGTCTAAAAGCTGAGAGGGAAAACAATTATGCCACCAACCTGCTCGGCTTTTCTAACTTCATGTCTGCAGATGCACCAATGTTTTGATTAAGTAAGTCAGTGGCCGCCGGTGACGAGAAGGTGTTGGGAAACACAGCAGCAGCCTTTTTAGGCTCTTCCCGAGAGATAACTTTCTCCTCTGAGGTAAGCTTGGGAGGAGAAATACTTGATTTCTCAGTCCCTTGGATGACCTTAGAAGTTGGCTCAGAGGGCATATTACTTTTCTGAACAGCTTCAATGGGTAAAGCAGAAAATTGGCTCCTTCCTGTTTCCAGAGATCCATTAGAAGTTTCCTGAGGCGCGTCACCATTAGGAATATATGACGTAGAGGGCATGGCTTCTGATGACGTACGTAGATTCTCCCCTTTAGGTATGCTGATACCAAAACTTTTCTCCACTTTGGATGCATTCTGTTTTTCTGCCACTTCAAATGGAGTAGAAGCAGCACCATGATCATCATCCAACTCCAAGAAATCCTGCATTATTAGTTTTGTATATACTGATGGTCAAAGGCTTGCAGTAAAAATATGGTTTAAAGGTAATACACACATGATAATTAACTATGAAAAATAACAAAAAATATTTCCACGAAAAGGACAAAAGAGTAATTGGAAAATATAAATGAGCAAGATTATAATTGCAGGCTGCAGCTAGAGGTGATAGGGTAGCCATTTTAAAAATTCCCGATTTGACATTCTTCCTTGCATCTCGTTAACATTCAGGAAAAATATATATAAAAAATCAAGAATATACCTCGTCTGCAGTCATTCGAAATGCTCTCTTTTTTGGAGGATGCTCTTCCAAAGAACTCGTGAGAGGAATATAAGAGCCTTTTACACGAGTCTCCTGATCTTTACTACAACCTGCTATGCTTGTGGCATCAGCAGCACCACCAGTCTTCTCAATCGGAGCCAAAAAATCTCTGGAGCCACCCTCTCTAGATTTTTCTTGCTTTTGATAACTAGAACCTGGCGAATTTGCCTGCTTCTCAGAAAGATTATGCAAGAACTTTGGCTCCTCCACATTCTGGAGGCTTTTGAGAGCCGGGCCACGTAGCATAGATGGTGATAACTTACTTGGTGATTTCTTTTTTGTTGAAGCCATTTTATCCATTTCCTGTAATATTTTTAAAGCCCTTTCCCTGGACTGGGAGGGGACAAGATTAAATCTTGAACCAGCAATATCCTCTGCACTATCTTTAGATGTATGAGTAATGTTTTGTCCACCACTGGCACGAACAGAAAGTGGGCTTTCTGAGGCAGGCAGAGCCAAGCTTCTAGATGAAAGGTTAGATTTCTGGCGAATCCTCCTTACAGGGCCCACAGATCCTATATCATTATCTAAGACTGAGCTCCTCCGTTTGAGACCCTACAAAATAATCAATATGTCAATACTTATTTTCAGAGACCAATCTGAAATCCGTTTGGTGCATAGTTCAAAAAGTTCACCGATTGAAACCCTTGTCTAGAACCAGAAGATAAGCTTTCTTCCCATGTGCTTGGAGATGCCTGAAAAAGAGACCCAATCTGGGAAAAAAAAAACAAACTATAAAACGGGAAACAAGTTGCAAACTCTATAATAAAAAAAAAGTAATGGCGCAACAATGAAACCTTCACAGTGGACTGAGGCCTAGAGTATGGTGTTCTGGCCATGCTATAAACAGCTGATCTTCCCCGAGATCTAGGGGTCACAAAACCATTTTCCAGGGGTCTTTGTCCAGAAGGCATTGGCACCAGTGACATTGTAGGTGACCTTGACGGAAAAGGGGTTCTGTTCAAGAAAACAGAATCTTCTCTAACCGCTTGGCCACGCAACCCCAGCATAGAAGGAGTAACTTCTGAAGGTCTGCTACCCATGTAGGCTTTTGCAAGCTGTGCTGGGGAAGCAATACACTCATCGAGAGCCTGGAAAGGATGTCATCAACAATCAAAAGATCAAGAACGCCATCTAACATGAAGGTCGGCATAAAACAGGCAAGTATATCTCATATGTCTAACAACGTTCTTACCCTCGAACTTCTAAGAGGTGTTGAAACAAGGGGGTTCATACTTGCATTATCTGGGTGCGCCCTATCCCTCTCACGTGATGGCGTATGTCTCACAATACCCACTTCATTTCTCTGATCCCCGTTTACAGCGGATGGATCAGCAGCTTTTGAGCGCAGCAAAGTAGTTAACCGATCAACTTCAGATCTGTAAAATCATCAAACGTTATCAAAGAAATTTTAAAACAAAAAATTCTGCGAGTCAAAAAGCAAAGATGCTTATACATATTGTAATGAAAGATACCAAAAAGACGAAGAAAGAAAATTATGAGGGACTGATATTCTACTCTTCAATATTATGAATGTTGAATTTGGATCCATGAAAAAGGTAAAGACACTTCTATAACCTTTGGGGGGAAAAAAGTTGTTACTCTATATGAACAGTGTAAAACTTGTAAGACAGTGTACCTTGTAAAAGTTTTCTCCTTCAAAATTTTTTCAAGATCTGTAAATCCATCCTTGTTTGGATTGACGGATGCATTGGCGTCTTCCATCCGAATCGAATCATTCCTCATGGACAACTTCACATAAACCACATCAATAGATAAATCATGGGTTATACTACAGGGGATGAAAAAACAAGGAAATCCAAAGGAAAAAAAAAAAAGAAACTTTCATTCAATGATGCAGCTAAGTTACTTACAGCAGAGGTGTCCGCACTGTGTCTTACATTCGTCTCCTGAATCACATCTGATCCATGAAAACAAAAACAACACATAATTAATAATGTCAATTTAGAAAGGCGAAAAGTAATCTCATACACGATTGCTAGCAACAGCCAGCTCCTAATACATAAACAATCTTATAAAGAAAACATCGAGCGGGAATCACAATGATTAAAGAGGGAAGATAATATAAGAATTGATGATACTAGAATATAACCTAGGAGGCTAATTCAATTATATGAAAACTAGGTACTTGAAGAACATTCCAAAAACACTTTTCTGAGACTCTAAGACACTACGAATGGGACAAAAAGAAAGAACTTTTGCAACGAAAAAAGTAACAAGCCCAGTACCTCTTTGTGGAAGCTGCTGCTGCTGCTGCTGCTCCGGTGACTGTAAGGGCGTCTCACCTGAGACAAGGCGTTTCCGGAAAACAGACGCGAAGAGCCTATGAGCGCTATAAGTAATAAGCCTTTGCGCCGGATCCACCAATTTCGACAACCAGCCGCCGCCTCTGTCTTCTCCGCCCCCAAGTCCAGAGTTCTTCACAGAAGTCGGTGGTCGATCATACGGAGTTTTCTGCGATCTTCGAGCCGTCGGCTTCCGGAACTTTCCGCCGGTTCCCAATCCGCCGCCGTATGGATTGCTGCTATCTCCCCGTGCCGCACTCGCCATCAGCCCAACGAAAAATGAGACCGAATCTAGGGTTTCAACGAACCTTTCCGCGTAAGGAAAATCGAAAACTTATTGAGACAAGAAGAAATTGAAAAATTGAGGAACTAGGGTTTTTTTCTAATTTGTGGCACCGAAATCGAGAGAAAGAAGCAAACCCAAAAAAAAATAAACCAGAAACTTAGGGTAGCCAAAAATAAATTTTTAAAAAAGAAAACGAGAGGAGCGTTAAGCGACGCACCTTAGACAGGGTATATTCGTCTTTCCCTTAAAGTAAAATCTAACGACGGCGTCCGTCACGTAAAGTTTTAAGACCGATGATTTTAAACCGTAAGATGAAATCCATCCAACGGTTTACAATTCAGGTTTTGATAATACTACCGTCACACTAATTTATCCAAGTGAAACGGCGATACTTAGTGGGCTGGGCTTTTATATGACATAACGGGCCCCACAACCGCGAAATAGAGATTGTTTTTATTCAAAAGAAATACAGTAAAACCTCTATAAATTAATACTCGATAAATTAATAATCACTATAAATTAATAAATTTCTGAGATTCCGAGTCAGGCCAGTGTAAAAAATCATCAAATTCGATAAGATAATAATATAATAATTTTTTTGAAACTCTTATATAAAAATATGGTCCCAATAGAAACATAAATTAATAATTATATAAATTTATGTATATATATATAAATAAGATATAATATACTAAAATATGATTAATGTGTTGTTTGTTTTTATTTAAGTTTGAGATTTTATTGAAAATTATTTTTTTACTTATCTACATCAATAGCATTTGATGTTGTTTTTTTTATCTTTATTCCAAATTTGTGAAAAAATTAGATGTGATAAATGATTTTCTTACGCGTAACTGTTTTGAAATATATTATGGTATTGTCTTTAATTTCAGCACCAACATTAAGGATAGTAACCATAATTTTTATAAATTTTGTACTAATAAACATTAATATTATTACATAGATAATTCAGTACACAATTAACAAATAAATAACTATTTTATTACAATTGCTACGATCATAATTTTAAGTTTGTGCACGTGAGTTTAGATTCTTAAATATAGCATTATCTGACATAAAAAAATTAAAAAAAAATGGGCGAAAAACAATTTTTCTCTATAAATTAATTGTAAATTAATATCACGATAAATTAATAAAATATTGTAAAGGTTTTACTGTAATTTATAGAGGTTTTACTATAATTTTCAGAAAATATCCCGATATTATTAATTTATAGAGGTTTTACTGTAATTTTCATTTTTTTTTCTCCTATAGCTTCAGTGAGAAATGGTGCGACTATGGTCGATCGCGAAGGTGCGAATCGGGAAAGTTTCGAATGTCTACAGGGACGTGAGAGTTGGGAGACGAAGATGGTTCACAAGCAGGGTGATGAGCTTCGGGGACGGAAGCCATGGCGCGCTGGGGATGTCAGGCATGGGAATGGGAATGGACGCTTACGAGCCTACTCTCATTTCTAATTTGCCTTCCGATGTCTCCTTCATATCCGCCGGACACTACCATTCCCTTGCGGTTACATCCGGCGGTGAGATTTGGGCTTGGGGTCGCAACGAGGAGGGGCAGCTCGGCCGAATCGCTTCTAGGAGTTCAAGGAGTGAGCCGAAGAGAGTGGAAGGTCTAGAGAATGTGAGTGTGCGGGCAGGATTTGCGTCTGGAGTGATTTCAACGGCGATCGGAGATGATGGGTCTTTGTGGGTGTGGGGAAGATCGAAAAGAGGACAACTTGGTCTTGGAAAAGGTATCATTGAAGCTCTAGTTCCTTCAAGAGTTGAAACTTTAGCTGAAGAACACATCGTTAAGGTCTGGTGTACATTGGCTTGGATAAATTCAACAACTATTGGCTTTAAAAACGCACTCTTTTCATTTGATTCGTTTTTGACAGGTATCATTAGGTTGGGGACACGCACTTGCGCTTACTGTGGATGGTAAAGTTTTTGGGTGGGGTTATGTAGCTGATGGACGAGTAGGCAATGTCGGACTTCCACTTGAGCCATCTCTGCTAGATTCACTTACAAATGGGTATGATGATCATCAGAATCATGAGGATGCAGCTGAAAAGAAAGTTGAGGAAGCTATGAAGAAGGAGAACAACATGCCTATAGCCTGGGAGCCTCGTCTGGTGGAAGAATTACGTGATGTGAAGGTAGCAGATATTGCGTGCGGGTCTGATCACTCTTTAGTCCTTTGTCATGATGGCACTCTTTTGAGCTCTGGGAGCAACATATATGGTCAGTTGGGTCGTCAGTCTAAGCAAGAGCTAGGAATGTCACCTGTTGGTATAACCGGATCTCCAATATCTGTAGCAGCTGGTCTTGGTCACTCTTTAGCTATCTGCAACATCCAGTCAGATTCTAACACAAGGAGGATTGTCTCATCATGGGGTTGGAACCGGAGTCAGCAGCTTGGTAGGGGAAAACCAGAGAACGTGCCAAGAGAAGTGGAGGGTTTGGATGGGGAAACTCCAGCTTCGTTATCAGCAGGACGTGTGCATTCCTTGTGTGTAACAGAGAAAGGAGAAGCTTGGGTTTGGGGTTGTGGAAAGAATGGTAGGCTCGGTTTAGGAAGCTCCATCGATGAGCCTGAACCGATGTTGCTGGAGGACGTTGAGGGTTGTGTTCTTCAAGCAGTTGCTGGGTTTGATCACAGCTTCATCTTAGTGACTAACTTAGATGTTTGAGTTATTAACACGACTTCTTCTTATTTAACAACTGGAAATGTTGCATCGAATTCTTTGTTGTTTGACATCACTTTTGTAAAACCTGTAACACAGAAAATTGCAGAGAAATAAATCAAAAACTCGATCTCCAAGTGAGTTCTTTTATGGTGAATTTACTCCAGTGGAAACAATATCATGAAATTGTGGCTGTACTTAAGAGGCGTCTTCATTGCACATTGATTATAGTAGATCCTCCTCGCCTCTCACAGTGGCCACAAGTTACAGACAAAAAAAACTGTGTATATGCATAAAGTACACCGTACAAAAAGAAAGAGATATGCCTAAACCAGTCTAATAACAAAAAACCTCATCAGAATATTGAGAAAAAACACAATCGTCATCATCAATCATTCATAAATATAGACGAAGCTCTTCTTGATTTTTGGGTTTGTAATCTGAAAACTAGTGTTTCAGTGAAATGCTAATGCTCTTCTCTAAACCCATCTTCACAGGTCCTCCCATGATGCTCCCTTTCTGCATCATTGCCACAAATTCGTTGTAGTCGATTCGTCCATCCTGAGACAATGATTCAATGTTTTAAAAGTGCAACAGCCCGATCAATCAATCAACAAGAAGATGTTTCAGTATCATCACTCCCAAGCTTGCTTATAGAGTATTGAATTGAAAGTTCTCACGGAATTACAATTTTCTAAAATGCAAGAATACTTCAGGGATCTCTCATCGTTAGGAGTTGTATAATGCATTAGTTAGCTCGTCACTGTTGAGAATAATATGAAGTTTAGGATGAAATGAGAAGGTGTAAAAATGGAGCTTTTACCTTGTCTTGATCAACATCACGCATCATTTCTTCTATGCGGGCATCTTCGACACCAAACTCCTCACAAGCTTGTTGAAGCTCGTCCGGGGTGATAAATCCGCTCCCGTCCTTATCAAAGTAGGAGAAGGCAGCGAACAAATGGTCCTCTCTCTCTATTTTGTTTAGATGCAATGTTGCTGCTATGAACTCTTTGTAGTCTATTGTTCCGCTATTGTCTACATCAGCCTGAGTTATAGATGAGACACAGCATACAAGATTATTTCAGAACCAAAGCAAAGGATGAAACTATTATCAGAGACAAGGAAAAGAGTGAAAGAAACCGCATTTGTTTAAGAGTTGAGACAAATAGTTTAGTGTTCTTGAGTTAAAGACTTACAGCTTGCATCAGGTCAAGAATTTCTGACTCTTTAAGATTGGCACCAACACGTTTTAGTCCTGCTTTCAGTTCCTCAAAAGTTATCTGACCACTGTTGTCGGCGTCAATCATCTTGAACATTTCTTTCAAACCGGCTATTTCTTCTTCGGATAAGCTCTCGGCTATGACCTACAACAAGTTGAAAAAAGGGAGGAAACTTATTCCTCTTCTAGGTTTCCTCTTTCGTTGGGATCCTATTTGGCATTAGAAAGACAGCTTACTCTAAGAGCCATTTTCTTGAACTTGTTCATGGCAGAAAATTGCTTCATACGGCTCAGAACAGCAGAGTCCAGCGGTTTGTCTGGAGCCACACCATCAATTTGAACCCATGGATGACCTGTTGAGTTCAAACACGATGATGTATTTGAAAAATCAACTAGCATATACCCGGAAAAGTAAGCGCACCATCAAGGTCTATGTTCATAGAATCAAGATTAATGTTTAGACTTAAATGACTTACATAATACTTGATGCGCGGTTAGTCTTCGCTTGGGGTCTCGCACAAGCATTTTCTTTACCAAGTCTTTTGCGCTTTCAGAGATGCTTGGCCACGGATCAGATGAAAAGTCAAGATCTCCATGAAGAACCTGTTCGAAGATACCTTGTTCGGTTTCTGTTTATTTCATGGAAATAGCACCTTGTTTCAGAGACTAATATGAACAAAGCAGATACTTTACTCTAAAATGTGCAACCCCACTTACCAGCCCAGAAAGGAGGAACTCCGCTTAACAAAATGTAAACAATCACACCAGCACTCCACACATCAGATTCAGGACCATACCGCTTTCTAAGAACTTCTGGAGCTACATAATATGGACTACCAACAACATCTGTAAAAACCTCATCTGCAAGATTGAAAGACAACAGAATTTCAAACTCAAACATAGATGATATGTGAATCGAACGATTAAAGACAAAAATGACTACAAAAGGAAAACCTGGCTTAAAGAACATTGAGAGTCCAAAGTCTATCGTTTTCAAGAGGGAGTCTTCTTCTTTACTAACAAATAGAAAATTCTCGGGCTTGAGGTCTCGATGCATAACACCAAGAGAGTGACAAGTCTCTAAAACCCCAACAATGGTTCTCGCGAGCTCAGCGGCTTTCCTCTCAGTGTAATGTCCACGTTGGATAATCCTGTCAAAAAGCTCACCACCGGAACACAACTCCATCACAAGGTGTACCGCAACAACATCCTCATAAGCTCCTTTAATGGATATAACATTAGGATGACCAGCCAAATGATGCATTATCTGAATCTCTCTTCTCACATCTTCAACGTCCTCATCGGTCAAAAGCTTCCTCTTGGAAATCGACTTGCACGCATACTCATTCCCCGTACCTTTCTCAACGCATAAAAACGTCGTCCCAAACTGCCCTTGTCCAAGTTTCCTTCCCAATGAATAGAACTCTTTAAAGTTTTCAGTTTTCCTCTGCAACACTGACTCAGTCCTGAGCCCTGCACTCGACACTCTCTTCATGTGTTTAGGCTTCTTAGGTTCAGGTTTCGTATCCGGCTTGGTTTCATCCTTTGTTTCTGGTTTTGGTGTCTCCGGCTTGGATTCAGACTTTGTTTCTGGTTCTGATGTCTTTGGCTTGGATTCAGACTTTGTTTCTGGTTCAGGTGTCTCCGGCTTGGATTCAGACTTTGTTTCTTGTTTTGTTGTCTCCGGCTGCATAATAACTTCCTGCTTGGTTTCTTTAGGTTGGATCACTGCTTCGGCTTTCGATTTGGTTTCGGTTTCAGGAATGGTCCTTGGATTTGGCATTGTGACTTGCTCAGGGGGTTTATTCTGGACTTGATCAGGTAATGGTCCTGAAGCTGCTTCATTGGCAACATCTCCATTACTATGGGAAGAAGGTTGCTCAACTCCGATCCGTGGCCGCCACATTGCTGCCGAAACAGTTTGCAAGAAACCATTTCCAGATATGTTTGGTCCTACGCAAGCATTACCCATCAAAAAATATCTTCTCTACTTAAATAATCCTAAAATCAACTTCTTCAGAATCGCATTCAAGCTCTCCACACCAAGATCTGATCAAAAGAAGACAGTTTGATCTGATCTGATCTCATTCCTAATGATCAGAGACACTACAAGTGAAAGTCAAATACCACATAATCTAAGACTTCGTTCTCTTCTCCAAAGACAATCGGATATCATAGAAAATTGATCAGCTCGGATCAGGCAATGATTTAAAAAACTCCGAACACAGATGCACAAGCAAAAACCCTACTCGAGTCGATGCACTAAATGCAAAGAACGAGTCTTTCACAATAAAAAAATCAATAGGCCAAAAGTCATGAATTTTTCTCCCGGATTTTTAGAAGGGTGCTGGGAAAAATCGAAATTTGAAATGAACCCAGAACAGAGAACGATGGAATGAAACCGAATCCAGAAAACGGAAATGATCTGAAAACAAAGAGATCTGAGATACAAAAAGAAAAGAAGAATGGTTTGATTTGGTCGGAAGGAAAATAAGCGAGGGAAAATCGATGGATGTCTTGATAGCACTACATTTGCATAAAACCTCAGGGGGCTTGTAATCTTGTATAGTTTGTTTGATAAGTCAATTGTGGAGAAGATGGTGAAGATGAAGGAGGTGAATGAACGAGTTTGAAAAACGCGTTTGGGTAAATCACCAGCGAATTTTGCGCTCTCGTTGTCTCAGATTATTTTTTTTTATCTTTTTTTTTGTAGTACCCACTCGCTCCCACCATCAGCAGTCGATAGAATAATCAAACTGTTAATACCATCACTTGAACTTGAACTTAATGGATTATTAACTGAATTTTGTTGTTAGTTACAAAAAAAGTATGGAAGAACTGTTCACCAACGAACGAGACAGACAGAGGAACCAAATACGAGTTTTTTTTTGGGTCAAAACCAAATACAAGAGTCGATCATGCAAACCAATGAAGCCATAAAAACCTACCGGTCAAAGATTGTAGAGTCTAATTAGATTTCCAGACATCATCTTTAGCTTCCATTGTCTTTGATCCATAAATAACACTCTGGTCTCTCGAGGAAGCAAGAGCGGTTTTCAAAGACCTGCCATAACTAACCGGATATCGCTTTGTAGCCTTCCTTTTCCAGTAATTTGGCCAAGGAGTTGTCTCCGGTTTTAATGATTCTTCCATTCTCCTGAAACAGAGCAACATACATGAACCATTCATACCAAAATAAAAGCGAAATCATATGATTTTTGTGGAGCCAAGTAAAGAAGGCTGGTTTGGCAACAATACTCACCATGATGTGTATGAGAGTTGGTTTGATGTAGTCAAGTAGGCGTTGATAGTGTGTTATCATCAGAACAGAGTTTTTTGGTGTCAAAAGCCCGTTCACCGCCTTTGCCACATCTTGAAGAGCATCAACATCCAACCCTGAATCAATCTCGTCCAGTATAGCCAACTCGGCTCCAAGGACCTGAATAAATTTCCGTTACCAAATGTTGCATTAGTGTTTCCATTTATGTAATGCTACGAAGAAAGAGAGACTTATTAAATCCTTCATGTTTACAGCTTTATGATTAAGTGGCCCGACCAACTCATGTCGCACAATTTCGAAAACATAATATAAGATGAGATAAAGTCCGTCTATCTAAATAACATATACCGCCTTAGGCAGGTCAACCCAAAAATCCTGACTACTACTAGCCTCGTGTTTTCCATAGTTATGGAACAAGCACAGTATTCCAACTACTTTCAGTTACTTACAACATTTGTTTCTTATCATATATGGTGCTTGTGGCAATTAAGAAACAAGGGGAATTGGAGCAATACCGCTAACTGTAGAATCTCGTTGCGTTTCCTTTCACCACCACTAAATCCTTCATTGACATTTCGGTTCAGAAAATCGGTCTTCATATTCACAACTTCAAGCTTTGATACCAAGTGGCTGTAGAACTGCATGAGCCATGTTATATCCGTAAGAGAGAAGACAGAAGATAAGCACAAGTAGACAGTTCTTAAAAAGGGGACCAATTGGCACAGAGGCACACAACAACAACAAGTAAGAAAGAACGCAATGTAAATCCACATCCTCTATATTAGTAACTCCTATTTGAATGATTTGGCATGGCACCTGGATTGGATCAAGCTCTGGCTGACCGAGCTTTCTTTTTCGAGCATTGAATGCCATATTCAAGAAATCCATATTGCTAACACCAGGGATCTCAACTGGGGACTGGAAACTCATGAAGAGACCAGCAAGAGATCTTTCCTCTGGTTCCATATCAAGCAGATTCTGCCCTTTAAATACAATACTTCCTCCCGTCACTTCATAATCAGGATGACCAACAAGAACCTACAAAGAATAAGGGTCACTGAGATAACAAACAGGAAGAGAACAATACTATGCAGCAAAAAGCAATCCTAATATACAATATCTTCTCTTTCTCCTAAGATTTTGGTTTCAAAGACTTTAAGATAATAGATAAAATCATGTTAAGATGCAGTCGAAAAGCTCACCTTAGAAAATGTGCTCTTCCCTGAACCATTTTTCCCCATCACTGCGTGAATCTGTGATTTTGTTAGCCACCACGAAACAAAAATCTATGAGAATCGACCAAAAATTCCACAAAAATAAACCAGATTTTACAATTAGCAGAAATGCAAACGATCCACACAAATAAAATTTGTTCAAGCTCGTGCGGGAGTTATCCGATGTTTCTAGAACTGAACCAACCAAAAAACATTGAAATTCACAAGTTCATTGTCTTGTTGACTCATCACTTATGATCAGATTTTCAAACTCAAAACTTTCTCAGATGATGAGACAATTCCAATTCGAACTTCGTTGTGATAAAAATTCAAATCAACCTACAAAAGTTCACTTATTGATGCGTACCTCTCCTTCGTATACAACCAAATTGACGCCTTTTAGTATCTCCTGCCTCGATTCAACAATCACAGCTCTCAAATCCTTAACCTCAAGCAAAGGGATTCTGCCCACGTCATCCCGATCTCCCACTAACGAATCAACAGCCGAGGAGACGGAAGAAGCAGCAACAGTAGCTGAACGGCGAGTGGTTCGCAGGGTTGCAGCGGCGGCGGAAGTAGCTCGGAGATTACAGAAGAGAACACGAGAGGGTGAAATCCCGAGCCGAGCTCGCTGAGGAGAAGGAGAAGGAGAAGAAATGGTTGGAACAAATTGAGCAATCGAGTATGCGTGACGCAGCTGGAGGTTTACGCCGGCCATGGAGTCACAAAATTGCGGCGGAAATCGACGGAGGTTATCCGGTGAGTGATGGAGTATGCGTGAACGGTGTGGTTAGGTCCAGGGAATCTTATTTCACGTGTTGAATGCCACGTGGTATTTATGTAGGCTACAAGATTAACAAGGGAAAAAAAAAAGACAGAGAAAAACTAAACGATGTCGCTTTATGTTGATACCCTTGAACGCTTCTATACTTTCCTTGTATCACAAGAAACCATTGATAAAATCATATGAGATCTTGGGACGAAGAAACAGACAACGTCAGTGCCCTAAAGCAATCCAAAACCCAAACCTTAATCTCAAAACCTCCCATTACCCACGTAACTATCTCTTATATACACATCGAAATATCCTTCAACCACATTAAAATATATGTTTCATCACAGTTTGAGATAACTAGTTTCAAAATTAAAAGACTCAGTTTTCTTGTCCTGATTTATATATACAAATACATATACATATGGCAATGATCAGGAGGCCAAGGCCGGGCGGTGGCCGTCATCCCCCACCGTTGGCTCCGACGGTGAGCAGTTTCAAGCCAAGAGCTCAGTGGAGCAACTCCGGATCTACCATTTTCCTCTACGTCAATCTTCCAGGTCTAATCTCTTCTCTTCTCTCTTTCTCTTTTTGTTAACCTGAGATCAATCTTTAGTTTTGATACAAACTTTATGAACTGCTCGTTTATTTTGTGGAATCGACAGGGTTTTATAGGGATCAAATAGAAATAAAGAAGGATGAGAGGTCACGGATTATCCAGATTCAGGGCCAGCGACCGCTCTCTACTCAGACTAAGGCTCGTTTCAATGAAACTTATCGGGTCCCTGGCTCGTGTGATATGACGAAATTGAGCACCTCCTTCTCGCATGGTCTCTTGACGATCGAGTTTCCGGCGGTCGTTGAAGATGAGAAAGCGGGAAAATCAGTCCAAGATCAGGGGAAGATTGTACAGAGTCCTAATCAGGAGAAAAGTAGAGGAACTGGTCTTAATATGAGTAGTTTGGGACCAAAGAAACCTTCGGACGAGGAGCAACAAGTGGGCACAAGTCAAGCGAAAGCTGCTCCGGTGGCGAATAAAGAAGAGCCCAAAACGTATAAATCAGTGGTTGAGGGTAAGAGAGCGGTGCCAACGGCCAATCGAGAGAAGACTGAACAGAAACTGAAAGAGCGAGAAGCCAACCCTAGCTTGGGCCGTAATGGACGTGCGAAAGAAGAGGAGGCTGCTCAAAAGACTGTACAGAAGGTAAAGGAGAAAGAGGCTGGAAGTACACCGACCGTTGGTGGTAACGTGAAAGCCAATGTACTTGCAAAAGAAGAGAAAGTAATCGAGAGAAAGAAAGATGGTGATATAGGTCAGCAAAAGACAGGAAAGAAGGTGAAGGAGGAAGGAATCACTAGAACGCCAACCCTTGGTGGTAGTTTGGAACCCAAGGTACATGCCAAAGCAGAAAAAGTAGGTGGGAGAAAGGGTGATGGTGAAAAAGGTCAAAAGCAGAAAGGGGAAGGAAAGATTGACTTGGGACAAAAGAAACAGGAGAATTACACGAAGCCAGTTGTCGTTGATGAGGCAAGCAGAACAGAGAAGAAAATTAATGCCACGAACAGAGCAGAAGCTGAGTTAAAAATGAAAGAGAGGGTTGAAAGAACAGCACTGGATGTTAATGGTAACATGAAAATCAGGCAGGATGAGAAAAATGAGGATATGGCTGGAGACAAGGTAAGCGAAGGAGAGATTCAAAAGGTACTGAAACAAAAGAAGATAGAAGAAACCGGTCTAGCCAAAGAAACAGGAGATTTGAAGGATAATCTTAAAGCCATGGAACGGAGAAGGGTAGATTTGGGTGATCCTTTGAAGGAAGAAACAACGCGAGGAGGTGAAGATAGAGAGAAGATGTTTGAAAAGATTTCAGAATCAGAAAGCAGCCCATTGCTAATCGACGAAGGACAGAAGAAGACCAACTTGGATCCTTCTGCGATAGAAGGAAGAGGACTGGAGGAAGAAGAGAATCAGAAATACGAAATATCTTTAGTTAATGTTGGAGTAGCTTCTCTTGTCATCATGGGGTTTGGTGCTTACGTCTTTATACCTCTTGTAAAAATGTTCTATTGATTCTGTTTAAAACAAAACAAAAAGTAGGTGGTTACTAGTTTATATTTTATGTTCCAAAAAAGAATAATGGCTATTCCAGAATAATTTAGTTTCAACTTTTCAAGCAACATCTTTTGTTGGGATAATTTCTCAAAGAAACCAAAGAAAATGCCAGGAGATGCGTGTTACAGATTACAACTATGGTCTTTTCTTCTCATAGTAACATTAGAAAACAAAAATACACTAGGAAGAGAAGAGTTCAAAAGCATAAACACTTAAAAAAAATCTGTACGGATTGGACTGGAATGGTAAAATCTACAAGCTAGCGGCTTCTTCAAGACTGGGAATCCCTTCGCCTTCTTCTCCATCTGCTGCAGAGATTAGAGACGCCGATTGAATCTTTCCGGCATGATCAAGTCGCATAAGAATCACTCCCCTGAGAAATTCAAATTGAGAAATAAACATCACATAAATAAATACAATTGCCACACATAGAAAAAGTGCTTAAAAACTGGAGGTGGCGGGAATAAAAAAAAAATACCGTGCACGGCGTGATTGAATTGAGATATCCCTGACTTTGATCCGGTTCACTGTTCCGCTTTGGCTCACTAGAACCACTTGTTCATCGCTTTCTCCATCCTCTGAAAGATAACCCATTGGTGAGGTTTTTGAAAGAACACTTTCAGAGCATCTAAAACAGTCCTTATTTGTGGAGGAGTGTATATTTACCAGCTAGGGAGTAACCAACCACGAATACAGCAGCCAAACGATCATCCTCCGCAAACTGAGAAATTGAGACGAAAGAAGAATGAACAAACAAAGCAAGCAAGAGATAGTTTATAATCCAGATCATACCTTGGATCCAATTAAACCAACTCTGTTCAAACGCGAAGGCTTGAAGCTACTCAGAGGAACACGCTTTCCGTGGCCATTCTCACACACGAATAATAGCCATGGACCGGTGGATTGTTTCCCGCTTTTGTTTTGTGTTAACAGAGTAAAGAAGACAATAAAACGTTAGTTAGAGTGGCAAGGACAGTTTTAAGAGCAAATATTAGCAGTTATAACTAAAGAAACACATACACAGTCGAAGCGTCTTCTGGCTTCTCTTCTATATCTTTTCTCAGAGATGCAGGTATGATGTCCATGCTCGCCATCTTATCCTCTTTCCTAAGTCTCATGGCAGTCACTCCCTTTGTATTTCTGCTCAGAGTTCGAACCTAATAAATAATAGCCATTAGAGTTTGCCTAAGTAACAAAAGCCTTCCTCCGAAGAAGAATCAATAACTGCAACTTACACCATCACATGTACTCAGAACGACCATTCCGTTTTGGGATGCCATGGCCACAAGATCATTGCTTGAGCAACAACGAACCCATTTCAATTCATCGCCAGAATTCTGGAGATAAACAATTATGTTAGAACAACCTTTGTTAAGAAGAGCGTACCAAAAAAATTGACTAGAAAGAAAAGGGACAAACCAATTGAATTGCAATGATTCCAGTTGAGCGTATCCCTGAGAATAACTTCAAAGGTACTTTCTTGATGCAGCCATTCACTGTAAGCATCAGGAGATACTGGTCTTCAGCAAACTCGCTAATAGGAACAATGGAGGTTACTCTTTCACCTTCTGACATGGATAATATCTGCTTCCACAAGTGACAAGGATACAGAAAAGCATTAAAATCATAGAATCAATACTTTTTCCACGAGCAGAAGGAAAGCATATATATAGATACATGAATTACCTGGACCAAAGGTGTGCCAGCTGCATTGCGGGAGCATTCTGGAATTTTATATGCACGTGTTGAGTAAACTATACCCCGATCACTGAATGTAGAACAAGTGTAAGCAATTAATTACAAGGCAAAAAATCCAAGTCCCATGTGGAGGGCAAAAACAAAGGCGATTTCCGTTATATATACCTGAAGAAGAGGACATGGTCATGTGCATGACAAACAAGAAAGTCAGACATTGCATCATCAACTCTCAGTTTCCCAACAGATTTACCAATCGTTCCACGATGCTGAAGATTGAACGTATCAGGCTTCATCCTTTTCACATAACCCTTTTCGCTGACTGCCTAAGAACATCCAGAAATCAAAAGTCACAAAACAATCAAAGTTTTTCTAGGTTTAAGCATGCAACATACCATCAGCATCTCGTCATTTGGAATAACATCTATATCATCCAGATCACCACTGTCAGAATCTTCCAACATTGAACGCCTGGGACTTGAGAATCTGTCCTTCAGCTCTATTGCTTCTTGCTCGATTAACTAAAAAAAAATCGAGAAGAAAGCGAGAATAGTACAAAATTCATTCAACAGAACAATTATGTATATATGTATATAGTAAGCGACTTTACAAATATAACGCACAAGCACCAGTCACTGTTTCTTGAGAAAGCTGAGGGTTCCATTTAGCAAAAAGTAAACGGAAGAGGCATTAGAACGTTTGTTACCTTCAAAATGTTTGTTCTGCTTGACAGTAGCTGGTCCAACTTTGTAATTTGCTCCGTCAGCGAACTACTCTCATCAGTAAATTTTTTCCGCTGCACAAATGTGAAGGCAGAATCTAGTTAAAACATCTTTTAGATTACAAGTTAAATTTCAAAACTGAACTTAGAAAAAACTGACGAGAATAAAAAGGTACCTCCAGAGCAGTTAGTCTCCGAAGACTTATCTCCAATATAGCCTCAGCTTGTTTCTCAGAAAGCCCATATTCTGTTTAGATAAATTGACAATGGTAAATCCCTTAGAAATCTTTGCAAGCAACAACAAATCTAACACCAAATGAAACTTTATTAAACAGCCAACACTTCCAGATAACGAGATGAGAAACCTATTATGTTGTTCTTAACTAATGTATTCAGTTGAAAATTTGGATCCTATCATATGTCCATCAGTCCATTTAAGAAAATGGCTCACGTAAAATACAGCTCACCACTCTGTAAAGCAGCCGCAGCAGAGGAATGACTTGAGGCTTTTTTGATGAGTTGGATTACTTCATCCATATTGTCAAGTCCAACCACAATACCCTACAGTGAAGCAATTAGAAGGAAAAGTTATGTAAATAGAGTTTTACATAGTGAAATCATGTTTTTCATTCGTCACAATTAGTTAAGGAAATAGTTAAAATATGTAGCATAATTTATGAACACTAAACATCTCGAACACACACCTCAATAATATGCTTTCTTTGTTGTGCATGTGAAAGCTTAAACCTCGCGCGCCTTTCGACAACAGAACATCTGAAATCAATAAATGCCTACACACACAAAAAAAAAAAAAAATTAAACAGAAAATACGCAATCCATTGTGATAATAGTAGCACAGAATTAAACATTCTATCTCTGTTTTTCACTTTTCTACTACTCCTTCTGGCCTATGTTCTTCGACATAAGCTTAGGCCATGAAAATATATTTATTATAAAGATCAATTTTCAGTATTTTTTAATATAAATACGGAAACTTAAAAAGACCAATGATTTACATAGGCAAGTAGTTACCTGAAGTAATTCTTTCAGACCCATTTGCTTGGGTTCTCCATTACAGATACTGCAAAACACGTATTATTAAAACCAGTTACGATCAAGAAATACAACATACTCATTAAAGAGTTTTCGATGAGTCAACCTGTGAAACGCCAAGTTTCTTCTATATGCTGAGACTAACAAGGAATACAAAAATGTCTATGCAGCAAAGACAGGATAAACGAAGTACAAAGTATTGATTGACACATTCCTCTGGACCCTAATCATAGTCACCTATGTCCATGATTCACCCATGTGTCTCCCATACTTAATTTCATTATCGAGATATAAGAAGCTGTTTGTTGATGCATTCAGCTTAACCAAATTATGATCCCACAACCCATCTTACATTTCTCCCAACGCCCGAACTGAAAGACTTTGTAGTCAATTTTTATACAAAAACTGCAAGAGTTCCTCTAGATAACGAATGTGAATCCCTTTTTTTCTGTTTCGTCCACAAGTCTGGATTGGGTTAAATAAAACAACAGGCAACAACAGATGGTACTTCAAAGTAACTCACCTCACCATGTTGCAGCTGAAGCTTGATTGGAGGGCAGTATGCCGGTAAAGGTTATTTAGCACAAGTGCAGGATCTCCTCCTCGTTTGAGCTGTGAGAAAAATTTCGAAATTATATCAAAACCATTACTCTCCACTATGAATTTTTAAGCAGACGTTACAGCCTAAGTGCAGAGAAAACAGTGTAATACCTCAATAACCACACGCATCCCATTACGATCACTCTCATCGCGTATGTCACTTATCCCCTCTAGTGTCTGAAATTAACAAACACCTAACGTCAATGAATGAAAACAAGAAACTCAGCAAACATCAACCTAATATATCTTTTCCTGACAGATCAGTATCAGTTTTGTTATTCATAAAACTGAACCAGGAGGGGTGCTAGGAATGTAATATGCCCGTGAACAAAATATTACATACTAATAAGTGAAGCAAGATGTTAAACATTTAAAGTGAAGAGCTTAGTTGGCCTTCCTCTTCCTTCATAACACGTGTCATCAACAAACCCACCATTTACAGACATTTTTACCACACATCATTGAGTACCTTATTTTCAACAAGTTCAGCAATCTTCTGGACAAGCGTAGCTTTGTTTGTCTGGTAAGGAATCTGCAATAAATTTAATTAAAGAGGTTACTCTAGCTGCTTTTTACCGTAATGATACTCTACACAAAGCCTCCTCCTTGGAGATCTATACATATAACTGAAATCTAAGTCGATCACCTCTGTGATGATAACTGCATTGCGCTTTGTTTTTGGATCTAGCAATTCAACATGAGTTTTTCCTCTAACTACAACACGCCCTTTGCCAGTTCGGTAAGCATCTAAAACCCTGAAATGCATCCACATATTCGAGAACTGTTAGGAAACAACATTAACAGCAGGAAATGGAATATGCATGCGAACTTTTTTCTTTTTCGTAAAGGTATCCAACAAACTTGAAATCAAATTTCTTCTGTGTAGAAGTATTACATAACATGTAAACTTTTAAAATTCCATCAAATATAACAATGATTCTAAAACTGCATAAGACAGGCAAATAAAGAATTTTAGTTTCCAGATACAAGTACACTTCTGTAATCTGTTATAATCATAGATATGACTAACGGAAAAAAAAATTCCATATTCATTAATATTTTCTTCAAAAATCAAGAAAACGGCTTGAGGGCCCTTCGATTTGATCCTTAAGCAAGCATAGCATGCTCTTAAACTAACAGAAATATGAAACATTGGCAAACTCTGATTCTAATCAGAAAAGCAGAGTACGCAGATTAGAGAATTATTAGAAATTGACTCAAGGGGGAAATTGGAAAGCAAATACTTACCCAAGGTTTCCCATAATTATTCCTCCAGTTGGAAAGTCAGGTGCAGGCATGTATTCCAGCAGTTCTTGCAACTGATGGGATAAAGAAGAAAGTAGAAACAAAACCATATGAGTTTATAGTCATGTCTACTTATAAAGTGGAAGTTTTCATGTTAGACAAAAGACCACACAATTTTGACAGTCATACTAAAGCAAAAAGGAGAAGAGGTAGCTTTGGTACCGTTGCTTCTGGATTATGGATTAAAGCGCAAAGCACATCTACCACCTCCCCAAGATTATGAGGAGGAATAGCTGTCGCCATGCCAACCTAAATAGAGTGAAATGATTAAACTCAATTGCATAAATAATCTGACACAGTTAGAAAAACTGCTCACGATATAAACTGAAGAAACCTAAAATAAAATAAGTAACTAAGGCAGACTTAAGGTTTCTCAGACTATCTTACCGCAATCCCATGAGCTCCATTCAACAATAAAGCAGGAAGACGAGCAGGCAACACTGCTGGTTCTTTTTGTGAGTTATCAAAGTTGGCCACAAAATCAACCTGCAAAATGATTAGAAACAAAAGAAGCTAAGAAACAATATCGTACAGCATCAGTAAACTAAGCAATATGTGTAGCCGTGTGATTACCGTATCTTGGTCAAGATCAGCTAATAATATTGCTTCTGCAAGTGGCTGTAAAGAAAATACGAACAATCAGCTGAAGACACTGAACAAAAAGTCATGACCATTTCATAACAAAAAGAAATGCTGAGCATGAGAGAAGCAGTATAGAGCATAGGAAAAACTCAACGAAATGAAACAAAAGATTGCAGGGAAAAACATATCAGTTTGGTGAAAGGCACTCACGTCGAGTCTGCACTCTGTGTATCGCATAGCAGCAGCAGGATCTGCATCAATCGAGCCAAAATTTCCATGGCCTTGGATAAGTGGACTTCTCAAGGAGAAACTCTGCAAAGAACAAGATGCAAAAAAAAAAAAGAACGTATTAAGAAAAAGATACATTTTTTGAAGACTGGAATACATTCCATGGATTCAGACATTCATAGTACCTGAGCCATCCTAACAAGAGAATCATAAACGGCCGTGTCGCCATGGGGATGAAATTTTCCAAGAACCTTTAAGATTAAAGAGTTCAACAGCAAATTCAGAACCACAACCAGAAATTTACAGGGGATTTGAAGGGAGAGAACATTTGGAAGAAAAATGACTTCACCTCTCCAACAACTCTTGCACATTTCTTGTATGGTTTTTTGGATGACATCCCCAATTCGTGCATGGCAAAGCTGGAGTTTTAAAAAAAAAACAAATTTTTAAGAAAGGAAAAATTTACTGAATAAAACTTAAAATTTAAGAAGCATAAAGCCGGAACACTCAACAGGATTCTCCGATGGACTGGCTTGAGACCGTCTCTCACATCCGGCAAGGCGCGTCCAAGAAGTACAGACAACGCGTACGACATATACGACTCCGTAGCCTCCTTGTGAAGCTCGAACGGCACAATACGCGAGTCGCCGTTGTTAGCATCCTCGGAAACCACGGAATCGCCATTGATGGCGGACCGTGGAGGACGGAAGGAGATGAACCGGACGCCGGAGGGTTCAGTGCGGCGGAGACGGCATAATGGGTCGGTAAGGGGAAAACGGAAGTGGCGAGACTGGCCGAGGGAGCGACGGAGGAGGGAAGAAGAAAGGCGGAGAGTGGAGGAGAGAGACATGAGAGAGTTGGGGTTAGGGATTGATACGGTGGAATGGCAAAATGGAGTCATGCCCAAAGGTTTTAGAAGAAACGGATTAAAATGCTAAAACCCTAGCCACACCGGAGAAATTTTTCCCAGGCGCCAATTTCAAGACTTTGGCGTGGGGGGCTTTCTGTCCGAACAAAAAAAACACTGCTCTTTCTCACTCAATTGCTGTCGTGACACTTTTTCATAACTTTATAAAAAAATTACACTCAGCTGTCTTCAATTTCGATTTCAAGTTCTAATTTCACCAAACTAAAATTCTATCTTTGTTTACTCTTTAATTAATTAAGTTTAGATTATTGAACAAAAAATTAGTTCACAATAAGGTTCAAAAAAAAAAATTTGTTCACAAACACTTCCAAAAAAAAACAAAATGTTGAGGAAAAAGGAAAATTCTTATCATCAGAAACACGTTGCAACAAGCCCCAAATTAAATATTTAAATCAGTCGTCCCTATTAATTGGAAAACATTTTTAGTTTTACCCTTGAAGTAGGAAATTTTACTAATCAGCCAAACGATTGCCTAGCCTTCTCTTTCAATTCGAAAACTTCAAGAAACCAAATAGAAAAGAGAAGGATGATTTACATTATGTATGTATGTATTGTCAAAGTTTTAGTAACAATAGAACGTAAAAATCAATGCTCCATTTCTACAACCCTGCAAAACCTATCATGATGAAACCCTGACCAGAGACCAGAGAATTCTCAGAGAGAATCAAAAAGGAATTAACACAAAAGAATCAAAATCATGGGAGCTTTTCGAGGGACGAAAATCCGGGTTTTGGCGACTTATCAAATAAACCAAAACTCTGGGTTTGATCAGAGAACACGAGCAGAGTCACCTGCTTCACAGATGAGAACAGGTTTTCCTCCATTCAGTTTCTTGGCAAACTCGGGTTGGGCCTTTTCATATTCATCCTTCACATATGAAGCAGCTGCCTCAGCTTCTTCTGCATCTACAAAGGCCAGACAACATCCCCTGAAGCCTGCACCACTGAACCGAGCACCATATACACCAGGAGCCTTCAGAAGAATCTTGTATAGCTGAATCAGTGGCTCCGCACCTTCACCAAACTCTCACACTTTAAAACCAAATGATGAATCTAACAGAGAGATAGAGAGAAAGTCATGTCTGTGAAAGCACTGGGAGAGAAGCAAGGAAAGAGAGTGTACCGCATTCGTAATTCTCAATAGAACTCAAGCCGGACGCTGAAATTAACTTTCCAAATTCTTCGAGATTGCCTGAAGCCCAGGCTTCTAATCCTGAAATTTAAGTATCACAAACATTCATACAAGTCCGTAAAGCATCATCACGAGCTTAACGAATCCATTTATGCACATAACGAGACTTCTATCAGAATTCAAGAGGATTTGCCTTTAGTAACCCGCATGTTTTCCGAGAAGTAATGCTCTGCTCTTCTAGCTAAAACCGGTTTCAGCTCATGCTGTACGAGCAAGTAAGATTGTATTAAATAAATTTATAGACCTGATATAGGTGGAACCTGATTTACCACAAGTTTAAGAGTATTGTTTTCTTACCATGTGAGCTTCATAGACCGCATGCTCAACTGTTCAGTGGGAGAGGAAAGAGATGGCAAAGAAAATCTTATTAGCGTGCCAGGAACAAGAGACATTAATCCAAACTCAAAAGTATTTTTACCATTGCATAAGGTTGGTTCCAGCTCGCTGTTCCCAGATGCACTGAAGAAAAAGAAAATCAAGAGAAGGATGTGATGCAAAGAAATGAGTATCACAAGCAATAGAGCAAGTAATACACTTTAGAGCATTTCCACAAAAATTTAAAATATAAAGAAGGCGTTTATGCAGATAAGCGAGTTAACAGAACAAAAGATTGTGCAGATTAGTGTGAATTCAGTAGATTTGCACATACGTCAAAAGGACTTTAGCGGCCTCTTGACACTCAGCAACTCGCAGATTATATCCTGGGTTCGTGGTCAATGCCTGCCTCAAGCCTGAGAATGCTAATAATATCCTGAACGGTTTCTTAAATTCAGGAGCCCGTACGAGCTTGTGGTCCATAGTCTGCATATTTCAAACCATTCTTCTGAGATGGCAGTTTCTGGAAGAAAATAAAGATGGGCAAGCAACATTCATGTTTCTAAGGAAAGAATTGTGAACGTTGTCGTTACCACATGAGCAAGCTTCTAACTTTTTTTGCATATCACTAATAAATCAAGGAAATTTTACCTTGCAGTTCATGTATGTTAGACACCCAAAACTCGAAAGCAAAATAGCTGATTGATCCAAAATTCCATTCCGCAGACCCAGATACCCATTCTCAATGAGTCTGCAGATGCAATTAATAGCATGTAAGTCGACCAATTTGCAGCACTAATTGCTGATTTTACAGGAGGCAACTGCTCATGAAACAATAAAGATGAGATTCTTAGTTACATTAAAGTGAAAATTGTATTTACCTGTCATATTCGATATTTTCTGTTGGGGATACAGTCAATTCGTTTGCATTCTCTAAAGCTAGCAAGTAAGCCACACCAACCTGTCACATTTCTGGCGATCAAAAAATAATTTACAAGATTCCTTTTACAAAAATAACAAGCAAACGCCATTCCACATCTGCTAAAAGTGGTACTAGTAAAGAACAGGAAAAGTTGTCTTTCCGAAGAAAATCCGGCTGTACGAAATCTGGCGGGTTTTGGTTACTTACAGCAGCTGATGAGCTAAGCCCAGAACTATCTAGTCCATCCGAGCCACTGATGCAACCAACAATGCCCTTCAAAAATCAAAACAATTAAAAACACATTTAAAAACAGTTACGTAAATTATTATTGGAAAAGCAAGTCCTAAGAGATTAGGCATGGCAACCAAAAAAAGGGTGAATATGAATCCAGAAGATCAGACTGCAAATGTACAGGCTAGAAATCATCTCCCTTTAATGGTCAACTTTATCTATAGCTGTAAGCAGAAAACCAAAATTTAGCCCATTACCTGTTTAAGATTCTTTTTGCTCGTCTGTAACGCATAAAGTGCTCCTCTGGCATAAGTTCCCCAGATGCTTTTATCCTTTGATGCACCATTCTTATTTGCTACGCCTATTGGATGCTGGATTTCATCGACTCTATAATTTCAGAGCCCAAAAAAAAATTTATAAGCATTACGCGTAGAAGATCTGAAATCCACAACGAGTACAAAACTGAAACCACTAAAGAAAAAGAAATACCTGACACAAAGCTAAAACATTATGAATGCATGAAACAGAAACTAGGAAAAAAAACATGCAATCTTTTCCAACATTGGTACTCTTGTTTTCGTTATATCTCTAAGGGTCCTCAAATTCAAATGAATGCTTGGGGAAGGTGCGTCAAACGAAAAGGTTAACCTGGTAGATGTCTAAGACTTAAGTGAAAGATGAGTTAATCTACATACTGGAATGAGATATAATGGAATACTGGCAAGATCGAAATAGGCTTCTACGATATCTAAGATGCAGCCATTAACGAGCTAGTGCATGTCTGAGGCTGGACATGTAAGTTTGAAAAGAATAATGACAAGATGAGAGATCCTGAAAGACATACACACCTGAAACATACTTCTCCTTCAAATTGTGCAGAACGCAACTGGACCTGCATAGATATTAGAAAGAGGGTAAATGGTCAAGGCTCGAATCAAACACACAGACACAAGCAAAATTTCCTAACACAGCAGTATAACTTAGTCTCCTGTCTATATACCACATTCTTTTTGAAATTTTCCAATTTAGCTATCTATGTCAGGTGACCATTCTACATTATTAAAATCTCCATCTACTCTCAAAAAGAACCACGCTCAGAATAATGAATGATATTCAGAAGCATTCATTCCAGAAATAGAATGTTGCTTATAAGAAACGTGGAGGAATAGCGAAACAGATAAGAATCATCAAAACTAACAACTCTTAGAAACCTGAGTATCGCCCGATGGAATAAAACCAAGAAGGATCCCTTTATTAATCGTCATAGCTGATACAGCTCCACCCTGTGAATAACAAAGATGACTTGAAATTACACGAGGATGTTATGAACCAGAGAACTCTAATAGCTTGATCATAATACATCGCTATAATCACAAACCGACCTGGTGATCAATGTGAGCTCCCAAAGGACATATACGATAAGGTGCCACCACCACTCGAACTTCCCCTGTATCTCTTCCGGTCATCTTGGACACTGCTTCTTTTATGGCAGTTAACTGGAAAAATTAACGATCTCGTAAGATTAACTACAGAATATCCAAACACAAAGAAACAAAATACTCGCGTAAATCCACAGAATATACAATCAGCTCCGCACAAAGACTGATGAAATTGTACGAAGAAATGTCCGATTTGCATTCCGCCGGGAAAATGTACCCAGGGAATACATTTCTTTCGCTCCTTTCTTACGGAAACTAACATAACGGAGGAAATTTGCGACGAGCTAACCAAAATTCGTGAACGATAAAACATGCAGATTCGCGGGAAAGACGGAAAGAACGAAAGAAAGATTAACCTCAGAATCCGTAGGCCAAGACATTGTCGTGAAGCTTTACGCAGATGAAGATCTAGGGGTGCTTAGATTGTCGTACGATTTCTGGGCTGGAAGGATACGAAGAAGCGGGCAGAAGAACTGCGAGATGTGAGAGTGAGCGTCGAAAGAGGAAGATGACCAAATAGGGGGGTGTTTGGTAGCACATCTATTTCTATCCTTTTGCGAGTGTTTGGTAACCCTTTAGTTTTTCCTTTGTTCAAAAGCTTTGTTTTCCTTTTTTGTTTTTTTTTTTTTGTCGTTGTTTTCCTTATTTGTATTTGAGACGTATGTATAGTCTATGCTAATTTTTCTCTATCCGTTTTCGTCTCTTTTTTACACTCCGCAGACACTGCCACTGGTGTTAATTTATGTTCATGCATTTGCAGTGAAAACAATATCAACAAAAAAAAAATTGTTGCGTTGAATAGCACAATAAAAAAAGTAGTCATATTTCTATGTTTGTCTTGTGCCGCTTATAAATTATACGCGTCATATATTTCAAGATTGTTTTTACTGATTGAAATCATTAATCGAAAATGATTGTTTCGGTCTTCTAATTTTTGAATTATACCGAAGGGTAAAGCGAACTTTGTACTCGAACTTTTTCCATTTTCTTACTATTTTCCTAATTTATTTTTTGCCGTTGAAATCATGAATCATGTCAATTTATTAACCTTGAAGCAACAAAAGTTTGAGTACAAAATTTGCGTTAACCAGCTAGATGGATAAATACAATCCGAAAAGAAACAATTACTCCCGTTCTAGCTAATACATGAGTCGTTTCATTGAAATTTCGTTTGACATATAAAGAAATCTAGACCAGATTGAATTCATGTTGTGAATATGATTTCTTCAGCCTATTCACACCATGACTCATTGAACATCATGAAAGAGGACTTGATTTTGTTTATTTTGGCTTAGAGTAAAATAAAAAAAAAGGTCAATAGTTGTTGTCCATGTACATCAGCATATATGTCATTTCTCAAAAGAAGTCTATACTACAGATGATTAGGAGAAAACATCTGGCTGACAATGTTGTAAGAAAAACAAATGAATCGAGTATACCATTATATCTTCGAACTTTCAATTTTTTATCAAAATTATTCCTTGGCAGCTTATGTCAAACATATTTTAATCATCCAAAGTTGACAATAAAGTCCCAGTATATATTGCAATGTTGAATTGTAAGATTTGGGGATAATTTAATTAAAGAAAACTATCAATAACATGATCAATTAATCTTGTGATAGATAGACCTACAAATTCAAATTTTGACTGGTCAATTAGAAAATAGAATCATACTATCGACAATACAAAACAAAACAAAAAATAGTAATCAAAAGTGAACTGAACTGAATATAGAAAACATAACATGAACTTACATATAGATCTTTCCAAATTTTGTAAACTAAAGATACAAGCATATAGCTCGTTAAAAAAAAAAAAATCAAATAGCTAAACCGAACTAATTTTAAACAAAGGAAAACTGAATATACTGCAATGAGCAAGAGCCGAAAACATAGCGACTGAAAGGAATTCGAAAATGAAGAATTAATTGCGACATTCGAAAGAAAAAAATGTTTCACCGACATATGCTTATATCACATATAAAAATATAAAACATGAGAAGCACTTATAAGTAATAGAAATATTGATTGTGAGATTTTTTTTTTTTTTTCAAATCCCCTTTGTGCCTCGCACGTAAGTAAGTTGTTGGTTTTATTCAATTTATTGTGTTTATATCTATGTATTTATATCGACCCCCTCCACTATCTCCAAAAACCAACAACGAGAAACTTCAAAAGAAAATAGAAAATATTAACAGGAATTCCGGAAAGGGACGAAAAATGTCCTCTTCATACGGCAAAGTCGACGAGCGTGAACACGTAATGCTCGAAGCTCGTCGTAAGTCGAGAAAGAGAATCGCAATCATCGCCGTTTCTCTAGTCGTTCTCGCCGGAATCGTGATCGGAGCCGTGTTCGGAACCATGGCTCACAAGAAGTCAACGAAGGTGGAAACTAACGTTAACGGAGACTCAATCTCTGTTTCCGTTAAAGCCGTTTGCGACGTTACATTACACAAAGACAAATGTTTCGAAACGGTCGGATCAGCACCAAACGCAAGCAGTCTCAATCCAGAGCAGCTTTTCAGATACGCAGTCAAAATCACAATCGCCGAGGTCACAAAAGCTCTAAACGCATTCTCTTCCTCCTCCCGCAGGGACAACACAACGACCATGAACGCTTGCGTCGAGCTTCTTGACCTAACGATAGATAGCCTCAACGACACGTTAACGTCGTCGTCAAACGGTGACGTCACGATGCCAGAGCTAATCGATGACCTCCGTACATGGCTGAGCTCAGCGGAGACGTACCAAGAGACTTGCGTGGAGACGTTGGGTGAAACTAACGATCCAGAACTGAAGACGTTCGGGGAAAGTCAGCTCAAGAACGCAACGGAGATGACTAGCAACGCCTTAGCGATCATCACGTGGCTCGGCAAGATCGCTGACTCTTTCAAACTGCGGAGGCGTCTGCTTAGTGCTGACGTGGCGGTGGACTTCCACGTGGGAAGGAGATTGTTGCAGAGTACGGATTTGAGGAAAGTGGCGGATATCGTGGTGGCCAAGGATGGTTCGGGGAAGTATAGAACGATAAGTAGGGCTTTAGAGGATGTGCCCGAGAAGAGTGAGAAGAGGACGATTATATATGTGAAAAAAGGAGTTTACTTTGAGAATGTGAAGGTGGAGAAGAAAATGTGGAATGTTGTTGTCGTTGGAGATGGAGGGAGCAAGAGTATTGTCTCTGGTAGGCTTAATAATGTCGATGGAACTCCCACTTTCCAGAGCGCCACATTCGGTATAAATCTCTCTTTCTTTTCTTTTTTCAAAAACAGAGAACTCAAGTTGGTTAATGTGTTTTGCTATGCTCCCAAAACATAACAAGATCCTAACTAATATAACTGCAAAATATATAATACTTAGAATGCCAGAATATTTACAATTTGTCATTTATTTAAAAAATAATATCAACTAGAGTTTAGAAAAAACATTAAACAGATATAATTAACATTGCTTGTCATCCAAGAAAGGGCCGATTTGCTCTGTTTCTGCTACTTGCATGCATGCTTGTTCTGTCATTGTGGCTACATAATATACCAAAACAATCCAAATAGTAAATCCGATTCGAACTAATATCCACAGATAGAGAGATATCTAATCAATGCTTGTCACCTAATAAACCAGATATATATGATTTTACTATGTATTTATACAGCTGTGTTCGGGAAAGGGTTTATGGCAAGAGACATGGGGTTCATCAACACAGCCGGACCATCCAAACACCAAGCCGTAGCTCTAATGGCAAGCGCTGATCTGGTCGCCTTTTACCGATGCACAATGAACGCATACCAAGACACGCTTTACGTGCACGCGCAGCGCCAATTTTACCGTGAGTGCACCATAATCGGAACAGTCGATTTCATCTTCGGTAACTCGGCTTCAGTTCTCCAAAACTGCAAGATTCTCCCTCGCCGACCAATGAAGGGACAGAAGAACACAATCACCGCTCAGGGACGGACCGATCCGAACCAGAACACAGGAATCTCTATCCACCGTTGCAACATCTCTCCGCTCGGTGACCTAACCGATGTTCAGACGTTTCTAGGTCGTCCGTGGAAGAATTTTTCCACGACGGTGATAATGGAAACGTTTTTGCACGGGTTTGTTGACCGGAAAGGTTGGTTGCCGTGGACCGGAGATTCTGCGCCTGAGACGATATTTTACGGTGAGTATAAGAATACCGGTGCTGGTGCTTCGACGAGGAATAGGGTTAAGTGGAAGGGATTGAGGTTTCTAAGTACGAAGGAAGCGAATAGGTTTACGGTTAAACCGTTCATCGACGGAGAAAGGTGGCTTCCGGCGAGGAACATGCCGTTCAGGTCCGGTCTCTGATTCACTCTGACTCTGAGTATGTTTTCGGATAAATCTCTTTTATTTTTGGATGTGTATTTATATTAAAGTAAATTATAACGTAAGTTTTATTGTTATTCTCTTTTATCATTGTTTGATTTATTATATTCAAATTACATTATTTAAAATAAATAAGCAAGGCTAACATACTGTAAATTTGGTTATGGCTTATTAATTGAATATAAATTATTTTCTTTTCTGAATTGAAGCTTGAATATATCAAATCTTTTACATTGGAATTTTGTGCTGACTAGGGTACAATACAAGTTATTATAAATATAAAAAAAACATTTAAAATTCGAGATTAATCTAAATTTCTGTCTAAAAGTTATTAGTTACAAGCACGTAAGTGATCATGAGAAGTATTCCAATAGGCTAGAGTCCATCTTAGGCCATCTCCATCCCTGAACCTCATCATAAGGTTCTTGAGAATATTTAATTAATAATTTTTGATGTCTGAATAGTTAAGAACCTCATAACTTTTTTTTAATCCAACCCTGAACTCCATCACTTTTTTCTTTACAAACTAACTTGATAACAAATGAAGATAAAAGTGTGTAAGGAAAAAAAATGTGTTTACACTGTCATTCTTTTCCTCTGCAATGCCTTCTTCATTATTTACAAGCTTTCTTTGACCATATCCAACACCCAAGGAGCAATACGTGATGGAGTTAGTGACAATCATGTCCTCCTTTTTCAATCTTGTAGCGTCAAAGCAATGTATCTGCAGATACATGTTTTTAAGTTACACATTGTTAGTTTCAGAACAAACAAATCACGTTAACAAAATCAGACACAATGTGACAACTTCAAACCTGAGAAGCAAACTTTCAAAGCCTGAGGTGTGAGAACAGAAAATCGACTTGGAAAAAGCTCCACGAAAACGACCTGCAATCATCAGCCAACAGAGAAAGAGATATAAAAACAGAGAAAGATTAAAACAACTATCAAATGCACGTGAATGCTAATATGTTATAGACCCATCAAGCAAATCCAATGTGTTAACCATTTTCCATGCTTGTTTTCTAGCAGCACGCAGTTTCTCTAGAAGATTATCCACTCTGTTAGTAACATCCTCTACTTTCACCTTCAGATTAAACCAAATAACAAGAGGTTATGGCAAAAGTAACAACAACTACCTTAAATTATGTTATACGATGGAGACATTTTTTTTTATCTATCTAGGTAGCTTGTTTTTTTATCAGTTACACACATCTTCAAACATGGAAAAGAAAACACTCTAAAAGTAGAATACCTTGAGAGTCGAGCATCGACGTTTCATTTGAGAATCCCGTGAGTTTATGTATTCAAAAAAATGCTTCACCTGCAACCGCTTCGATACGCCTGATTCCAGATGCAATCCCCTGTTCCGATATTATCTTGAATGCTAGTATTTCTGCAGTCTGACTTCGGACCCCTGGTGTGCGACGGGTGTACCAAATCGCAAACTTGTACTGCACATTCCCAAAATATGAAAAACTAGATCCACTTAGCCATTAAAGTGGTAACAATGATATCATTTTTCTTACACTTAAATGATGTAATCGCTAGAAAATGGATAATTAGAGCAGAATTCAATAGCGTTGGAGCTCACATACATTAAAACAAAGTCGCAAAACCTAAGTTTACAATAAAAATTTCCAGAAATGAAGATTTCAATTCTGAATCTTCCAGTAACTCGGCTCTAAGCCGTCATATATAAAGTTCCCAATCTTCGCCGCACCAGGAGCAAAGTTTCAGCTAAGATTAGATTCGAATTTAATAGTCTAATCGATACGAAGGGTAGAGGACAAACCCGTAGAGGATGCAGACCAGCCTTGAGCTCGCGAGAGTGGCGTTCATCGGCAAAAGAGTCGGTAACATACTGCGACTTAATGCTGTCCATGTTTCCGGATTCTCCACCTTCCCTGATCTCCTCGTCCCTCCTATCCGTAATCTCCATTGCCGATTTCGTCTCATACATGAACCGAAGAACAAACTCGCGTTTTCTGTACTTGGTCGAGAGAAATGGCCTTAAAAAAAATTAACCCCACATTTCTCCATGGCCGAATCAAGATATGCCACGTATACGATGCTACAGTGATGATACGGGTTCATCAGTATCACTGCAGTGATACCGTATCATCGGGTTTGAGCCTTTTTTTTTTAATTTTTAAACCCAACAAAATCATGCGGGCCCACCTATAATCCTCCCTTCATACCGCGATGGAGATGCCCTTAGTGCCTCGCACGCATGTAACGCGCAAACGATGCAAATGTGGCCCATAAAATTACTTAACATAACGAAGACCGCAAGCCTGCAAAACTGTCTTTGCGTTCAGATTGGGCTGTCTTAAGGCTTACATAGGTAAACACAATGGTTCGTTCTCGGTCAATAATAATTGACAAAGAGTTGGAGGAGAAGAGCATCCGAAGCTTGAGCGGCAAGAGTTGAAGAATAGACGAGAGATAGTTTAAGTGAAACAATGATTCTCTCAAAAACTGTTTGTGAATTGACCCAAAAATTACAAAAACGAATGAACAAAAAACGTAGATGAGGAATATCAACAGACAATGTTAGCTAAGGTCTTGGCTCTCTATATATATATATTTCAAAGAAGAGTAGAAAGGTTTTCAGCTTCCGATTTCATCCGTTTTGAAGACGGAAAGTCCTTGACAGAAGAATCATCATCATCATTACTTGTTGTTGTTGATGATGATGATGGTGATGGTGTATCAATGTCTTTCGGAAACTCTCTCTTGTTATAATGGCTTCTTAAGGTTTTGCATTCCTCTGCTTCTGCTTCATTTCTCATTATAAGTTGTTTTATTCGTTTGACGTCTGCTAGTTTCACCGGTTTTAACAGAAATTCCTCTGCTCCTTCCTTAATACATCTGGAAAGAAGAATATAAGCCACAAAGTTTAGATCATAGTAGTATAGACAAAAATCTGATCTACTTTGTTTTATTGTCACATTACAGAATCACGTACTGTTCTATACGGGGTAAGATGTTCTCAGATGACATAATCACTACTGGGATTTCTCTGAATGCAGAAGATTCCTGCACATATCAATGGAATTTGTATGAGCATACATTAGTAAGGCTTTGTTCAAAGTTTTTTTTCTCAGATTGAGAAAATCAAGATCTAATATTATTGTTACCTTAATCTTCTTGAGAAGATCATATCCCGTTAGTCCTGGCATTGAGTAATCCGTCACTATCAAATTCACCTTCAAATCCTGTTCAAAAAATTCACAGAATTGTTGATTCACGAAAAATCAAATCTTATCACCAAACATACATATCATCAACAAAATAAAAAATCTAATTTTTTCCTAAAACTCATTTGATCTTAAAGAGATAAACACTAAACAGCAGCGAAAGTTGCAAACTCTCTTTCTTTCCTTAATTACAGGATTTCTCAGTAACCAAACAGAATTGTAGATAACAAAAAGAGAAGATTCAAAAAAGAAAAAAAATTTATACCTTGAGATCAGAAGCTCCTTTGTCTCCATCTAAGCCAAGATACTGCAAAGCCCTAGTCCCACTCTCTACAGTTGTCACTGAAATATCAAAACCCAAACAAAAAAAAATTCGAGATTATTAGGCAAAGAGGACGAAATCCAGAAAACAGAGACACTCAAAGAAGTGAAACAGAGATAGAGAGATGGATCTTGAATTTTACCTTTACAGGCAGAGATTTTTAGCAACCTCTCAATGACTTTACGATCCACGATACTATCGTCGACGGCAAGAACGTGTAATTCCGGCGAAGTAACTTTCAAATCTCCACCGGCGGGAATCTCCATCCTCATGACCTCACCAACCGCCATAGATAAGGAAGGCGTGAAGATTGGTTCGAACAAGAAGCTTTGGATTAAAGAAGAAAGAAAACGCAGAAATCAATGTGATGTGATGGAGGAGGAAGAAGAAAAAGTTAGGTTAGGTGACATAAATATAAGAGGTGGGGTTCAGTGGAGAGATTCGGGAGATCGGATTTTGCTGGTGAGATCTTTGAAGAGGAAACAAAATCTTAAATTGGGTCAAGTGTGATGTTGTGTGTTGCAACTGTCAGAAAAACAAAAGTTTTGTAGTAAATATTTGTGTCTTCAAGGTCAAAATCTTCGAGCACCGAATCTTTTTTAAGATTTCAAAGATCTTTGTTTGGTCTGTTTCTTTCTATCCGACAGCGACCACTCTTTCTTGACGTGGAACTTTCCTCCTTCTTTAGTAAATTACCTCTATTTTTCTTGGTGTATGACTTACTGCGCTATATAAGTAATAAGATGCATTTTATCATTGTTAAAAGACCCGTAGACAATGTTCAGTTTTTTTTGGTCAACTGACAAATCTTCAGTTAATATCTATTATATTAAAACAAAAGTACATTTAGTATTTGCTTCCAAACACTCCTAAATTTTTTAAGTATTTAAAAATAATTTTAATAATTATTTATATTTAATTTCGAAAATTAGTAATTAATTTAAATATTTTTAGAGTTCCTTAAATATAAGTAATTTAGATTTGATTTGATTTGATTAAAAATAATAAATCAGATATTAATTTAGATTTGATTTAAAGATTCTAATTTAAATAATTTTTATACTATTAAACATTTTTATCAAATAATTATTATCAAACATTTTTGAAAAAAAAAATAATTTACATATGAAAAATAATGATATTTGAAATATAAAATATTTATAATGATGTAAATGATATGATATTTATGTTGCTTATATAATATATTTACGATTATGATTTATTTACAAATTAATAATAAAATAATAGTTAAAATTCAAATGTATAATTTAAATATTAAAATATATTTTTAAAAATTCATAGAACTAAAAATATATATAAAAATCGGGTTAAAAATATTTTGGTAACTAAAATCATTAATTTTGAATTATATATGTATATCGAAAATATATTTTTCATACAAAATAAAAACATAAAAAATTAAAAATTATTGCATACACTCTATAATGTGGTTTGAAAAACCAGTTGTACACTCCCTTCGTTGATTAAATTTTAGAAAATTATAATGCTAAATAACACTGTTAATATATCTCAAACTTTTAATAAATATTTATATTATATGGTAATATGAACGGAAAAGTTAGAATTATGTTTTTATAATAATTTATTTTGAATTAATATTAGCGGACGGGTTAAAATTAGATTTTTATAATTATAATTAATTTTAATACTATAAAAATATATCTAAACACAAAAATCAATATTTTCACTTATTAAAAAATATATTTATAAAAATAATTATATCTAAACTCAAAAAACAAATTATATTACAAAATTCGTTAAACAATAAAAAATATTTCCATGCGGATGCACGGAGTTAGAATCTAGTTATTGATGAAAACCGAAACACATCTTCTTTTAATAGTTTTCCAATGGATTATAGTTTTAATGCCGATTATCTGCTTTGTTAAAAAATATACTTTTCCTTAACGTAGAATTTTCTATTTCGTCTACTAAATTCGAATCCGAATGAGACGATAATTTTAAACAGTGGCTCGAATTATAGCCATTAGGCCATTATTCATTGATTTTCTGGCACTTTTGGTATTTTTTTTATACAATTATTACGAGGCTATCTTACTTTTTCTTAATTGGATATAAAAATGAAGTTTAATTTTTTCGACAAAAGGGACATTTTTTTAATTGTTGTCGTCATTATCAGTTGAGTTTCCTTTATTAAATGAGGTGAATTTCTTTGTATGTAGTAAATGCACTCTTTTTAGTGGACCATTATGTGATTTGTGAATCTCATTTGCTTTTCGGACAAAATATCACAAAACATTTTCTAACCAATTAAAATAGGGACAAAGTATTGGAGGAAGATCCTTTATGTCTCAATATAAAACATTTTCTAACCAATTGCGAGCGCACTAAGTCAGCGGAACACAAGATTTGGTTTCAAATTAATTAGAACCATGCAATGTAGACTATGTCGTTATGAATGGATAGATATTAAATATATAAATCGAAATATTAATTCAGTTTGCTTAAATTAATCGTATATTATTATCGATCCCCAAATAAGTGCCTTAACAAAATACTAAATAATATATATATATATATATATATATATATATATTTAACACAATGTATTTCATCTAAGGGGGTATTGGATCTCGAAATTTTACTAATTTTGCAGGAATTAAGGTTTTTATTAAATTCTGTGTTATTCAATGAGTTATTTCATCGATTCTTTTAAATGTAAGTGTTATTGGATTAAGTATTTGTAGTCATTCTTTTAAAATGCTTTAAATTCTACTGTTATTCAATTTATGAGGTTTTAAATTCTATTAAAGTTTTGTGTTATTCAATATTAAATGGATTTTGGAGTAACGTTATTTCTAAAGAATTTAATAGAGAATGGTTGTAAAAATGTAAAGAACCAATTCTCTGCTCTTAGGCTGTGATTTAAAAGGAATTATACTATTGTGTCGTAATATTATTTATCATTATGTTATTATGTTGTGTTTTCACATTACTCTTCTACAATTTAATTATGATAATTTTGTTATAAGATCTTTCTAGTTATTGGTCACAAATTCTAATCAATAATATATAAAAAAATCAAAAAAATACTATTATATATCCTTAAAATCCCTACAAAATAGTATTTAAATTTCAAATGTTGTTCATCTAGTCAATCATATATTATAAAATCCCTACAAAACAGTAATTATTTTCTACAAATTAAAAAAATCAAAACTTATCTGTTATATCATCTCACCTATATTTATAGCATTGCATATCTCTCTGAAAGCATTCAACCAAATAAAACAATATCACCAGAAAAGAAAAAAAAGGTATCGTTTCTTTTTTCATTGTTGAAATGATTAGTGCTTGTACTGTTCTTCAAAAATGTCTTCCATCAATTAATTACTGTTTCATATGTTATTTCATATACATTTACTATATATATTGAATCTTTTTTTGGCACATCTACGTTAATATATTCATGTATACCCTTTTTTCTTTAATTAGATGGAAATAGGAGGATCTTCACAACCAAAAAAAGCAAAAGGTGGATATTTTATGTGGACATCCCAAGAAAGTCAATTGTTGAAACGTTTACTGGTTGATGGTATCAAACAGGGATGGCGTGACTCAAATGGTTCTATAAGCAAATCAACAATTGAGACGAGGATACTGCCAGTTTTAAATCAAAAACTCGGGTGCTGTAAGACTTACAAAAATTATGTGAATCGAATGAAATCTTTGAAAAAAGAATACCAAAGCTATGCAGAACTTCTCCGATGTAGCTCTGGTTTTGGATGGGATCCTATCACAAAACAATTCACAGCTTCAGATGAGGTGTGGGAAGAATATTTTAAGGTAATATTTTAATATCTTTATAAATTCTTTATTAAATTTCACAATATTTTTTTCACTAATGAATATATCATATTTTGTCAGGGACATCCAAACCATGAATATATGCGGAATAACACTTTCGAAGACTATGAGGATTTACAAATCATTTTTGAAAATGTTATTGCAAGAGGAAGCACCGTGTTTGGACTAGGTGGTAATACAAATGCTGCAACTTTTGAAGTTGAAAATGATGTTCAAGAAAGAGAAGATGTGGATCATATGGAGAATGTCTGCGAAGTTAACATACCAGCATATGAAACTTCGAAAGAAAAGCTACATTCTAGGAAGAGAGCTAAACCCTCTGGTAATGGAGATCCGTCAAAGTCGACTAATCTTGGCGATCACTCTGAACAAGTACTAACTGAAATGATTGGAGTTAGTACTAATCTCATAAATCTTATTCAACAAAAAGAAGAAAGGTATCAAAGAGAAGTTGAGTTACGAGAAACTGAAAAAAAAAAGAATAATGTTTGGGATGCTATTAAAGAGATTCCTGGTTTGGAAGAGCATATTCGTTATGATGCAGTAACCAAGATTCACACATTGAAGATGAAAGACGTGTTTGTTAGCATGTCTGTTGAAGAATGCTTGGGTTGGATTCTCCGTAACATCTAAAATATTAGTTTTTAGGATTTTAGCTATGCATCTAATAATTTTGGAGATGAATTTGAATAATTGTTTTAGTTTTTTCTGGTTTTTCAGCAAATATGTCATTTTAATTAAGTTAATAAAAATTTCAATTTTGAACTAACTATTTACTTATTAATTTACTTATCAAAATTGGTCGACTATTCCTATTTTACATTTAAGATATTTTGTTAAATATTTACATTATCGAAACAATTAAAACCAAACTGTAGTCTGTGGTATGGTTTAACAGACCATGGTATGATTTAATTAAAGCATTGTCAACTTGTCTCAACTAGGCCTGCGCTTTTATCTCTAACAGCTTATGGGCCTAAAGACTTGGAGCTGCAGACTCTTTATTAGGCTATGACACTTTTGATCAGTATATGCATTGATGTTGTATTATCGCCAAAAGTGTTTTAGAATTCATGTTCAGTTAATTTTTATGCGAAAATGATTGTTGATGATCTTTTTAATATTCAAAACAAGATCGTCTTGGTATTGTCAATTGGTCATAAAAAAAAATTAAAATAAGTTCATGCAAGATATAATCCCAACAAAACACAAATAGTTTTTACATTAATTTAAAAACAAAACAATTTATAAGATATTTGGAGACGTGTGTATCTATCAACACTGCAAAAAAATATAACAACCATTTCAAACTTTCAAATTCAAATAATAAAACCAGTGGCCCTTTTTGAAAAAAACATAAAAACGTTTTTATAATTATGGTCAATCCATAGCATAAGATCCCTTACAAATAGCATTATTTGTAGTCAATCAATATCATAAAAATTCCTAAAAAATAGTATCTAATTAGATTAAAATACTTGAAACTTGAAAACTGAATACGTGAAATTGACGTTATATATAGCCATGTCTAGCTTCTCTAGTTTCAAAGCAAAGAATATCAATTAAACGAAAGTAGAAGAAAGCCACAACATTCCAACGTGGTACGTAAAATAAGCATCATAGTCTGGGAATATCCTCTTCTGCATGACTTCTTTATCTTATAATTCTTTTCACTTGTTGTACATTTTTTGATAAGTACCATATTGGATTCTAATTGCTAAACTTTTAAACAGATTATTTTTGATGGATCCAAATTTTTATGAAGAAGACGTCACAAGAGAAGATAATGAACAAACAGAAAATGACGATTTTGACACAAGCATATCTCTAATGGTGGTGATGGTGGCTGTAGGAGTTCAATTCCTAAACTCACGAAAATTTGTCATGGGTGATAGTTTTATTGAACGTCCAATTCGTCGACCAGTCACAAGACTCGGTGGAGAATACATACAAAAGGTATTAAAAGAAGATCCTAAACATTTTCGGGTGTTGTACCGTATGTTTCCAGATGTGTTTTTGAAGTTATCTAAAGTACTTAGAGAGAAAGTTGGTTTACAAGACACAAGATTCATATCTGTTGAAGAAATGCTTGCTATCTTTATGCTTACGGTTGGGCAAAATTCGAGATATTGCTATGTTAAGGACACATTTAAAAGATCCAAGTTTGCAATAAGCACTAGCTTTAATTGTATCTTAAAAGCTATACTTGTAATAGCTCCAAGTCTAATGGTGAAACCAAATGGTTTAGTACCTATGAAAATCAGAGAAAGTACACGATTTTATCCATATTTTAAGGTACATTATTTCATCTCTTATGTTATTTATATTTTTATATTTATTTTTTAAAATTATTATTTATCTCTTGTGTTATTTATATTTTATATTTTTTTCAAAATCTAATTAATTTTTTTTTAGAATTGTGTTGGCGCGCTAGATGGTACACATATACCCGCAACAGTGTTTGGACCTGATGTGGCAAGCTACCGTAATTGAAAAGGAGAAATATCACAAAATGTTTTAGCTGCATCTAACTTTGACTTGGAATTCATATATGTTCTTAGTGGATGGGAAGGTTCAGCACATGATTCAAGAGTGTTAAGTGATGCTTTAACAAGAAGAACAAACAATTTCCAAGTACCTGAAGGTAAAAAAAATATAAATTAATTTAAATATCATATGTCTAATTATTAATAGCGAATTTTCATCTTAGTTTTCAGGGAAGTTTTATCTAGTTGATTGTGGCTTTGCAAATCGACTTAATTTTTTGGCTCCATTTCGTGGTATTCGTTATCATCTACAAGAATGGACTGGCAAAGGACGTGATCCTAATACTGCAGCTGAGTTATTCAATCTTCGACATGCTAGTTTGAGAAATGTCATCGAAAGGATATTTGGAATTTTTAAATCTCGATTTGTGTTTTTTAAATCTCAACCTCCTTTTTCTTACGAGAAACAAACTGGATTAGTATTAGCATGTGCAGCGTTGCATAACTTTCTTCGTAAAGAATGCCGTTCAGATTTAGGTGAATTTCCCGGTGAAGAAAACACTACCAATCAAGTTGATAGAGATGAGTTTTTGGAGACGCAAGAGCAAGACAGAGAAATCGCAAATAATTGGAGAAAAGCTATGGCTGAAGATATGTGGAAAGATGCTATAGGTTTAGAAAATTCTTAAATATTGTTATGCATTTAATAAAAATTGCTACAACTCATTCATAGCTGCAGTTGTTTTTCTCTTTTTTTTTATCTTCAATTTACAATTTATGGAAATTTAGTAATAATGTTTAATTTTTCAATAAAATAATTATATCTTCTTAAAAAAAAACTAGAAGAAAACTAGTTTGTTCCTATTTATAAAATAATGTTTAATGTTTAATTCAAAATTTATAGATTTTAAAAGAATTTGTACTTATGGAAATTCTTTTGCATTCTTTTCAAATCTAGAATAAAATTCTTTTACATTCTTTTCAATTCTAAACATGAAAACAAAACAAATTCTATCAAAGCCTTTAAAACACGTGAGATTCTCCTACTATATCTTAAATTGAATTCTCTTAGATTCAATTAAATTCCAAGATCCAATACCCCCTAAATAAAAACAGAAATAAGGCTGGGGCAACGCATGTTTTATAATAAACGTTGTACCTGCCCTTTTCTATATAGGTTCATTTAGGTAGATAACCAACAATTATTTGGGGTGCTATTCTTTTACATTAAGTAACATGTTCTTTAAAAAGAATATACATTGTTCTATAAATTAGAACATAATGGTATTATATTCAAAAGAAAATATGTTTTTAAGGAAAATAAGACTCGCGTTTGCAGAGTTTCGAAAAAGAGAGAGTCATTTACTACTTAACTCTCAACATATAGTCATTTAGAGCATTTACTTACAGTTCGAAGGATTATTTGTAACAAAAAGGATTTATGTTTTTCTTTCAACATATAATTCTTAAGTGCAAACCCCAACGCTTATTTATTTATTACCTATTGGTGAACAGTATTTTATTTTGTAACAAAAAGGTTTATGTTTTCTTTCCTTGTTTTCATTAAGTTCTTCTTTATTGGGGTTTTGTACTTGACCGTGACTTGTGAAGCTTTTTTGAACAAAATCTAGAGAGAATGTAAAATCTTCAAAAGTTGTGGAGGATCCTTTATATGTCTTAACATCTTCTAGATAATTGAGAGAAGGTTTAGATAACAAAAAAAACGAAAAACAAAAAACAAAAATAGATTTGGTTTCCTATATTAATTTAAAATCATGCATTCTTGTCGATATCGATTTCATAGGTATCTTCGAAAAAAAAAAAAAGAAATCCAATACATGGAATTATATTGTGATGTTCTACACATGCATGAAAAGTTAAAGAAAAACATGGAATTAGTTCACGGCTCCGAAAAACATGCATAATTATCATTTTTTAAAACGAGTCCACTAAAAGCTGAAGAAAACGAAAAGTTAAATATTGTGATGTTCTACACATGCATGATTATCATTTTTTTTCCTTGTGTGAAAAGAAAATTACTGAAATTTTGAAAAGAAAATAAAAAACATTAAAATGTTTATCAAAAGAAAATTTACGTTTCACCGTAGCAAAATCTCTCCACTCGATGACCAAACCGATGTTCAAACAGTGATAATGGATACATTTCTGAACGGGTTTACTGACCGAAAGGTTGGTTGTGGTTCAGGTCCGGTCTCTGAGTTTGTTTTCCCATAACGAGATTTTCAATTCAGATCTCTTTTATTGAAAATATAGATCCCAATAACTAGAATAAAGAATTAACTTTTCATTGCTTTATTTTGAAATGAAAAATACATATAAATATTCATATATAATATGAAGCTCTTTTCATTCTTTGCGAACCAAACCACCATAGAAAGGAATATCGGTTTGAGGCAACCATGTATCTCCCATGGTAAAGTTGTAAACCGTGAAGTTCATGGCTTGTGCCATATCCAATAAATTGTACCCGAACCACTGCACTCTCTGGTCTGTCTTTGCCCCCGGTCCAAAGTTATTGTACTCACCGTAGTAAATCGTGTCTAATCCAGTTGTACCGTTCCATTCAAGCCACCCAACTGGTTGGACGATGTCACTAATATATGATTGCATGAAAACCGTCCTTGAGTAAGGCTTCCATGGCCGCCCTAGGAACGTCATGGTTGAGTTAGGATCAGCTTCAAGATCTGGAGCGGCTTTGATTGTACAGTTGATGAAAGAGATTCCGGTATTCTGGTTTGGTTCGGTTCTTCCATGAGCTGTTATTGCATTCTTCTGCTTTGCCATTGGTTTTCGAGCATATATGTTGCAGTTTTGAAAAATTGCTGCTGCATTTCCGAATATAAAATCGATGGTACCTATTGCATACAGATAGAAAAATACAACATATATTAAAATCTATCAATGACATAAATAATTATGTGGTTAATTAAAAGAGTTGGCACTGGCACCACTAGATGCATAATTCACATCAGCGTTAGAGACAATTATGTTTAACCAATTGGTCCAAGGTCCAAATTGTCATATTCCTTAATCTAAAAATCCATATATGTGATTGTCATGTTTTCACCTTTTTGGTGAGTCCTAATCACTAGGAAGTAGATCTAAAGTTATGACTGAGGCTAGCTTTGATATGAAGTATTGAAATGAAGCAGAAACAAAACTTAGATATATATTACCGTATATATCGCATTCGCGATAGAACTGTCTGAGAGAATGAACGTAAAGAGTATCTTGATAACCTTCAAAACTACACCGATAAAAAGTGGATCCTTCCGCATTATTCCTCAAAGCCACAGCCTGATGTTTCTCGGGACCAGCCGTGTTTCTAAATGTAATATCAACCGCCATGAACCGCTCTCCAACCACCGCTAGAAAATACAAATAAAACTATACATAGTTAATATATCATAAGCTAAATTAAGTAATTTGATATAGAGGGCCAATTCCAAATTGGAAAAAAAAGTTGCAGGCCATGAAAAGAGAAGATGAAAATACAAACCAAAGCTGGAGCAATTGTACGTAGTCCAACCATCAACAACATTATGATTTCCGGTAATGATCGTCTTATTGATCCCATCTCCCATAAGCAATAAGTTCTTTTTGTTGAACGGAACAACGACATATTCTTCGTAGACACCTTCTCTTGCGTATATGACAAAGTAACCATCCTCCGGTCTAGTGTTGTTAGGTGCGGCTGCAATTGCGTCAGTGATGGTTGTGAAGTTGTCGGTTTTGTATGGACCGACGATAACCGCTTGATTGACGAGGATTGAACCGCCGCTCGTCTCTCCTAACTCCCCCAAGTGCCGGTTAGCTTTCCGGCAATCTTTGTCCTTGTCGCATGTTTTACGTAAAACCTATACCAAATATATTAAAAAAGAGCCGGGTACAATAAATCATTCCGAACCAAAAGCAAAAAGACATGATGTTTTTGCCATTTTATTAAGAACATTAATAGACTATGACCATATATGGTTAACATGGTAATAGAACGACTCAAAGTCTCAAACTATAATATTTGACATATTCTTGTTACATGTACGATTAGTTTAAAAAGTCATGTGTTTTTAAATCAATGTTCATTGAATGACGGTGGAAATCTTATGATGAAGTAATCCACTATCCACGTGAACACAGTTGGACTCGAGGGGGAGCCAATTGATATTTTTTTTTTAAAAAGTCAAAGATGGGACCTATTTTATCATCGTTGATATGTGCGTATAGGCCATGTGACATTTACTCTCTTACGCGGTTTGGCTTACACAGAACAAGAGCACGTCTATTTATGACTCGATCTAGAACATTTAGTTATGTTGGAATATAATATCATTCCGCACGTCCTAAACAATTAAACTCAAACCATATTATAAACTTAAGCAATACTCTCTCCATACTCTAAAAACAAAGTATTTCCTACATCTACCAATATTTCTGATGTTTACAATTTATTGACATTTACTAATATAGAATACCTAATACAGGCCATGTTCGACCGCCTAACCACCTATTCGGCCGCCTAGGCGCTAGGCAATAAGTGATCGCCCCGATTAGGTGCTAAGCGGTGGTTCTAAGCAGTTATCTGATTTTTCACCGCCTAAAACCGTCTAAAATCGCTTAAAACCGTCTAAGTCCGATTAAAAAACAAAATTATCGCCAAATTTTGAAAATTAACCCAAAAAATCTCAAAAAATTTGAAATTGACCCAACTTTATTAATAAAATTTTCATATTTTTTCTGAAATCGACCTAAAATAAACCCTATAATTTTTCTTTCTTAATTAAAAACAACATCACATTCAATACTTAACCAATTAACGATTTTGACGACTTAATTCCTATTAAACAATTTTAATTCAATTAAATTATAATGAAATCAAATCAAAATCAAATATAAGCGAGTTTAAGTTCCAAAATCATCTAAAAAGATTAATATAAATAATTAAAAATTAAATATAATATAAATTAATCAAAAAATTAATCACCAATTAATTAGCGATTAATCATCGATTTTCGACCTAGGCGCTAATCGGAGTCCGTCCACCCGCCTATTGCCTAGCGATTTTTTGAGTAAACATCCTTTATGATGGTAAAACCCCTAAAAAGCCAATTTATAAGGGAAATAGGAAGTTTGTCCTCAACACACAGCTAAGATTCATGTGTGTATTCTTTTGCACATTTTCACTGATTTGTATAATAATCTATAACCAATTACTTACATTATATCGCTTTTAATTTCGCCAACCATTTTTTTAATTTGAAAACAATTTTCTTCTTGTTAGATTACTAAATAGTAAGCATTAAAAACTTTGAAAATGGACAAGGAACATATATACAAAAAAAAAAAACAAAAGAAACCAGAATATATATACTGTATATAATAATGAGTTACCTTAATCAAAGTCTCAAGCGGCTCCCGATAGGTAGAGTTACGACCACCAAGAATCTTACCCTTTGAGGCTTTAAACCTCTTCAAGTTACGGTTAAGCGCGTGGCTCACAAGCCCCAACGACACACTGTAAAGGCGCGTGAGATTCCCCATCGGCGATCCAAAAGCGGCGGCGAATCCACTCTTGGCCTCCACGAGTCCGTCGAGGCAAGTCTGCTGATTCGTCACCACACCACTTAGAAGACTGTTCACATGCTCCACGAGCGCTGATGTCATCATAGCCGCATGTTTGAGCTCCACCGTGACCGTCTCGAGGTAGCTCACACTCAGCTCAGCCAACTCGCCGCAATCCTCCACCGCGCCGATTTCTTCCGCCGTCGCGGATCCCGGTTTGTTTCTCAGGCGCCGTACGTATCCGTTGATGACTTTGGAGAGGCGGCTTGCTTGTTTGAGGCATTGCTTGATCGTGAACTTGCCGTAACGGTAGGGATCGGACGGTGAGGATTTCACAGCGGATAGGATCGTACGGCAGAGCTTAGGGTATGGTGTTGACTTACAAGCAACAGAAGTTGACTGTGACGCCGGAGGCAAAGAAGGTGGCTGTGACGGAGGCAACGAAGGTGGCAGTGAGGGAGACTCAGAAGGTGGCTGTGACGGAGGCAACGAAGGTGGCTGTAACGGAGGGTGTTGAGGTGAGATTAGGAAAGCGCATGAGAGGAAAATAACAGACAGGCACAAGAGTGAAGAAGAGAAGTGTAATGTTTGCATTTTTTTTTTGTCTTTTTATATATTTCTAATTTTTTTATGGTTTGTTGTTTTTGTGGATATGCTGCTATACATATATAGGGGTTACGAGGAGTCGGTGGAGCTATTTAATGAATGCATGGGTTCGAGTGAGACTCTACGATGCAAATGTATGCATGTTGGTCTAATAATTAATACTACTACTATACAAAAATTATAATTTCGTTTTGGTCAAATAAAGGGTTTCCTATGTAAAATTCAATTGTTTTTGCAGCTGGTGGTCCACCGTCACGATGACCAGAATTGGGTTGACTTGGTTAAAATAGTTTTTTTTTTCTTCATGTTACTTAACCGTCAATTTGGGTATTTCCTGTGTTTAATTTTTCTTTAGTCCGATAATTTTATGCCAACTAGAAAAAAACAATCAGACATGTTCATACATCCTCCCGAGATTAAATCTAACAGTTGACAAGCTTGGTTGACTTGGTTAGAAGAGTTTCATTTCATATGATTTTGACCGTGAAAATGCATGTGATGTGTTGGAGAGCTTTAAGACAAGGCAAGACGGTGAAGCCTAAAGAAGTCGTCACTCTGCCTTTTCCACAATTCACACTTGCAAGTTATGGTCCAATTAATTATCCACTCTTCCTATTCATGGCATGTCGTAATTATACCAATGTATAATCCAAAAATCAATCTTTGTTTCAACTAGTAATATTAATGTGTTCTCTACTAAAATTTGTAAGAACCATACTGTTAAAAGACATACCAACAAACTTTTTTTGCTTACTAACAAAGATTTAAGATAACTAGAATTTGGTATGGATTCAAAACAAATCGAAATGTTATCTAGTTTTTTTTTTTTTTCTTTTCTCTTTGTTTTCGGTTTTCGTTTTTTTTTTCTTTTTCTCCTTGTTTTTCCTTTTATAGATGAAATATCTCATTGTTGCAAGCTTCAACCGTAATCTAACTATACCGAGTAATAGTCCAATTACTATTATTACTATTTTGCGTATTTTCTGAACAGTTTAGTTATCAAGAAAAGTATATTTCTGAATTATTATGTGAAAACATAAAGAGAAACTCTGTTACAAACCAAACCGAATACCAAACTAATTTCTATTTGGATTAAGTTCGGCGAGAACATTCCCTAGCCAAATAAACCGAACCAAAACAGAATTGAAACTACGATCGATGTGTTTCATATTCCACGAAAGTAAAAATTCTACAAATAGGAAAAAAAAAGAAGCTAAGAAGACTAATACAGACTCGAAGCTTTTCCAACCCATAAACCAGGAAAAGAGAGAGAGAGAGATCTAAGAGGGAATGTTACAGAGAAGAGGAGTTTCACGTGGATTTCAGATCAAGCATGAACAACAGAGACTGAGTCTAGTTCACGGCCGTGAACCCTGAAGCGGTAGATGCAAGTGTGCGAAGAGCTTCCATGGTTGGATGTGAAGTCTAGCCTTACAGTATTGACAAGTCCCGAGTGAGCTGAATCTGCAATGTCAAATGTCTGTGCGTTGGACCTGTCTAAGTCGTAACTGAACTCTGTAAGAAGGAGCATTGTCTCACTCTCCATATCTTTGTCTTCTAGCCATCCTGATACACGGCAATCCTTTGGGGCGCTCGATCTGTCATACGCTACAGCCTGTTCGATTTCATGGTGCACAACTCTAAGATCAGTATCGCTTGTAGTGGTCAAACCATAAAAAAGCACAGACAGATGTTTACAGAGAAGAACAACGATGGAAAGCAAAATATGTGGCCGGTGACCATCACATTAAGCTCTGTAACAAAAAAGGACTATCCGACGAATGAATTTTTCGTTTTTCCCCTTTGCTTACTGTCTCTGAAATTTATCACGAAGATATCCCTAATCAAAGTACAAGAAAACGTAGTGGATAGATTCAAAAGAACTGTTAAAGCTAAAAGTTTGCAGGGAAGAGTATATGACTGAAACCTACTCCTTGATGATAAAAAGCAGATACTGGTTAATCAAAATCAAAAGCCTCATCAATGCATACTTTCACTACTAGTGACCTAAATTGAACATCGAGCTACAAAGATCAAATTTACAAAACTAAATTCTTGTCCTCTATTCAATCACACAACATCACCAGCAATTCAATCACATGTACAAGGCATTTAAAGATCAAAACATTCAACAGAGACAACTCTTTTTGTCAGCTGATATAAAAATGATATAAATCGATCATTCTGTGAAAGTATATCATGAGATGTTAGTTTTACCTTAGAGACATGTTCCAAGGTAACAGCCTCTGGTATTATTGGTGCTCTTAGCCTGACTTGAACATAGCCATTGCTTCCTTTCAGAGGAAAACACTGTCCAGGCTCCCCGAAACTCGGGGTTAACATCTTAGCCGCTTTGCTATGAACCCGTCGCCTGCTTGTCCCAAACCAATTACCCCCATTTCCAACAAGATAAGGATCCGAATGATCCATTACAAAAGCCCCACCAGAGGCTAATGCATAGTCTACTCGACCAAGGCCATCTGCAGCATGCTTTCCAATCTCCTTCTCAACTATATCACGAGCATAGGCCCTCAATTCATCAATGTTGATATCGCTACCAGAAGAATCACGGACCTTACCCTTCTTCAATTCGTCGTAAACCCTCTCTAATTCCTCTCTAGACACCAAAGGTTTAGAATTGACTTCGTCTACGGAAGCCTGTAGTGTCTCTGTCCTAGACTCTATCTTCTTCAACTCAGCCTGCAACGCAGAAGATGTGGAACCAATTGTCTGCCTCAGTGATCTTATTTCGCTTTCCATCTTCTTATCAAGAAATTCGACTTGGACCTGCATCATCTTCGTCGTGGTCTTTACTAGACCATCGACTGCCGAAATCCGGCTCTCCAATTCCGAAAGAACCATCTCCGTTTCGATTGGAAAGTTAGAGGAAGACATAGGCGTATCCTTCAGAGCCACTTTCCTAATCAATTGAATCAACCCAACGAGTAATAGAAGTGCCCCAAACTGCTTCGCGAATACCCGAATCACTCTCTTCCACTGCGTCTTCTCTGTCTTAGCCCCCTGGACCTTACGCGTTCGACGCTGCGTGGTGGTCGTATTAGTCCCCGTCGCGGTGGATCCCGACTTCCTTGTCACCGGACCCACGTCGTAGCTGTTGGATCTCTCGGCGACAGCCTCGGAGCGAATCAGATCCCGGTTCGTACCAGCGGACTCTCCGATGGCCGCGTTCGCATGCGATTCGCTCGGCGGAAAATCAAGGTTTGATTTCTTCTCACCGGAGAGTACCGGCGTCCTCCTAATCGCCGCCGTCGTTTTAGCGGTGATAGACACCGTTGATGCCGACATAATTGGACTATAGAATTCGAAATGTTTTCCAGAAATGCTCTTCCCTTAGAATAAACCCTAATTTTGACGAGAAAGCGAGAAAAGCTCGGGAGATTTGAAATGGAAGACGATCGAGAAAAGTTATGTACATAAGAGAGAGTCTGTGAGTACAGTTATGATTCTAGAAAATAACAAATGTTCTTTCGAAAACTGAATCGTGCGTTTCTTTTTACAAAAAAATACAATCATGTTACTACAAGGAAGTTATGTTGGGCTCTCGAAGCCCAAATAAGGAAGTTTAGAGGCCCACATTCATGCCTCGTCTTCTTCTTCTATGAAGAAATAGTTGATTGATCGATCCAGGTTCCGTTTTGTTACTTTATTCTTGCATATCAAGTTAACCAAAGGCAAGATATGCTCATGATCAAAGAAAGTAGCTTTTATTCACCAAACTGTTAATTATTTTATACACACGGGTACGCATATATACACAATAGAAATAGAATTATTATATTTCGTAACCACAAGAGATTTTTGCCATGAAGTTTTTATACTCCTTGTCATCGATTCTCATTTCACACTTTCTGAGAAGAAGTAGAAGAAGAATCAGAAATTGGCATTCTTATCTTTGCAGATTCCTTCAACAAATCGAATGAAGAAAACGAGTGCGGCGGGAGAATAACGGTCAGATCCTCCTCAGCCATCTCTAGCAAGCTTTCATGTGGCACCACCTGCACACAAACAAACAAACAAACAAAAAAATCGGATTAGATTTTCTACTCAAACTTGTGATGACGATGACTTGTCCATTAGCTTGATTTACCTTCTCTGGCTGTGTGAAAGAATTTTCATCCATCACATTGGTAGATGTAAGTATTGTCTTCTTTGATCCCGAAACTTTCATCACGTTCGGGTCCAATCCAGTAACCAACACCTTCAAGTTCACTGAGCTAGCTCCAAAGTTTACAGCCTGCAAATAATATGGAAGTTTTCACAGATTTTAAAAACAGTTTCTGTCTTTTTTCTTTTTGTTTCTGCAGATAGGTCTCTCCGTGTACCTTAATGCGTATGTAATCTTTGCCATTGTTTTGCCAGGTGATTGCGGATGCGACAAGAGAAGAAGAGTTTCCCTTGAGTGTTGAAGCGAGAAGAGTTGATCCGCTTGACTCCGCAAAGAACCGTTGAACCCAATAGCTAGGAGTTCCATATAGATGAGAGGAATTGAAGACTATTGCATCTGGATTCCACCTGAAATCAATTCAATAGTTTCTGATTGTTGCTGCCTTATTCCAAGAAGAAGTCCAAACTAAGTAAGATTTACCGTCTATCGTTTGTGTTCACAAAGAGTGGTGCATAGCTTGCCATTTCCACAATGTCACTGCAACAAAGGAAAGCATCAGATGTTTTACTCATTTGGTGTTTTTTTTTGTTGCGATTCAAAGCCCGGGAAGAGTGGACAGATGAAGAAACCTGTTCTTTTCAAGACCAATGAGAAATGCAGCTTCTGCAAGAGCGGCGAGAAGGCTTCCTGTACCAGCATCTTTCCCAGTCACAGCGTATTCACTGACAAAAGCCTGCAAAAAAAGTTCCACGAGTGAGCAAAACGCTTAAAGCTCCTTCATCTTGTCTTTGTTCGGAATTTTACGTCTTGTAGAATCTATCACCGCACCTTTGGACCATTGCGTGAAGTGCGGTCAAACTGATGATACATGGAAAATAAACTGCTAGCAGAAGTGTATATCTGTGACAAAAAGAAAAAACTTTCTTTCAGATAGACAACACAAAAGAACATTTCAAAGTTTCTGTCAAGAAAGGATTTTTTACGTGATAATCATAGTAATCAGCGGGGTGGTCGAGAGGACGTGATGATCCATCACAGTTGGAGATGATTTTGATATCTGGATAGGCCTTTTTGATAGCATTATAGAACACAATATAGTTTCCTGCAAAAGTTGGAATCTCATTTAGTATTAAAGATGCTTAATAGATTTCTATTTCAAATGTGATCATAGAGAAATGCAAAACCTTTGTAGTAAGTCTTTCCACAATCCTCATTCCCAATAGCAACATACTTCAGTTCGAAAGGTTCTTGGCGTCCCATTGCAGCTCGTACCGATCCCCATGTAGAATTAGCATCTCCCCGAGCAAACTCTATACCGTCGAGTGCTTCCTGAAAAGAATAAGGGGGAACAAGTTTTGGTTTTCGGCTCCATCGCTAATGAAACAGAGGAGGGTTTCGCAGTCATACTTGAACAAAGGGCATGACACTGGCAGTTTCAACTTCATCATTGTGACTAATCCCTGCATAAAGGTGAAGAATAATGTCGATGGATTTGGAATACAAAAGAGAAATAAATCGGTTACAAGCGAGTTTTTTGGAGAATGAAAGAATACCGTTGTTAAACACCCATATCGGGGCTGCGCCAATGTCTTCTGCCAACTACAAGAATGTTCATTTAACATTTGATTACAGCTTAGGGAATCATCAGAGATCCAAAACTGCAGAGTTTTATAGACTCAATAGAAAAAGAGAAAAAAAAGAAGTCTAACTTGAAAGAACTCAAAGTGGCCAAGGCCATCATCAGTCCAATACTTCCAAACATCACCAAAATGTCCTGGTCTCTCTTCCCAAGGTCCTACGGTTTCTTTCCACCGGAATGCATTACTTAACCATTCACCCTCGACAAAACAACCACCTAAGTCCACAAAGATCCAGTGTGAAGAATTATCTTTAGGTGCGTCTATGGACAGAACAGAATACGCAACAAAATGCTACTAGCCTTAAATATTACCAGGGAAACGGATGAAACGGGGTTTTATGTCAACCATCATTTGGAAAAGATCGTTTCTGAAGCCATGTCCCTGCAATCAACCAAAAGAGATTGAATATTTGTTTTTCCCATTTCTTTTCTCTATCAGCAATTCTGCAATCTTTCATTTCAAGGCTCTATAAAGAATCAGAAAGAACCTTGTAAGTATCCACCGGCATGGCCGAGACTTGGTCAATCCATATTGACCCTTTCTTGCTTGTTGTTAACTGAAGTCTTGCACCATGATCTGTCCCTTTTGCCACCAAAAGAACCTCCTTTTTGGTCCATTTCGAAACATCGGAAGCAGAAGCTCTGCATTGAAACAAATGAAAGCACAAAACTGAAACTTTCTCACACTGAAACGACAACAGAAACGTATTCAGACTTAGCTGAAGAATCTGAAAGTATTTCTTACATGATATTTTCAGAAGCAAGAGTCAGCGATCCATTCGAGCTCGTCAACGACACAGACAGGTCGATATCACCAGTCGAACGCACATAAAAAGCCACCTTGTACTTCTTTCCTTCTTCAATATTCTAAGAGAAATTACAAAATGAAATAAAAGGGTGAAAAAAAAACATCTTAACTCATATACTCTTGACACCGAGCGGAAACAGCAAACCGAGCTGTAAAAAGCTTTCACAATGGACACTCACCATGCCCCAGTAACCGGGGTTATAAACTCCGACACCTCCTGATGGACAACCATTGCTATCGCAGAGCACATCCATTCTCAGTGCAATTTTATTCCGTTCAAACAACGATGACCGGTCTGTAGCTACATATATGGATGACTGATCACCAACAATGGACCAAGGCCAAATATTAGACGGCGTGTTTTGCCCACCAGCTTCAAACCCTGGAAACCAAAGTTGTCGCTTAGAGTGAATTACCGCCGTTTTTTTTCCCATCATGTAAAGAAAGGAAAAGAAGCCTAACAATGATTGAATCCATTTCACAGTGATAAGCCTAACCTCTATTGCTAACAAGTTCAGCCCATAATCCACCAGCACCAGCATGATTTATCTCCTGCAAACGTTTTGACCATATTGCATATAAAACTGTTATGTCTAAACCATAATTTGACCATATTGCATATATAGCAGAGAATCTATTGAAGGCTGTAACGTTTGCAAACCTCGAAGAATATCCCGAAAAGCGTTTCAGGAATGGGTCGTCCAGCTCCATAAGAAGCATCTACTTGCAAAGTCACGGATGGTTTTGTATCTTCTTGAGCAACAACAACACGAAGGCTTTGATACACAAAGCAAGAGCCAAGGAGGAAAGAAAGTATGCAAACACTTCTGAGAAACTTCCAAGACTCCGTATCCATAATCACCACATCCAAATAAACCAAGACCCTATAAGAGACATTTATAGAAAGTTGAATCTTTTTCAGCTCAAGCCGTTAGATTTCCAAACAAAAAGCCTGAGAAGAAGGTAACAGCAACAAAAAAAACTAATGTTTTTGCTCATACGTATCAGTTAATCTTAACCAACAGGAAGATAAACACATGAGAATATATTAAATCACTAATGTTTTTTTGTCCTCACTGGAACTGCAAGAATTTGGGATCGAACAGAAGATATATCAGATTAACGAACAACGCCGCATTAGAAAAATCATAAAACAAGGAGAAAGTCTGATAAAAAAACAAGTCTTTTTTTCATAAAGAAAATGATTTGATTAGAGCATGTTGCAAATCAAGAGTGGCTTCGATCTCAACTCATAGAGTCAAACCTTCACACATTGAATCAAATCGGCTTCAGAAGCTGAAACAGACAGAAACTACAGAAACTCAATTTGTTCATTTTCGGAGGGAAAGATTGGTTCTTTTTCGGAATGTGTTTAGAAACTCTCAATTCTTAGTCATAAAGTTAGAGCTTTTGTCTGGTTGATAAGTGACTAATTTAGAAAAATGACATAAACAGTGAATAACCCAGAACTGGAATCAACAACAAATAGAAACCGAACCTGGAAAATCAATAAAGACAACGGATTGATCGAGACGAGACAAGAAAATTGAGTGTAGGATCAGACAGAAGAGAGATTGCAGTATAAAAATGTTTGTTGAGGTTGGGTTGATTTTGCTTAGTAGGCAAAATCTAAGGAAATCTTGCTTTCACGTTTGTTTGAATTGCTTGTTCTCGTGGAAGAAGTGGATGTTGATTAGAAGCGACGACTACTGAACCCTCCACATCTGTTCATTGCTTTTTTTCTTCTTCTTCTTCTTCTTCTTTTTTGGATAAAGATGCTTTCTATTTTGGATAACGATAATAGCCTTTTTTTTTAAGAATTAAATAATGATTGTTTTTCCCATAAAATTGACTGGATCATTGATTGATTGAATGAATGACTTCAATAAATTGTTAGGTCTATCGGATTTAGTGGAGTGTGGTTTGTATCTAAACTGATACTCCTGAAAAAAAAAATATACAAATATATTCCTAATTAATATACTTTTATAACATTTAATTACAAAGACTATTATTTTTAAATGAGGGATAAAATAGGAAATAAGAATAAAAAATTATATTGAAAATGTAGAATGACACTTTTTTTAAAACAAAAAATGAAATTTAAAAAAACACTTATTATGAAATGGAGGGAGTATGTGTTACATTTGATTGCCTAAATTTAGATGTAAATTATGTTTCTGAAAACTCTCAAGTGTTTAAAAGAATCAATAATTTGTACAAGTTGCTTCAGTTTTGAAGTGCTAACTTTCTTCCATCAGTTGCGATAGCAAATGACCAACAACTTAGACTACTATGTTTCGAGTTTTCCAATTATAGTTGTTTGATTAAGTAAATAATCACAACAAGCAATTGAAAAAAAGGCTGGATATTCTTGTCCTCTTGGAAGGTAGATCGTAAAATTCGATCTTGGCCCAATTATCAAAAGCCTAATAAGAAATATTCTTCGAATGCAAATTCAACTCTGCTTTATCAAATTAGGGAAGAAAAAAAAAACCTTGAAAATGCCCGGCAACGACAGGAACAGTGCGTTGCATGACGATTTGCTGTTGAACATTGTTTTGCTTATATGCGTTGGTATTCCCGTGGATCAATCTAATCCGAAAAATGGAAAGATTATGTAGTATCTTTTGTCTAAGGTTTCTGAAAACATTTCCAAAACAAAGCTTATTTAAGCTCCATAAAAGAGAGAAATTTTAGACCAAAAAAAAAAGAAAGTGAGGAATTGAAATAGCTCAATGGAGCTTTATTGAGCATAGAAAAGTAAATGAAAGGGAAGAATTACTTTAGGTAGGAACATCATCTATGTACAAACCTCTACATTCTCCACAACAGGCTTCATGGTTCAACTTCGAACTGATTTGGCACAAAGCTAGAATCCCAAAACATATGTTTTCTTGTTTGGTTGTATGTCCAAAACAGAGGAGTCAACATAGGATAGACTTTGCTCTTGGGGCATGAATGCTGACATATGGAATAACGAATGGGCTTTCACCTAAAATCTAAAAACATAGACCCAATAGTCACAACCTAAATCAGGGTTTTCTTGTGAATGGCAAAAAGTGTCTAGGGTTTTGGCTCACCTGATCTCATAGGGTTTCGTTTAGTTCTTCTTCGTCATGTTAATCGGATTTGTTCTCAGAGAAGAAGATGCCACCAGAAGCCGAAATTGCAGAGAAAGTTTACGAAGACAGGATAAGTGCGTTGTCAGACGATTTGCTAGTGCAGATATTGTCGTTAGTCCCAACAAAAGACGCAGTGACAACCATGGTTCTGTCGAAACGATGGCGTTTTGTTTGGAATATGATGACTAAGCTTGAATACACGGAAAGCTACAAAGCCGAGAAGAACGTTAGTGACTTACTTAACAAGTCACTGCAACTGCTCAAGACACCGTTACTAGAAAGCTTACGTATCCAACTCGGTAAACAACGTCCCGTTGATGCAGATGTAGTAAAGTGGGTCTCAAACGCAGTTAACCGGTGCGTTCGAGAGCTAAAGCTAAAGTTCGACTTTCCTTTGACCACATATCCTACCACTACCAGCTTGCCTAAGAGATTTTACACCTGCAAGACGCTTGTCAAATTGACTCTATCCTACAACATTCTCGTTGATGTTCCTTCCAAGGCTTGCCTCCCCTCGCTTCAATCGATGTGCCTCAAATGCGTGGTGTATAAAGACCAAGATTCTCATGTTATGCTTTTATCGAGCTGCCCTGTTCTCAAAGATTTGGTCGTGGTCCGAAAAACTGTTGATAATATGACAAGGTCCAGTGTGAAAGTTCCTTCTTTACAGAGGTTAACATACATAGATTGTAGTGCAGACCGAGTTTCTCGTAGGTCTTTGGCTGTAGATTCCCCAGGATTAAGTTGCCTGAACATCTTTGATCCTTTCGGAGTCAATTGCTCGATCCAGAATATGCCTCGTCTTGATGAAGCGGTTCTGAGTGTTGTTACTTCTCGCTTTGATTCTAAATCGTTTTCCTCTGTCATGTTTCTCAGTTTGTGTTTGATCCAGGTAACACCATTTTTGTATACCTTTCTCTGTTTCTTGCGTTGGTAATGTACGTGTGTTTTTTGATTATGGTGTCTTCTCTGTTTTGTTCAATTGCAGGTTGCGAGTTGTAGCGCAAGTAACTTCTCTAGGCTCGTAGAGTTGAAAGCTGCGTCCATGTTACTCAGAGCGTCGTTGGTTGGAGTCGCTTGTGCTTTTGCTCCATAACTCTCCTAAACTTAAAGTTCTTATGATCAACCCTGTAAGCACTTTCCCTCTCTCTTTCTCCCTCAAGCAAGTGTTGGTTCTGATAATAATTAACCCTTCGTTGCTTCTCAGGCTTATACCGAAACCGACTATTCACTTTCGTGGGAGCAACCGAGTACTGTACCGGGATGCTTGTTGTCTCATCTTGAGATCTTTGAGTGGGCAGAATTTGGAGGAGGATTACAAGAGAAACAGTTCTTGACTTTCATTCTCGCAAACTCAGCGTGTTTAAAGACGGCGGGAATCTCCATTAGATCTTTCTACCATATCAAGGCGAAGCAGGAGATGATGGAGGAGTTAGAATCTATGTATAGGGTTTCAGTATCATGTCAGCTTCTTTTCACTGCTAAATTTAGCAATGGAGATGTAAAAAATGAGCAGAAAGAAGAGAAATCAGATTCATTATTTTCCTTGTATTTGATTCATCGGTAAAAACAGTCACATCTAATCAATTGATTAAACCAAAAAGATAGGCTCTATGTAATCTAAATAGAAGAAATATCGACTTGTCTTTGATCGATCAAAAGACAACACTTTGGAATCAGAGAACAACTTTGTTGGTCTTATAAAAAAAGAAAAAGTCTTAGCAGCCAAACTCTTAACTTAACTATCTACGTTGTCTTTGAGATTGTTGTAATTGTACTTGTTTTGCAGTCAAACTCATATAGCGATTGTCTAAACGCTTTTGGACTACTTTAATTTACATAAAAAAACGATTTTCCAATATAAACAAAAACAAAAACAAGATTCAGCAGTCAGAGAAGTTAGCAATAGTACTGAAAAAGCAAAAGAATATACGAATCGATTAGTGATCTACAAAAACTCTTTTGACGTCATCACGGTTTTGCTTTGTCTACATTTGGAAAAAAGTGAGTTGATCGCCGCCGCTTTTTTCCAGAAATGTAGACAAAGAAATACCGAGAAAACGTGTTATTCCTCCTGCAGTCGAAGAAGCCCTCAAAAACTATAACCGTTGAAGATGAAAATGCATTCATGTGTGTATATATATAGGCGGCTTATCTAGGGTATAATGTGGAAACCCTAGAAGAGTCTTCTATAGTGCAGTCGCCGCAAAGAGAGGCAGAGTTGTTTGACCAAATCGGGAAAATGGGCTTAGCCCAAAATTTGAAAAGCCCAATATTCAACATAACATGTGAGAGTTATCTAACTCAACCAATAAGAAACATAAAGTTGATTAGCGTTTTCTTTCCTCACTACAATTCTACAACGACAAGTAGGAAAACCAACAGTATTTGGGCTCACTGATTCTTGCATTTGGTCTGGTTTCGAGTCAGATTCTATTTACCTTGAAACTGTATCGTATAGCGAGATCAATTAAAAGAAATTGCAATCTTCTATTAGATGTTCTCTCATTCAACCAAAAGATTATTATCTATGGTATTTTTAATTTTTAGTTTTTGTACCAAGAAATCTTGTTGCGGATGGAAATTAAATATTTGGTCCTAAATCCTAATTCATCAACTCTCTGTTTCTAATCTCTATTTGGTTCTGTATAAGCCTAAGTATATTCAACTGTAAATGTTCTAAGCAAGTATTGTTCTAAGCAAGGTTATATATTGCTGTCTATTAGTGAACTTGTAAATGTTCTAAGCAAGTATTGTTTGAGATTAAGGTATGTTTACCTGAAACTGATAATGATCAGAAATCAATCAGAATGTTATAACCTTTCATTGTTATTGAATAATGTAAAAGGTGCTATTCTTGGGCCAAGTTACCAGCTATCTCTTTAAAGCTTGACGACGAGGGAGATAAACTACCATGCATCAGTATTTAATTCCACCATAGTCCCAAAAACTGTATGCAATAAAACAATAAATCATAATTTTATATCCCAATAATGATACAGGTTGACGTTTTGATGTTAGTTTCATCATATTATAGTAGTTGATTGAGTAGTTTTATACTATTGAATGCTTTTGTATTTGCTTGCAAGCCAACCAAATTAATTAGGCCTTGAAATTTCTCCAAAATGCATTATTATTTTTGGACAATGACATGCTAACAGTATTACTTTAGTTTCATACAAACAAAATGTCAAAACTATATATAAACCAATTAACACGTTTTTATGGCAAAAATAGTGGAAGTGTTATGTTTCCAAAGTCCAAACTAACACCGAGTTATATATCTCGTTAGTCATAACTTCTATTCTGATCAAAACACATTAATTAGGATTTCCAATTTTATGATAGAACCGGGATGGGTAAGTCCCTTATGCAAAGACTTCTTCTCATCTTGCTTAGTGTTTCATTGACATATTAGTAAAGATTTTAGTTTATTCATAAGCTTTCCATTTTTTAGTTTGAAAAATTCAATTATCTTAATTATGTAATTTAGGATCACTTCAAATGAAATTAATTTTCAGAAAGTTATTTATAGGCAATCTAAGGAAAGAGATGAACAAGTTGTGGGTGGTTTCACTTCATAGATTAGTTTCAACAGTATATTCCACGCGCCAAAGTTAGCGTCGGCCGAGTTTTTACATGATTGAATCTCCAAAAAACTATGTAATAAAAGGTGAAATATAGTATAAGAATTTAAATAAAATGTAGTTATTGTAAAGATTTGGTAAGTACTTTCATCATAAATCAGAGATGAAAAGCTGAGAGTACTGAAAAAAAAAAAAAAAAAAAAAAAAAAGTAAGAAAGAAAGAAGATCCACCTCGAACTTCTCTCCATCTTTCTCAATCATATCATATGTTCTCAGATTCCGTCTCTTTCCTTTTTTCTCTTCCTCTTCAAGCCTCTTCAAGTGAATCAAAATATCTAAGCTTGTTTCCTTTTAATCTCATTTTCCTCTGTAATTTTTCCTGGAAAAATTTGTCCTTTTCAGTTTTTTCTTTTTCTTTCTCCAGATCGAATTCGATTTTTCTCGTCTCAGTGAAAGCAAGTTCCTTGGTTGAATTTATCTCTTGGGTTTTAAAATCAACAGGTGAAAGTTCGAGACTTGCTCTCTATCTTTGAGTATAATGAGAGAAGACGATTCCGACTGGTTCGCAAGATGGGAAGAAGAACTTCCATCTCCGGAGGAGCTCATGCCGTTATCTCAGTCTCTGATTTCTCCCGATCTCGCTCTCGCCTTCGATATCCGAAGCCCCGTTCACGGAAACGGAAACTCCGGTCAACCCCATCACCACCACCAATCCACGCCTCCAACTCCGTCGCAGCTCCAGCTTCCGTCTTCACAAGCCAATTCCTCCGCCGAATTCGCAGCCGATTCTGCAGATCTAGGCTCCGGAGCCGCCGGAGACGAACCGGCACGGACCCTCAAGCGTCCTCGACTCGTCTGGACGCCGCAGCTTCACAAACGCTTCGTCGACGCGGTTGCGCATCTCGGGATCAAAAACGCCGTCCCCAAAACGATTATGCAGCTCATGAGCGTCGATGGGTTAACCAGAGAGAACGTCGCGAGCCATTTGCAAAAATACCGACTTTACCTCAAGAGAATGCAAGGGTTGTCTTCCGGCGGCGGAGCTGGATCAGATCCGGCGACGGATCGTCTTTTCGCAAGCTCTCCGGTGCCAGCTCATTTCCTTCACCCGAATCGAGTTCCGAGCTCAGATCACTTCATGCCGTCTTTTGTCCCAATCGCGACTCTTCAACAGCAGCAGCAAATGGCCGCAGCCGCAGCCGCCGCCGCAGCTGCAGCCGCGAATCCTCATCTGCAACCGCCTCAATTTCACCACCGTCAAATCGCCGCCGCACATTTCGGCTCTCCGACAAACGGTCAATTCAATTCACCGACGAGTAATGGTCAGTTCAATTCACCGACGACGACGAATGGGAAATTCGATCCGTCGTTCTTGGCGAGGCAAACGCAACCACTTCACAGAATGTCTACACCATCGTTGCATAGTCCGGTCGGTAATTACTCTGAGGATTTGGAATCTGCAAATGCCAATGGAGGAAGAACAGTCTTGACTTTATTCCCAACTCGAGACGATTAAATGTGTGAAATTGAATCTTTCCGGTAATAAAGCTCTGCTTAAACAATTGACCAATGTAGGCCAAGTACTAGCTGTTGATCCCACACTTGTGTGACCATCCAATCTGATTCCTCTATATATGTTCAAAATGTCTCTCTGCAGTCTTCAAGAACATTAACACAAGCTCTCTTCTCAGTCTTATCAGTTTGCGTCGCTGTGTGATCACATGTTATGTGTCTGAATTGCCTGTTTCAGGTCACAACTCGTTAACCCTTGTAGCTTCTACTTTATGATTCATGTAAAGATGAGTTCTTGTACATTCGTACGGACATGTACACTCAAGGTTGGAAAAAGAATCGATCTTGATTAGATAATTTACTTCACAGTGTACTTTGCTTCCCATATTGTTGCCCTTTATATTTAGAATTGTTCTTGTAGCTTTTACACTCAAATTTTCGTAAAAGTATATTGCAGCTACTAAAGCTGTTCATACCCTTTTTTTTTACTCTGCATCTTATATGGTGTAGATTACAAGAATCAAGAAACTGGTGATATAATCTGAACACTGATAATTTAGTAACCATAAAATTGGGTTGTTGGAGAATATATTTATGTGTGATTGGCCAATAATAATGATGATGGATGCAATAGTATAGTACAGTTTACAAATGACATGAAGCAACCAATAAGTAAAAGAGACAATGTGAGTAAAAGAGACAATGTGAGGCAGAAGCAGAATCAGAATCCAGGATCTGATGCTCTCACTTCCCTAATCATCATACCCAACTTATTTACTACCAAAATTATAAAGTGGCATATATGCAAATGTCTAGGGGATCATTGAAGAGACCAAACCCAATAAAAGTAGTTCGATAGTTATTTTTTATGCTACATATAAAGGTTAAATTATTTGTGAAAGGAACGAGTTAAAGCAATGGTGGTGGGTTCATAGCTGGCATGTCCTGATCTTGTCTCACCAAGTCAGACCCCATTTTTTGATTTTTCTTTTGAAGTAATTAATTGTATAAATCCTTTAGGTTTTTCTTCAGAAATAGATTGGTTGGACTCGTTAATCAAAATATCTTTTACGGTTATTCACATAAAGAGTGTGTGTATTTCGGTTTCGTTCTATCCAATTTTTCTATTTCGCCATTATTTTAACCAAATTATCTCAAAAGTCATATAGTGTGACCAAACCAAAGTACACTACTATATATAATATATAGCTCTTGATTGTTTTTTTTCTTCCCATAAGTCTAATCCAATCTTAAATTATAGAATCGATTGATGATTCATAATCTTGTGATTTGAGGCCAACAGTCAAAAGAGAACTCGTGATTTGATTATTCGTTTAGGAATTTTGGGAAACTTGTAGTTGTCTCTCTCTAAAGTTAGAAAAGGACCCTCCGAGTCTTCACCACCTCATATTTATATGTACCCAAAACAAAAATCAAATGTGAACATTTTGTATCTTTAGTAATCACAAGAGAATTTTTCCACACAAAAAAAAAAGGATTTCATAAGAATCAGATTCGTTCTTTTGAACATTTTGGGTCACCAAAAAGAGGAAAACGCCATCATCATAGATTTGTTTGAAGTATCGTTTAGGGTTCATGTAAAGTTTGAAAATAATATAATTAAGAGAAAAAACAAGATAGTAGAAATCTTGGCTATTAACAAGCTAATCAACAAGATTTGAGATCTAATCCATTACCAATGGAAAGTGAAGAAGAAAGATACTAATAAAAAAAAAATACAAAAACTTGAAATGAATAAATATCCAAATTATCAAAATCAAAATCCAAACTTTCTAAATCACATGATGTAGATGCAATCCAGAGATACAATTCTGAGAGATCAACGATAAAATTCTGTCGGCTTAAGAAAAAGTTTAGTTAATGCCTAACGGCGACGATGGACATGTTTTTTTTTTCTTACATTAAAGAGAAAATGTAAGTCACTACTATTAGAGTATTAGGTCGAGGTCTTTAACAAAAAAAAAACAAGAGAAAATGAGCATCAAACGCATAATAACTAGAGTTTTCATACTTGACCATCTATGCTACAAACACCTTTTGAAATTTTGGCCCATTTTTTTTCATATAATGTGGCCTAAAGCCAATGCTTTACATGCTTTAAAAAGAGGGACAGGCCTGACTCGGAACACTACTTGTCGTCAGGGATTGCTTGCAGAAGGATGCCTGCAGTGAAAAGACGAGTAAGCAATGGATATGAGAGAGACTCAAACGGCGAAAACAACACCAAGCAACAGTTTAGTATGAGCAACCTGAAAAGATTTGTGTCTGGACTGTTCAAAGACTGCGCATAGTTCATAGCGGGTGAGTTTGGCCACGGTGTATAAGCAGCCGCGTTATTAGTAAAGGGACTCAAAGCCGGGTTTAGCGGATGCCCGTAGCTAAGATTAACTTGATGACCTCTTGGCATCTGCGGGAAAACACCGTCGTGAAACGGAATGTGGATTGGCATTGGATTGAAGCTTTGGCCAGATGGCATAACCCTAACGTACCTACAAAGATTACCACGAGAAAGAATAAAAGACCTTACTTTTTGCAGAAGCGATTAACATTTGGTTTCATTTGAATGTAGACGTACTAAGAGATGGAAAGGTTTACCTGTAAGCGGGATCCACGACATACCTGTCATAGCTCCTGTCATAATCAGGGTCATATCGATCTTTCTCTCTATCTCTGATTATGGCTACTCGAGAAGTCCTTCCAGAATCTCGAGTACTAGCATCAACAGGATTATTATTGACCGCCACTTCAGTCTCATTTCGGTTTACGCATGTGTTTCTCCCTTCAAGAGGAGGAGGAGGAGGAGGAGCACGTAGTGATGATGAATCTTCAGAGTCGGAACTGCTGGGGCTGTTAAAGATCCGAGCCCGTGCTTTATCATACTCTTCTTTTCTCTCCTCAACACTTCTCAGAAGATTCTGTTGTACTCCTGATCCGCTACCTCCGCAACCAGATCCTCTTTTGGGTCTAGGCTTGATTGCGATTTTGAAACCCTCAGGTCTACCATTCTCAGGTTGCTTAACAGGAATCTCGGATAAACAGACGTAAGGAAATCTACTTTCCGCTGTTTTCGTTACTAGGATCCTGTTCTCGGATCCATCTCCTGCACCACTACCATTGTCCAAAGCCATGGTCACTAGTCCATAATGCTGAGCAACTCGATGTGCAGCAAGACGCAGGTAAGATGTCGGAAAAGGCCGGAATTCGAACTGAAGCTGTTCGGGGTTTTGAAAGAACTTCTGAATATCGAGCTCCATCCGCAAAACTAGAACAAACACCAACAAAAGAGGCAACCTTTTTAATCACCCATCAACCACATTTAAAGAGAATCTTTCCAGATACAGAAATTAAACTTCAGTGGGAACATATAAAAAAGTGTTGACATATGCGGACAAGGTCCTAATATACGTTATTGAGCTTAGAGAGAACCAGATAAGACGAACGGTAATGCAAATCAGAGTGATTACTTAAGCTTTAATGTTCATGGCGCCAATGAAACAATCGCAATCATGAGAAGTCAGACTAAGCTAAAGAGCAAGTGATTCTGATTTTGGGTATAGAGAATTCACGAGGATAATTTACAGTCGTCGATCTAATCGTCAAGCACGGAAACCAAGCCTTAATCACCAAAAGAAAAAGGAAAAACATAAACCAAAAAATTGAACCAAGCCTCCCCAACAAAGGATCGAGAATCAGAGAAACTCATAATTCCCCAATTCTCTGAAACCCTAGAAAACTAACGATGAATGGCATGACCCAAATCAGATCAACCAAAACACAGAGAAAGTAAAATCGAATCGTGGGTTTGCGAGAAATTGACTAACTGGTGAGACGATGACGAGGATTCTGGAGAGCCTCGACCAAAAAAGGATCCACCATAGCTTCCTTATCGGTCATAGCGGCCATAGATTAGCTTCTCTCTAGGCTGCTTGTTCTCCCTGCTGTCTTTAAGGAAAATCCTTCTTCTCGATCTCTGTTTTTGCCCCTTGTCTCACACCGGAGATTAGAAGAGAAAACACATCAAGGAAACAAAAAGGGGAGAATTTCTGATGAGCATTCTGAGAAAGAAGGAGAGAGAGAGAGAAGGCGAAACGATGAGGGTGAAGGAGAGGAAAAGACCTTCTCGACCTTTATCTCTCTCTCTATCTCTCGCAATCAAGTGGGGAGAATAAAAAGAAAGTTGCTGCCTTTAGAGTTTTTAATTTATTTATACGGGTGGTTTATTTTTATTTTCTTCTTGTGTGGATTGAATTGTTGGACTTTTGGAAATCTGAATATGTGTAAAATGACATTTTTCGAGAAGTGGGTTTTTTTTTTTTAAAGTTGGTTTGGTGGAATCATAAAATATACTCTTCTTAGACGTTGGGTTGGTGTGAGTCGACTCGTGTGACACTTACATTCTTCATGGTGAGTTGTTTATGAAGAAATTTGTCAAAACTAATATCAATGCAGCGTTCAAGAGAGAAGAGGCGTTGATATTTCCGAATATTTATTATTACCTGATGTAAGGGCTCTATATACACAGTTAATTCAGGTAAACTAGTTCAAAAGATGTAAATTATTTCTGGATTCAACAAAAGTTATCATCCTTAATTAATCTGTAGATAACATACTGAAATACTGATATATATATATATATATATAGCTTTTTTGAAATCGACATAGATGATTTCCAAAATATAAGCGATTAGATTAGATTATGTTTGAAAATCAGTCAATATACGTTTTATCCTAAAACTCGGTTCAATGTTAAAATTGCTTCATGACTCTTTAGCTGCTGTCTGCAACATGTTATAAACTCGTAAGTTAGTTTTAATCAATGTTTTTGTCATTCTCCTTACTCATAATTGGTAAGTCAATCCGGGGGAAAAAACTGTCATAAGCTTAACATCCCAAAGTCTAGCACTACATACCCAAGAACAAGATGCCGACTATTTGACCAGTGAGAAAATGAGAAAGCACACCAAAAAAAAAAACAAGGTGTTTTCTCTTTTAAGTACAATAGATTCATCTAGCAACGTGGAAAAAGATTGTGTTGTCATGCATCTTGATCAACTCTGAGCAGTTGTTTACAATTGTTTTAAAATCTACCTAGTAATCCAAAGCACATTGCATAGTCCAAAGTAAATTAAGCCTCTAGTTATGAATCAATCCGATTGGGGAAAAGCCAAACCTTCGTGAATCTGTTTTCTTGCTCGTTGCGCCTCGTATCCATGCCATTCCACGATGTGATCTCTATAATTTAAAGATTTAGAGACGTTAAAAAAACAGATATAATAAAGGCGTTTATTCTCTTCAAAGATTTTGATATTTTAAGATAAAAATAAAATTTCCCTTTAGTTTAGAAAAAATTCTTAATTATGGAATCGAAAAATGTAGTGAACAATATTTTTTCATGAATTTATTTCCCTATACAGAGATGATATTGTCTGGTCAAAATTAAACGCAGTTTCCATGTAAGTAGTGTAAATACTCCATAAACGGCTCACGGCGCTGATAACAAATATTCATCACACCTTACGTGGCCCTTCCTGATTGGATAAAAAACCCATCTACCAATGGTTACAACTTACATCTTACAAAAGAGAAGAGCAACCTTTAACCCCATGCACGCGCCACTGTCTTAAAACCCTCTTCTGCTTTTATAACGTCTTAAACTCATCTCTCTCTCTAAAAACTAATGGCGTTTTCACCGTTACTATTCATTGGTTTGATTTGCCTCGCAGGCGGTGGCTCTCTTTTACCGGCGACGGAGGCGATATGGTTAACGGTTCCAAGTTCCGGGGAGAGATGCGTCTCCGAGGAGATCCAAGCCAACGTTGTCGTCGTCGCCGATTACCTTTGTATAGATCAGGAGAACGTGGGACTTGGTCCTACAATTGATATTCGGGTATGTATATATATATACAAATTACTAATCACAACCATAACTTTCATGCTTACTCATTTTAGGCTAGTGATTGATCGGTTTAGGGATTTTTTTTCTTTTTAAAAAAAAACATATATATTTGAATGCATATAAAGGGGCTTTTAGTATATGAAACGGTTGCTTATCAGAACCTGTAATGCTTCACTTTTCTAGTGTAGATTGATTCGGCGAATTAATTTGTTCTTAATATGTATGGTTTATGGATTAGCATCCTATAAACGACACCACTGCGCTAGTGTTTGTACCTAAATATCTAATAGATTTAGATAAACGCTAATTAAGTCCAAAATTGAGATCGGAGACAATCTTAGTATGTTACACACGAAAGCTAGCTAATCAACCATTTATTTTGTTCATACCAATAAATTTCGGGTCATCTTATAGGGTTAGGTTAGTTGATTAGTCTATTTTCTGCCGTTGAGAAGACTGAAACTGATAACAAATCTATACATAGAGAAGTGGAGGCGTTGGTATAGAAATGATATCTATCTTTTTTTGTATTGGTAGAGTAAGAGAAGGAGCACTCGGTTATAAATGTGTATGTCATGCTTTGGTTATAGGTAACATCACCGTTTGGGAAAGAATTGTACAAGAAAACAAACGAGACGCACGGTCAGTTTGCGTTTACAACGAGCGAGAGCGGAACATACATAGCTTGTTTATCGTTGCATCACGATCAGACACATTACACTGTCAATACAACTGCTATCGTCAGTCTTGACTGGAAGATGGGTATAGGAGCCAAAGACTGGGATGCTGTTGCTAAGAAAGAAAAGATCGAGGCAATATTCCTTAACTAATTCTCCAATTCATATTACAATCTTGTCGCGAAATCACATGTGATTGAGTATATTGTTTACAGGGTGTGGAGCTTGAGCTTCGAAAGTCTACAGAACGTGTAGGTGCAATTAGGGCAAACATTCTCTATCTAAGATTCAGGTTATTTAACTATCATCTCAAGTTTGCATGTAATTTGAATACTCTTTTTTTGGTTTAAAATTTGAATACTCTTGTCTCTCTTTCTTGATAGAAGACATTTATAAATTATATAAAAAAATTGGTGCAGGGAAGCATCTATGAGGGAAATAAACGAGAAGACTAACAAGAGGGTTGCACAGCTTAGCTTGATGTCTTTAGGACTCTCCCTTGTCGTTTCACTTTTTCAAGTTTGGCATCTCAAACGCTTCTTCCTCAAAAAGAAACTTCTCTAACTCAATATAATTCTAGTATTAATTTAAACCATCTGCAGTCTTGAACCTTTTTGGGGGTTACTATATAGTCATATACACCAAATCAATAACGTGAAACACATGTTCAATTTTTGTCCAGAAGACTATGTTTATCAACTCAGTTGAATCATCTACTAGGAAAAATGCATTTATCATATCTATATGTTTCAAAAAGCCATATAGGCCAAAGGTCAATTTTTATATATGTAATCACATGCATGTCCTAAATTCATTGATCACCATTATCTTTTACAAAGTAGAATTATGCTACGATTTTTCCTTGGTTTGTAATGAGTGATAAGTGGTTACTCCATATAGCTAGAACTTTTGACTTTGATTAGTGGACACGTTAAGAATGCCATTGGATTTTACAGAGTAATTTGCTAACAAATGTAAGCGCTAACAAAATTGTTTGATAACTATATAAACTTAAAAAACAAAATAAAATACATACTATTAGATAACATCGTGGATAAAAGAAAAAGGAAGAAATTTTTGGTCGCACAAAACCCACACGTGTGAAAACAAAATCGAGTTGATGTACACGCGCTTCGGATGCGCGCCTACCCATTTCACAATAAGTCAAAGTTGGTCTTCTTCCAAATTTATACAAAACGTGTGGAATAATCGAGAAGTAAGCGAGAGAGAAAATTCAACCCTCGGTGATGACGGAATCAACGTCCGTGATTGCTCACCCGCCGGAGATGCCTGATCTGAACCCTAATATGCAATCGAATCCCGATATGATCCCTATTCCGCCGCTAGATCCTCTTTTCCTATCTGCTTCCGATCCGATTTCGATGGAGCACCCGATCTCCGATCTCGACTTCTTACTCGACGATGAGAACGGAGATTTTGCGGATTTCGATTTCCCATTTGATGATTCCGATGATTTCTTTAACTTTACCTTCGACGCGGCGGAGGAGCTTGGGAGCTCTGGAGATCAGAGCCCAGAAGCGATCGGGAACCATGCGAGTTTGGATTCATCGGAAAACAGGAACGGCGATAGAGGCTCAGAAGGGAGATCTGATTCTGTTCATTCTCAGGTGTCATCTCAAGGCTCCAAGACTTTTGTTTCCGGTGCTTGCGACACCGTCGACGTGTTATCCTCCCCTGATTCGAGCAATCTAGGGATTCACCAGAAATCCTCTGTCAGCAAGAGGAAGAAGGAAAAGGGAGACTCCGGAGGCGAATACAGGAGCTCCAAGTACCAAAAGTCAGATGGTAAATCAACCGCTGCAATTGAAGAGGATGATGACAAGAAGAAGACGAAGATGATTAGGAACCGTGAAAGCGCTCAGCTTTCGAGGTTGAGGAAGAAGCAATACCTTGAGGAGCTTCAAGGAAGAGTGAAGAGTATGAATTCCACCATTGCCGAATTGAATGGTAAGATTTCATTTGTTATGGCCGAGAATGCAGCGCTAAGGCAGCAGATGGCTGCTGCTTCTGGTGCTCCTCCTATGAATCCTTATATGGCTGCACCACCATTACCTTATCAATGGATGCCGTATCCGCCGTATCCAGTTAGAGCTTATGGATCACAGACTCCATTGGTTCCCATTCCTAAACTGAATCCTAAGCCTGTCTCGGGTTGTAGGCCTAAGAAGGCAGAGAGTAAGAAGATTGAGGGCAAAAGCAAGCTCAAGAAAGTTGCTAGTATTAGTTTTATTGGAATTTTGTTCTTCATCTTCTTGTTTGGTACGTTGGTTCCGTTTATGAATGTAAACAATGGTGGAGATAGCGGAAGCTTTGGCGGTTTGACTAATTATGAGGGTCGTCGGTATTATGAAGAACATAAGGGGAAGGTTCTAATGGTAGGAGATGGATCTGAAGGAAATATCCATTCTAGTAGGAGGAGTCATGGTGAGAGAGAGAGTTGTGGAGGAGTAGATTATAGTGCTCATCCCAAAGTAGAAGGACGACCAAGTTCATTGTGCAATGCCAGTGAGCCTCTTTTTGCTTCTCTCTATGTCCCAAGAAACGATGGGCTTGTGAAGATCGACGGGAACTTAATAATTCATTCTGTTTTGGCGAGCGAGAAAGCTACGGCTTTCGCGAAGATGAACAACTCTGAAACCATAAAAAGCAAAGAACACGAATTGACAATTCCGGGTGTCCTGTCTTCTGCATTAGCTGTCCCTGAAGTTAGAGGAAATGGGGCAATGCTTCCACATTCCAAGGCCCTCTCTTCTGGCTCGGCCGAGGGGAAAAGACTTCACCAGTGGTTTCATGAAGGTGGCTCAGGTAATTCTTGGGCTCTGTGTAGTTGTACTAAATTGATTTATCTGGATGTAACTCTTTTCTGCATTCTCTTATAGGGACGCTAATGGATTACAGCATGTGCACCGAGGTTTTCCAGTTTGATATTGCTCCTGGTGCTATAGTCCCATCATCAGTCTCCAACATTACACGGGAGCATCTTCAAAATGTCACCACCCACGACAAGAGAATGAAGAACAGGAGAATTCTCGAGGGGCTTCCGGTTTCACTTGTGGCTTCTGAGCTGAACATCACCGAAGCCCAGCCGACCAAAGACGCTCAAAACAAGAGCTTCCATGGGAACACTAACAACAAACCCAAGTCATCATCCTCCATGGTTGTCTCCGTGTTGCTTGATCCAAGAGAGATCGTTGACTCTGAAACCGACAGAGTCATGCCCTCAAACCCGAAGTCACTTTCTCGGATCTTCGTGGTGGTGCTTCTCGACAGTGTCAAGTACGTTACCTACTCATGCGTTCTTCCCCGGTCGGGTCTCCATCTCGTGGCCACCTGATCGGACTAGTTCGTTTTTTACTCATCTTGACCCAAATTAGACGAACATTGACTTGTTTATACATACAGTACAGACGTTATGACTTTTTTCCCCGTGATGTAAACTCAATGTTTTAAGGTTTTGTATTTTAATTTTAATTTAACCATAAAGTGAAATACTGTACGTGCTTTCACATAGGAAAATGCCTTTGACGTACGGTGGCTTTAGGCCGGAAATTTTATTCGTAGACTATTGAAAATTCCCTTTTAGAAGATATAATATACAAAGAAGCTCTTAGAGCATATGTTCATTTGGGGATATAAAGTAGAAGGCTGCACCCTTTTGTGCAGCAACATTCTATAACAACTCTTCCTGTTTTGTTTCTAGCTCCCATATGAATCCATTTTATACACTTATGTTCTTGAGTGTTCGGTTGAGGGAGAGGAGGAGGACTTTTGATACAGTTTACTAGACATGTTAATGTCATTATTCACGAAGCCTGGCCGCTATCAGCATGATTAGAACAATCCATGGCATAGCTGGTAAATTCAAATTAGCTGCATCATAAAACAGAAAGAAAAAGCGTCTTGATTAGAGTTGGTACTGTAAGATTGATATCTCTTGCTAGATTGGATGAATTGTTCAAGTAGCAACTTACATGAAGAGGACTGCGGTTGAGGATGAGCAACTTCGTTTGCGTGCTGTTCACTTGGTTTGGTTTTGGGTGGTTGAGCTGCATGGGCAAACACCACATGTGGTAGAGGGGCAGAGATTGGAACTATACGAGTCGCTGCAGGAAGCGGGGCCGGTGAGTGCAGCTGATGATGTGGTTGCCGAGCAGGATAGCGAGGAGAACGCTGTGATGCGGGAGAAGGAGAAGGAGCGGGGGAATGTGTAGATGAGAAATGCAAGTGTTTATCCTTGAAATGTACTCTTTGTCCTCTTCTATTCCCTGAGTTGCAGGGTGGAGGTGCTAATGGAGGTCTTCTAGGGCTTCTCTGAGGAACAGGAGATGCCACTGGTGAAATCTTGGGAGCCATATTCGGGCTA